AGATCTAGCTAACTCCTATTAAGATTTCACTATACCTCTAGCTACCCTATTAAGCCTTATAAATTAGTATAAAGTAATTCCCTTTCGATTTACTATTATAGTTAAGCTTTCCGGGTTAGGGGCTCTATTTAATACTTTAGTTACTTGATAATAATAGAGTTCTCTAGTAGTAATAGCCTAGAGAAATATTCTATTAAGGGAGAATTAAGCAGTAGCCTATACTTTTATTAATAAATAAAGAGCTAAGGCACTAGTTATAGCTATAGAGGCTTTTAAGATAGTAAAGAAGGTAGAGAAGAAGGCGTTTAAAGAGAAGTCCTTTTACTACCTAAAGAAGGTATTAGAGGCTATAAGCGTCCTAATAGAAGAAATAGAGTATAACGCTAATTAGCTAAGTAAGGAAGTAATATAGATTATATTAAAAGAGGGCCTATTATTTATAAAGAAGGCTAAGGAGTGTTTAGTAGTAGGTATAAGTAATATAATAGAGGTAGATAGTTAAGAGGAGTATCTATATATTTCTTTTATTTATATAATATATCAGGGGATATAATCAGGAGGCGACTACTTAATTAAGGGGGGATATATATAGTAAGGTAGTATAGTTCTAAGTCAGAAGATAGTTAGCCTATTCTATAAGGTTATATAAATAAGCGCGATAACACGTAATAAATATATTATCTTCTCTCTCCTACTCTTACTACCTATTTAGTTAGTAGTCCTCTATATCCCTACTTACTATATACTTTAATAGCACTACCCCACTCCTTTACACTATCTATCCTTGAAATGATTTCCTGTTATATTCCGTCTCTTATATAGTATTAGTCTAAATATTAAATATATTATTGTTTAGCTTTCCTTTGTATTTTATTCTGATTCTAAATATTATTCTGTTACTTTCTGTATATTATAGATATTAGAGGAGAGGTTTTGTGTCTTAGAGGTGAGACTTAAGGGGATTTGATATATGCCGCGTTAGCTAGCCTATTATATAAGTAATATTAGGTCGTGTGAGGTTCGAGAGGTATATTAGAGAGCTAATAATCTACTAAAACAGTAAGATCTCTTTAAGGGAGGCTAGTATAATACTTTTATCTTTAGCTGACTTCCTTAGTATTATTCTAGCGGCTGCAAGTAAGGTATTACTTTTAGTTACAGCTATTCTAAACCTTTTTAGTAGCTTTTATATATAGGCTATTTAATAAATCCGCAGAGTCTTATTCTTCCTGTCCTTCTTAACTTATAGGCTTATAAACGTATTAATAGCTTTGAGGTCTTTGCTTTTTTAGGTCTTTAAGAGCTGTTTCTTAAGATATTTATAGTCGGCAGGGTTACTTATAATTAGTATATTATCGATAAAGACTAATATGTACGTTCTATTCTTAAAGATAAAGAGATTAAGGTCAGCTTCTAACGCTTCTAGACCTAGCTTTTTTATCTTATCTTTAATAAGGAGCTACTATTCTCTAGGTGCTTATTTTAGGCTATAGAGAGAGTGTAAGAGCTTCAGATATATGTCTTTCCTTCTATTCAGCTCTAAGTAAAGCTTATTTTATATCTCCGGCGTCTTATTATTCAGAATCGTTATATATATATCTTCTTTTAAGTACGTGTTTAAAAAGGCAGTATTAATATTAATATACTCGATCTCTAGGTCTCTTTTAGCTGTAATAGCGAGTAGTACTCGTAAGGTAGAATAGTGTATAACGCTTATAAAGGTGTCAAAGTAGTTAAGGCTATATTTTTACTTAAAGCCTCTTATTACGAGCCTAGCCTTTCGTTATACTATAGAGCTATTAGAGTTAATTTTATTACGTAAAACTAGTCTTAAAGATATTAGTTTCAAGCCTGAGAGAGACTTACTAAAGTATAATCTATAGGTTTTAGCGCTTTATATAGCTTATAATTCTTTAAGAATAGCGGCTTTTTATTCTACTAGATTCTCCCTTAAAGTCTCTGTGATAGTTATAACTTTAAGAGGTTATATAAGTTTACTCTTTAGCGTAATTAGCGCTATTTAATAAGTTAGTGCCTTGTTAAGGATTTACTAAGAGTATAGCTTTGTAGTTATCACTTAAGCGGCTTACTTAAAGTGTTATTTTTTACACTATTTCTTACTATATCTTAATAGTAGAGTGTTATTAAACGTGTTTGCTAGTTAAGTCTATTTAGGGAGGCGTTAATTAGACGCTCTCTTAGTATCTCTTATTATGTTTTCTGCAGCTGACCTTCTTTTTAAAGGATTTTCAGTTTTTATAACTGGCCTCTCTTTTAGAGGTCTTTTAGCTTCTATAGCTAGCTTCTCTTTTAGAGGTCTTTTTAAGCTTTTAGTACCTCTAGCTGGCCTCTTAGTAAGTGCTAGACTAGTAGCTAGTAGTAGAGGTCTTTTTACTGCCTTATTACTGCCTTTTAGTGTAGTTTCCTTACTATTAGTATATATAAAGTATATTATATACTTGTTAAAGCTATAGTTAGCTATTTTTAGTTCTTTAAAGGTTTTTATGTTTAGGAGCCTATAGGTTGAGGTGTTAGCTATACCTACTAATATAAAATACCCTGGAATTATCTTTTACTTTATTTTACCCTAATATAGCCTTAGTGGATATAAAGGGTACGCTATAGAGTTAAATACTCTTATTTTAGAGAGGTCTATAAGCTATCCTTTGTATACTTTAATTAGAGTAAGTCTAGTAGCTGTTTTATATAGTAAAGCAGTAGTTAGGCGTTTATTCTTTAGCTTTGCCGCTTACTTAATAACGTAGCACTATATATTCTCGGGTATCTTCGTGTTATAGAGGATTAAGCGTGTAATCTTAGCTAGTTTATATATCTATTGCTTTACGACTTTATTTAGAGAGTGTTTATATAGAGGAGAGGGTTTAGGAACGATTCTACTCTCTTATAGCTAGTTAATAAACTCAGGACTGAACTCTCCCTTGTTACTTTTAGTCCTTTAGTAGATAATTATACGGAATTTACTTTGCCTTTAAGTTTTAAGCTATAGCTTTAATTTCCGAATAACTAGTTAAATAGTTAATATAGACTTATTAACTAAGAGATCTACCTAACATATCCTCGTAGTATTATCTACTACTAAAAGGAAGTATTTATAGCTATAAATTAAGTGTAGTAAGATACTAGAGATATTAACATGTAGTCGACGAATAAGTATATTAGTTCTACTATCTGACTTCTTATTAAAGTACTCTTTTATATAGCCTGTAAGGTAAGCCTTATAATACCTCTCTCCTTTTAGCTCTGGAACAGAAATTAGTCTTATTTCGTAACTACTGTAAGTAACTAGTTTCTTTAAATAAGCGTAATTTATATAGCCTAAATATCTATAGAGTAGATCTGCTTTTATTTCCTCTATACTAAGCTAACTTTCTATTTGTTTCTTTAGTAGCTTTAAGTCTAACGAAATTGCGTTATACGTAACTTAATATCAAGGATTTATATTTAAAATATATAAACCTCTGTTTTTTATGCTTATAAAGGCTAGTTCACTATTCTAGTATCTATTTGCTAATATCTTAGTTAGTTTTGTATTAATTCCTTTATCTAAGAGTTAATATATTAATACTAGCTTTATAGCTCTAAAGTCAGGTACGTATTATACGTCTTTAAGGGTTAATCTATTAATAGTAATATCTTTATAACCTTTAACTATTAAGTATGAATTAGTCGCTATTTTAATATATTTAGTATTACGCTAGCGCTTAAGTTACTTAAACTTAGCTAGAACTTTACTAAAGTAGCGAGTAACGCTAGAGTTAATTTTTTAGATAGATTCTGTAATAGAGATTATTAATAAAGTATATTCTACGTCTTTAGTGTAGTAAATCTCTTCTAAAGAGAACATAGGATAAGTATTATTATCTTTAATTTCGTAAGTATTCTTAGCTTCTATGTAGTCTACGTACTAGTAGCTATAGCTTTTATACTAGGTATACTAATTTTAGCTTAGTTTAAAGTGATTTCCTCTTTTTTCCACGCGCTCTTTATATCTCTATTAGCTATTACTTCTGCTATTGTTATTCTGTCTTTTCTGTTCTCTCCTGTTCTTATATATATTACCTCTCTTATATAAGTGGCCTTTACTCTTCTAGCCTTTACTATCTTTACTACCTCTTTTTTTATTATAGCTTTTATTCGCGTAGTTCGTAGTGTTACTAGTAGCTATAAGTTGAAGCTGTTCTTTCTATTGAATTTAATATTTATTAAGCTTTCGTATAGTATCTCTAAGATCTAAGTCTTATAATTCTAAGGTAAGTGTTATAGTAATTTAAGCTCTAGACGTTAGTAACGATTATAATAGCTTAAGACGTATATCTTTATTAGTAAGAGGTTTACTATTACTGCTAAGCTTTACTTTAAAGAGTAAGAGCCTTATAATATAGTTTTAAAGTGTTTTCTCCCCTGGGATAAACTTTATTTTAAAGAAATCGTCTCTTATATTAGTAAAGGTAAGACTTCCTTGAACTACTTTACTTTTATTAGTGTAAATAGCTTCCTAAAGAGGCTTAGTGTCGTTTAGTTTAATAATATCTCTATACTTAAGAAAGAGAAGCTTAAAGATTAAGTTAATAACTATTTTAAAAGCTTCCTTCTTTTCTTTAATATAAGTATTTTGCTAATTAATACTATTTAGCACGCTAACTTCAGTAAAAACGTAATAAAGAACTCTAGCCCTGGCTAGCTCTTATTTAGTCTTAAGCTCTTATTTAAAAAAGTTATTAAACTCTAGTAAAGTTTTGCCTTTTAAGGCTTTAGTGACATAGGGAATTAGTGCTTTTAATTAAGATAATATCGTAATATAGTAACAGATATACTAAAAGTTAATAAAGTAGAGATCTTAATAAAAATGAAGTTTTAAGGTCTTTTATAATTAATTAGAATTACTACTATAACAGAATTACAGTTGTATAAGGAGCTACTATAGAGAGAGAGAATCTCCTATATAAAGGGGTAGCGTACTTAGTAGTACAGCCTATAGTACTGAGTCTACGCCTACAATCCCTATATTTCTAATAGGGGGAGTGTGGCGCTCTTAGCGAGCCTTATCCATTCCTCGGATCGAGGACGAATCCCGTGCTACAAATTGCTTTTTACACGTGGAGCAACACATCTTTATCTTGATGGAGCTACTGTAGGATTGTTATTATCCCTTATTCAGCCTCTCTTCGGCACTTGTTCGTCGTATCTTTGAAGGAAGCCACGATCTCAGCTGCAAGCCAATCTTCTAATCCATTTCCCCGCATTGCGCCTCTTGTTCCACGTTGTGTCCGAGACTCGTTCGCGGGAGTGATATTCTCCGAAGTAAGATACCATTCATCTGGCCAGATAGGCTGTGCGAAGTGGACTTCGGAAGCGTTGCAATAATCTCAGATTCCACGTCGTTGCTCAGGCATAGATCAGATGCCGGCACGGGATGGTCTGCATATCACCCCATTCAAGCCAAACCTGAGCACAGGTGCAAATGCCGGCGCTATACTCGCTTGCACCATTTCAGCTATAAGCGCCGTCACCCCCACCGCTACATTCCTATCTGGTCTACTATCTGCCCTAAATTAGCATCGCTGGTGAAGATCCGAAGATCTTGACTTGTACCTATAATAGTTACCCCTGATAACCTACGATAGGATTCTTTTCGGTTTGATAGCTTCAAGGAATTCTGCGGAAAAGCAAACTCCACATGCTTTGTGCACACGGAAAGGGGTGATTTCGGACGTCCCCCAACGATTTTCCGCCGCTATGTTCCACATGCGAAAGGTAACACTAGTATGGCAAACACCGACTTCGCCCTTCTTCTCAACGAGATCTACTTGGGAACATATTGAAGACGCTCGCAATAGAAGAAGTAGGAGGCATTAACTTTATGGGGAGAGGAAGAAACCGAGAAACTCGATACAGACAAGATGAGGTTCCTTTGTTTACCAGGTGCCTACGGCAGTGCGAAAGTGAGCCTCCCACGCCTACTCTCAGGCAATTCTAACGTTTTCAGAACTTTCAAGTCCAACTAGGTACCTTTCATAGTTCTCACCAATACGGTCTATGTTAACACAACCAACAGCACCCTTCTGCAAAGAAATGTCCAGTGATGGCAAAACCGAATTCTTCTTCACTCAAGGAGAAATATTATGCGATCCGCCCCCAGGATTTCTCGACTACTTCGGTCCAGCTCCCCACTACCGCTTCATAGAATACGACGGCATCGAGCAAAACGACGTCCTCGAACGCGTGCGCGACTTCCCAGAAGGGGAAAATCCTGAAGACGTCCTTCGTGAGCTCATGCCCGAAGGTTCAGACGGGATTCGCTCTTCAGTGCGCAACGCCCTCGATGCAATCTACGCTACGATCGAGAAACACGGCCCTTTCGATGGCATATGTGCGTATTCTGAAGGCACCGTCGTGGGCTCTACCCTGATCATGGATGAGCGAAAACGATTTGAGGATGAGGGACGGCCAAGAAGTATCAAGCGCGCTGTGTTCTTCGCGGGTTGGCCACCCTTGCATCTCGGGAGGAATGAGATGTTGCTTAGGGACAATAGCGAGGAGGTTGTGGATGTGCCGACGCTGCATTGTGTTGGTGCTGATGATCCGTACCTAGCTGGTGCCATGGCCCTCTACAATGTTTGTGAGCAGGATGACGCGGTACTGTTCGATCATGGGAAGGGGCACACGATCCCTAGGGATGCGCAGACGCTGAGGGAGTTGGGGGATGCGGTGAGGGGATTAGGGAAGGCTTGTTTCTAGGTAGAGCTTGAGGAGTTCGATCGATCGATTCAAATTGACCATTATTTCGCGTCTTGACGTTTTGCTTGGTCCTTTGATATTCTACTTTGAGCCTGGCCGTGCACTTCCATTCTGTGTCTCGGCGTGAGCTAGAATCGTTGCAGTCTTTCATCTCCGAATATCCCGCGGTAACCTCGCGAAGTTAGCAAATAGAAACCTCATTCCTTATCAACTATCTCCATCCTGATAGAAACGGTTGAGGCAGATCGACATTCAAACTGCGCGATGTTTTGAACGATTTCTAGAGTCCACTCCCTCAACAAGGCTGATATTGATCAGCAACGCCATAACCTGGAAAATGACGTGACCCACTCAAAGTCTTAGCGCGTGTTTTCAGATCCATGCTTGCGGTCACGAAACTGAAACATTAATACTTAGTAATCACGAATTCAAGACATGCTTATCTAGTTTCCGACTACTTCAGACAGACTCAGATTTTCATTCGCGGTTACATTCGGGTTCGAGGCTCTGTTTCAGATCTTGCCATCTCTTTTGCCCGTCTCTTCTTTGGACGATCTTTCTCGTGTGAAACATGGGAGATCGAGATTGCCAACACTGGACTACCGACAGGTGAGAAAGGGAGAGGATGAGAAGACGAAAGAGGAAGTTGTAGACGAAGCCCGCATGTATGAGCCGCATGCGGCTGTTCTTAGTCTGCCTGGCTAGAGGGATGTGTCGGAGAGAAAGCTTAGCGTGAGCAACGGCTTGGCAGGGCTGCGATAGATACGAGAACTTCAGATGAGAGACAGAGAGAGACCTGAGAGAGATAGACGGTGAGATGTATGAAGAATCGATCGACCTTGGGAAGGGTACTTTGACTTGGCAAAGGGTAGATAGGAAAGGGAAGGGAATGGGAGGATGATGGCGGGTATGTGTTGTCTCTATTGATCGATCGAGTCAGGGAATTCTGGACTCAAGTTCCTCAGGGAGGGGATTCTGAGTTTCTGTATATTTTGTAATCGATGTCGAGATGTAAGTGCCGAGGAATGGCGGAAGAAATGAGGTATCTGCTTTTGAATCTGAGCTCCCTTTGTTACAAATCGATATTGTTGTTGACGAGGAAAAGATCAGACGGCTGAAATTATGAGGAATCGGTTGTGCTATAAGCGGCATCAAGATTGGTAAAATATATGTAAAGAAGAGAAACTATGTACACAAAACCTCGATACCTCAGAACTCGAGCCCCTATCATCTCCTGGGAGACTTTATCCCTCTCATTATGAAGACACCATAATGGGACTCACAGACATTGCGAGTACCATTGACTCTGGAAAACACAGGTTGAACCTGTTACACAGTCCGTTGCTCCTGTCCATTGGTTCCCACCACATTGTCCATACTTGGCGATCGTTCCAACTGTGCTCGAAGTCGTTGCGGCTCTAGTGCTAGATGACGTTTTGACTACTGCTACAAAGGTTGATGAGCTTTGGACCAACGAGCTGGTGACGGGTATGGCGCCCTTGATTGTGGTAGAAGTAGCTTTTGCTGATGAGGATAAAAGCTTGGTCGAAGCCGGAATACTCGAAGAAGTCTTTTTCGCAGATACCACAGTTAAAGTGGACGGAGCCTGCACTGCTGCGACAGAGACTTTCGACGTGGCCAGGACAGAAGATCCTCCCACTCCACTCGAGACTGGCTTCCACAATGCAGCGGGTGTATAAACAGGAATTGGGATATTAGTCCCATACCCAGCAACTCCCCAAACTGGGCTAGCTGGCGGTGTGAAACCAGCTGGTGCTACCGTCGGAGTCACTGAAGTTGTGAAAGTTGCAAGAGGCAGACCGGTGGATTTCCTAGCACAGTATCCTATACCGTAAACGTTCTTGCATTGATTGACGACTGTGTTGCCGTTCACGGTCCACATATTGAAGTTGGAGAGCGTAATGTCCGTAGCGGGGACTTGGTCACTTCCACGGATCACGATGGCGCCTCGAGAAGAGCCTTTGTTCATTGTGCCAGTCCAGTTACTGAATGTGAGGCTGCTGAGAGCGACGGCTCCCGTGTTGGGGGTGAGGTGGTTCTTCCAGTATTGATCAATGTCTGCACTTGAATTAGAGACATTGGATAGAGGGTAAGTAGGATCTTCTTACCAAGCGCGTAAGTAGTATCGTAGGCCCAGAAATTCTCAAAGAGAGAATCTTTGACGTATCCAACTGCACCGGAACCACCTGGGAAAGTTTTTATCATCAACATCTGTGTGCATTGATATGTCAAAATATTTCGCATGGTGATGTTGGAGACTGCTGCAGCCGTGGATAGATCTGTGATATCGGCTGTGAGTGACCCAATTGACATTCCGCCACTCTGGTTGCAGATGATGTCCTCGATGAGGACGTTGTTCGATGGAGACTTAACACTAATACACTCATCTCGGTTCGTCACTTCGATGTCATGCATGTAGCAGTTGTCGGTGCAGATAACGTCGATACCGTCAGTGCCGCCAATGTTAGGTCCGTGGACGGTAAGGTGGTATGCTTCCATGTTCGAGACGGAATTGAAAACTAAGTGGAATGTTGGTGAGTCGACAAAAATCATGTCGTGTATGGCGATATTCTTGCAATTGATAAAACGGAATAGGCGGGCATTTTGTCCTGAAGCTGTGATTCTGGTGATGTAGCCTTGTCCGTTGATTGCGCCAAGGCCATTACTTGAGAAAACCTCGATATCGTTCGTGTTCTGGATTACAATAGCATTGCCATTGAATGCCCCATTCGAGGTCAGAGTGATCAGTCCGTCAATTTGGAGCGCGTAAGCAGAGCCTTTATTGAGTATGACACCGGTGGCAACTGGAAGTGTTAGCATCGGATCCATACGGGCTTGTGGAGGCATTACTTGAGAAGGATCCAGGCGGAACATAGATAGTTGCTCCTCCTGTTGAAGCGCATTTGGAGAAAGCTGACAAAATTGCGGGACCTATGTCTGTTTTATTGTCTGCTTTGGCTCCGTATTCAAGTATATTGCAAATCTTGGTTTTGGAGGAGAGTGGAGTGAGTGGTCCAATTGAGGTCTTATCGACTTGAGCAGCGGCTTGGGCAAGAGAAGAGAAAAATATGGCAGGTATAATAGCTGAGATGATATTTGAAAACATGGTCAAAGAATCTCAGCACCAGCTGATAGTTCTTGGACGAAAAGAATGCTCAGATAGAGCTGAATGGATATGATAAAAGAATGTACGGGAGAAGATGCATCTCCAGGCGCTGTATACTCAGAAAATAATACACAGACAACAAAATTCGTAATAAGCAAAATGGGCAGCGGGGGCTTTATGAGGCTGACTTGGTCATCTCAAAGTGGAGGTCCTGCAAATGACCCTTGGTTTGAGAAACATCAGCACAGGGCAGAAGCTGGTCCTCCGTGGGAGCTTGATTCGTAACACTGTTTATCTTTAATATATTCTTGAGTAGAAACCCGGCGTTCGGAACCTTCTCATCAATGAGATCGTGGAGTGGCGCTCCATTATCTCCACAGGATGTTTCAAGCTTGCGAACCCTGTTTGTGGGTATCCGTAAGTCCGAGTCTGAAATCTGGAGGCCAAAGTCTAGACTGATCTCTTAAAAGCCAAGAATTGAATCCATCTTTCGATTCTCGAAGACAGGCACTGTCATGGGAAATGGAACCTCTTATCATTAGGATATCTTCAGGGCAGCAGAGAAATCCATCCGTGTTGGGAGACAGAGTGTTGGGTGTATTAAGCTTGATTGTTGAAGGTATGCTGAAGCTGTAGTTATATACAGAGGCCCTTGAGTGGCTCCTTCCCTAACAATCCGGGAATAGGTGCTGTGTTAAGGCCATCTTGAGTTACAGCTAGCACCAAATTCGCATAGAAGGTTCGTCAATTGTTGAGATGATAGAGGCTTGGATGTCAGATATCGAAAATTTGCTGTCATTAATATGAAACATGTGATTTGGTTTCGGGACCGAACAATTTCGGGTGTCAGGGGTGTCACATGACTGTCCGCTTGGGCTCTTCCCGAGGTCTTTCCGACGCGCTTTGTCGCGTTGCTGAGGGGTTGCGGCAACTTCCAAAATACAAAGCCAACGATGAATATGTCTAGATTGGCGGTATGGATTTTTAACCTGTCTTGCAGCCATTTCTGAGTGGACCCAAACTTGGAGAACGCAGCATTACTTGTTAGAACAGACGCTAATGTTCATGGGCTTTCGCTGAGACTTCTATCAAAAGTATGCTTTTGGAAGAGATGGCTGCAGAGACACAAAGAGGTTTGACAGCGCCAGATTGGGAGTCGTGGGAGGACAAGGCGTTCAACGTCAGCGAAGTGAATCCCATGATATATGATGCTTATACCACGAACTTCTTGATCCAAAAAGCGCCTACGGAAAGTTGGTGGGATATCTGAGATCTGGCTGAGTCATCAATACAACAAGTGCATTTTGAATGTCTTGCGTAGGAGATATTTATTATGTGCCATCGCTCAACGTCAACAACGTTAATTCGTTTGTGCTTCTTGTGTGTTTGACTTTGTGATTATTTCAAATCTTTGTTCTAAGATGTAATGCTCCTGTAATGAGCCCTGTAGATTTACACTGGTACCTGGATATACTCTTAAATTTTGGCATGGATAGACGGCCTGAAGAACCAAAAGTTTGACCAGATAGCCAGGATGAGCTCAAATATCTAGCTGGATAATGATCTGAGCTGAAGCAGTCCATTTAGGTAAGCGAGACGGACACGCTAGCTCTGTTGACCTTGGTAAACAATCAGAAAAATCAGGCTATAGCACGCTGAAGCTCTACTATCCGTCGCTTTTCCCTCTCTTCTCCAAGCTTACTTGACAACTTCATCCCAGCACGATGACGAACGAGACAGTCAGTACAATGGCTGACGAGGAACATGGCAAGGAAAATTCGAGGCTAGAGCCTGGTAAGCTTTACTCTTTCACCTCTCACGTTCTTCGAAACATCCAATTCCTGATAAACACTCTAGTAAGCTCAAGACTTCGATCTTCCCATGCGCGTGTAGCGGCGACCTCCACAATCACATCTCGCGCCCAGGCGGATCTCGTTATTGCTCAAACCAGCCCTGACGCGCCTGGCTTTGTCCGATTCCCAAAGCTTCCTCTAGAGTGAGTCTATACCTTCAAATCATGACCGAGTCCCTGGGTGTGTGGAATAGCTTCCACCCTAGCCAGTGAACTTCGGAGAACCATTCATCACAGAGTTGCTGATCGTACCTCTGTGTAGGCTCCGACTCAAGATCTGGAGAGACTCCTTCCCAGAGCCCCGTCACGTCACCGTCGCAGTCATTGTCAGTCCAGAATTGAAGACTCGCAAGTTAGGAAGTACGCAAGAGCCACCCGTCACACTTCTGGTTTGAAAGGAAAGTGGCTATGAAACATTAGGGCACTACATCGTCATTCCTGTCCTTTCCGTCAAACTGCCACAAAATGTCAAATATGTACGACCTGCGACTGCGCCCAGAGCTTCATTTCAACGACCTGTCTTTGCTTTGGCAGGCGAATATGCAGTCGATCTTGGATGCCATGGGTCCTAACCGGGCGCAGGCAGACATTCTCCGGAGTGTCGTGGCAGCTGCACATCATTATTCGTTGGATGCATTCGGAACTGCGATCCGAGACTGTTTGGAGAAGAGCAAGCGCCGATTCACTAATGGTTAAGCCCCCGCTGTGTCCCTTTATGCGGATCTTTCTGAGGATTAATGCAACACACAATGCTGCGGAGTGGTATACTGCTGCTCATTCTTATACGGGTGCATTCTTGATTGTTGCGGAGCAAAGGGTCCTTGATTGACTGCCCCACAATGACATCGTCCAACAATGGAATCAAAAGCTTTGTCGCCAAATTGGTTTCTAGGGAGACCATGAGCAGCATTGAGCTTTGGTATAGCGTTAGGTTTTCTCTTATTGCGGTACGGAAAAGAATACAGCATCAATCTAGACAGGGCAGTACTATGACATATCACTGCAAACCTCAGCTTTTTTTTATTTTCTTAAAGTTTTAGGACTAGGAGTATTGAATTTTAATCCGGTGATGAGAGTAAGCTCCTTTACTCAGTGGTTGAGAAGTCAGTGTCGGAATATCATCTGAATTCTTCTTACCGATTGCCTCTAATGTCCGTGTAGGAGAGGGGCATTCGAACGTAAACACAACAAGCGAAGGGGTCTGTGCGAAGACTGCGAAAATAAACGATCACATCAGAGTTACTTCTTCACCGTGACTCTAACCCCCTTAGACCCTTCTCTTCCAACAGGGATGAAAACATCTTTCGGGAGCACCATATCCTCAGCTGTGGTCTCAAACAACTCAAGATACCCCACATCTCCCTCGGTCCTCACATCTTGGCTTCCATAAGCCCTGAAAATTCTCGCGATGGCAAGATATAGCTCTGCATACGCCAAATTGATACCAATGCACAATCGTGTACCCTTCGTGAAAGAGACAAGATATTTGTCCAAACGTGGATTCTCAATCCACCTCTCCGGCAAGAATTTCCTGGAGTTCGGGAACACCGACTCGTCATGATGAACTAGGACGCTGGTCATGCCGACTGGGGTACCTGGAGGTATATACCAATCTCTATTTCCGTCATTGAAGACTAGAGTCTCGTCTGGAGCTATTCGTTGAAGTCGCGTGCATACTCCATAGCTGAGTCGAATGGATTCTTGAATGCAGCCTGTCAAGTACGGCAGTTGCTCCAAGGTCGCAAGTGTGACTGTTGAAGCTGGCCCTTTCAGGGCGGTCTGCAACTCTGCTTTCAGTTTTCTGAGAGTGTCTGGCTGCGCGATGAGAAAGTAGACGGCAACGCACAGAGCCCATGCTGTCGTGAGAGTTCCAGCAACAACGATGGTTTGACCATCTTGGGCGAGACGCTCGTCTGATTTCTCTTCCTCAGGAAGATTGCTGTTTAACATTTCATAGAAGATTGTTCGATGGTCTGCATTCTTTGAGTCGTCTCTCTGACCGGACTTCATTTCTTTGATTTGGTTCCTGATGCTCTGATCATGAGGTCAGTGGGACTCTCAGGAAGAAATCAAGAAGGCAACTCACAGCTTGGAAGTCAAAAAATGATTTCATGTTTGGGTCCAGCCAGGTCATAGACGAGTCTGGCAGGGCTTTCATCAGAGGTAGTATCCAAGGATATTGCTTGATAAGTGCTCCACCACTACTGCCAGCTACTGAAGCATCGTGGAATGTCGGCTCGAAATCCTCCTGATCGACTCGATGGTCTGATCTCGCGAAAGCATATTCTTGAGCAATGTCTAAGATAATATTAGCACTTATCAAACCAATATTGTCAGGCTCAGACCATTTGTATAAGCAGAGAAAGCATAATTAAGAGGTATCGGCTCGCCAGAAGTTTGAAATCCTCGAAATCGACCCATCAAAGCCTCAACCCTCTCCTCAATAATTGGCTGCAGCTTCCGTACTGCACCCTTAGAGAAGAACGGATGTACAGCTGCTCTCCGAATACGATGTAGATCGTGGTCATTTGTACCAAACATCGATTGTGGCACATCGAATTGAACAGTCATCCAACCCCAGCGATGACGCCTCCTGCCAGGTCCAGCATACAACTTCTCGTAGAACTCCGGAGATGAGACGTGTAATTCGTATGGGTTGATCCGGATGATAGGACCATACTTCTCGTGCATTCGGCCGATTTCAAACGTGTATTGTCCGCCGAGAATTACATCGTAGTAGAACTCATACCTGCAATTTGTCAGCTTGGCAAGGATATCGAGAGTTTTGGTCGTACCAGAAACTGACAGCTGCCAATTTCGGTCCTGGAAACTTGGCGATGGGACTGAAATACAGGCGGTGGATAGCTTGAGCAACATGATATATAAGCCAGGAGATAATTACCACCAGCAGTGCTGTACTGTTAAAGATGAAATTCATTCTGAATACAAAACGAGAAGTTTTGATGATGGGAAGAGTCAGAGAGGGATGGCTGGAACATAAGTACCAAGAACACAGCAACGACTGCGGAGATACTTCAGAAGATATTCATTAGAATGTACTTATCAAGCTAGTGACCGAATCATCACTCTTTATGTGGTGCATGAAGTCAAATACTACACCAAATCAGGTATCATATCCGTAAGACTCCCCGCATATATGTGGAGTGAAGGCTGAGTTGGTGGGGGCACAAGGATCTGGTTTCCGAATCATTTCTCGTCGCCCAGTTCTTCTGTTATCCACTTTTAAGGTGTCAAATTTTCTCTTGTAAACTGATTCTATCATTGAGACTTCAACGTACGACTGAATCCGCTCTGAGATGAAGCCATCGCTTCTCGATCCCATTCTCCTAAAGATCTACTGCAGGGAACGGCTCTAGCCGAAACAGCGGACCTACCCGCAAGGATCTTCAAGCCAGGCTCAGATCCAGATTTTCGCGATGCTCACATTCCTGTGGAGACTGATGAAGTGAAAACCGGGTTCGCTCCCTTGTACGAGAGAGGGCGGATCTACAGGCGGGGACGTAGCAGTGAAATTTTGGGGGACTGCTCGGAAAGAAGGAAGGCAGTTTCGCGAGCTTGAGCGACGTTGGACCACCCCCGAGTCTGGGAGAAGTCGGTTCAGAACGCTATTGCAGATAAGACAATAAGGACCAAATAGTTGTTCACCCGTTCAGCTAGATCCTCTCTCTCCGGGTCCATTTTGATGTTGATTTATATCACGTGATTTGATGAAGCGTGAGATATCGAGTTAACCAAGTGATATTGCTCCTGTAAAGCTGTCAGGCTGTTCCAAATCAGGAAGCGGTACTGGGGGCGAGAAGAACTCGTAGAGGCTAACGCTATAAAATTGTAAACTATTCTTGAGTAAACTGACCAGGTGAGTCACATGCCATTGTTCCCGAGTAGTAACTTACACGAATGAAGTTTATTCGTAGGTACTTGTAGAACGTATCGAATCTATCAACAGAGTAAATGGAAAGGTCGGACGATGCACAGTCAATGGTGAGGTCTGCCTCGAGACTTGCCCAAAGAATGGCCCGTGAATGCGGGAGGCTTGTTATTCTGAGAGACAAGCTTGCGGATTGCTCACTAGAAACCACTGAAGATTTTCGACACCAGACTTTGTGAAAAGTGTTACATTGTTTGTATCTAACAATAAGATTGGAACATCTTGCCTCTTTGTAAGGGCTGGCAGGATTCCCGAGGTCCGCATATGGAGCTATGAGGTCGCCTCGCCCTGGATGCGCGCTGTGGACAATGATCGTCCAGTCCGAGCTCAGATAACCAACATTGACTGGTGCACTGGATATGAAATCAGTGAAGAAGAATCGTTCTATACACTTCGTAAAATGATCACGGGAATTGTTGTTTTTGAGATTCAATCGAGCCATAGGTACCCTACAAGGTCTCATTTTAGAGCCTTTGAAAATTCCTGGCATTCGTCAAAGTTAGGACAGGAGACTGATAACAAAATACGAGTTTGCTATTGCATCAAATCTTCTCATAATTCCTTGACGCACGGATGAAGAATGTAGCAAGTCTGTAATTGACGTCCCATGGCCAGAAGCAGAAATTACCAGAGAGAGGGAAGTACAAGATGGTATCAGACTAGACAGAACATTTTGATTTGACATCACCACTGGGACCAGTTGAGGAGTAGGATGATCGCGAGCTAATTGATGGTCAGCGTGACGCACTTATCCGCGTACAGCTGCAGCAGTCTCCGGAAGGGCGGTAAACTAAAGGTATCGAACTGCTCGCTGGCTCCCAGGGCATGTGAAACTGGCGACAACTGCTCACGATCACTTGTGGCAATGAGCTTTTTGCAGCCCATCTGGAGAGGAATGATGCTGTCGGGCTCGTTGCAGAATGCGTGTTCGTCGTTTAGAACGACTGGAAACTGCAACTTCCATTCTGCGAGTTGAGCCGAGTTATTGCAGGTGGAGACGACAATCATCGGCAGTGTCTCGTCTTGGAAGACTTTAGGTGCAGCCTTCATGCCGAGGCTCAGGTAACTCGCCAGCTCCACAGCATCCAGCAATCCGCCACTTTGGATCTTGTCCCATTGCTGGACCCAAACTCTGGCTGCTTCTTGATCTTCATTGCCAGCAGGTACGCGCATGTCGCCTCTCCAGGACTTGATTGTATTGACAATGCAATACCAGTGGTGATATTCATCATCCAGAGAAGGCTCATGCTCTGATTGCAGCTCACTCTTCGTGAGCCGAAGAGTACCAAAGTAGATGAGCTTATACTCGTCAGCCATGCCCGGCTGCTGCTCATTAACGGTCTGGCGCTGCTTGATGAGCTTCTTCATCAGAGACCATACGGTCTTGTTTGAAGGAGCCACGACAAGGGTATTGTTGCCCAGAATTACCGAAATGGTGCCAATGACAGAGTTTGTAACACTCATGCTAGTTCCCGGTGAACCTTGGATCAACGTCAGAAAGTCACCAGACCAGAAAGACTTATACATGACCTCCTTCTGCTGAGGATTCAGAGACGATGCTTTAAAGTAAGCTTTCACGGCTGCTTTTCGCAGCTCGTTAGTACACAGCTCAAACAGAGGTTGCTGGGGCAATCTGATCTTTCGTCCCATGATCATCGACTGAAGCGCATAGTTCTCATCATAGCGATTGACATGTCTCGAGATGAAGCTAATCGCCTTCATTTGACGGACTGCAGCGAGGTCACTAGACTTGGTGAAGATCTCGAACTCGCAGTCCTGGCCCTCAGTGAAGAGACTAAGTTGGCTATCATCCAGAGTGATGGCAGCTCTGTAGTCGGCATTATCAATCTCAGGAGTGTCGAAGCGGCTTGCTCTCCAATGGTACTGCACAGGAGCAGGAGCAGAGTAAGCGTGCGAAGGCCAGCTGTTGTTTTCTATCGCATTCTGAGTCTGAATGACCGACTCTGTGCCACCTACCTCGCTTGATCTCAGACGATGGCGGATGATAGCTTCCGGAGTGTGTTCCATGACATGATCACCGCTCAGCTCATCAGGCTCGGTTGAAGCAGAGACAAGTCGGATGGTGATCGTATCTGCTGGGAGGGGAGGTCTACCGAGGCCTCCATAGTTCTTGATGTTGAAGTCGATTTGACACCTACGTGTGGTAGGATTTATCGACACGATAGTACCCCCATGAGGCTTTCCTTCTCCGTAATTCTGAAGGTGAGCAACAGCAGCATGCATGTGATCACGGTAGATTGCCAATGAGAACTGAAAGCGGTAGTCCTCCAAGGAATCAAATTTCTGATACGCAGTGTTGCTGAGAACGCGAACATCGCCTGTTTGAGGATCGACGCTTTGCATCCAGCCGGGGAAGGTGATGGGTGTGTAAGAGCCACTATCTTGGATCTTCTGCAGTTCTTTGATCCACTGCATCTTGACATTGTCGAGTTGTGCTTTGTAGAACCAATAGGCACCTGCCAAGGAGTTTTGCATCATCATGTCAAAGAATCTGTCAGTGCAGGCATTGACTCCAGCCGCCTGGGGATCACGCATAACAACCAAGACAACATTGGCTTTGAGAGCAAAGTCCCGAACGATCTCGCCGAGTTCCGAGTCGCTATGGAAGTCCGAGTCCTTGCGGACACAGAAATTGAGGCAGTCAATTTCAACGCAGTTGAGCTTCGTAAAGTGGTCTTGGATCTCTCCGAGCTGCTTACTACTCATATCAGTCCCCATCCAGTTTTGGAAGATGTCGAGCTGCTCCTGCATGGATGCTGCCAAGTTGACAATCTTACGCCAAGTGATGACCTTCTCATTGTTGATATGAAAAGGCGTCATGTGTTCTCGGTGGATAGGAACTGAAGTGTTGAAAGGCAATGGCTGAGTCTTGTCTTCACCATTCACTTGGCTCAAAACAACGGCTGGATTTTGACTGCTGAAATGATATTTCAAGTTCATTTTCTTTACGAGAGTGCTCTCCATCGCGCCAAGTATGTTGATACCAGAGACGAACACAACTGCTTGGGTAAGCTGTCTGAGCTTGGGCATGTGCGTGTGCGTCGGGTAGTCACCGGTCTGTCGAGGTTCACCATTGTAGTAGTCAAGAACAAGTAAATCCTCGGCTGCCTTGGGGGTAATTTGTTCCTTGGTCATACCATTAACCAAATTGATCTCGGCAAGATTGGCGCCTCTACGCACACTAGGATTGAAGTGGATATCGTCGGTCGAGAACATGCTGAATGATGTTTGTATGTGATGGCGCTCTCCTTTACTGAAGCCGTGCTTTGCCTTCGACTTGCTTGCTTTCTTAACGCCCTGACCAGTCTTGAGGAGGGGGTTACGCTTGTCATGACCATGCCTAGTTCTGCCAACAACCTTGTTGTTACTCTTGGCAACGTCCAGGGTACCAAAGAGTCCTGTCGAGGGATCATTCTGGACCTGGTTGGGCTGTTGTTGATTTCGTGCAGTGGCTGAACCTTCCAGGCCGATGTTGGCGATATCTGAGAATGATGGGTCGTGATTACCGATCAGAGGACGAACTGACGCATTGCGAAGGTGGGGGTTATCGGTTCCTGGGCCAAAGGCGGATGAGGGTAGTTTCTTCTGTTGATTCACCGAGCCAGAGCGAAGACGAGATGAAGATTGGTTGTCCATATCTTCAACGACCTCTTGAGCGAGGGTTGCATTGTTTTCTGGTTGCTGACGCAAGCCATAGGGTTTGTTTGAAGCTGATCCAGAGGCAAAGCTGCTTTGGTCGACTGGGCCTCCCCGCCCACGACGACCACCACGCCAACTACCACGACCACGACCACGACCACTACCACGACCACGGCCTTGCCCAAAGGGGGGGCCTCCAGGATTCGGCGCACTGCTCATCTTCGTGTTTGTCACGATAGCTTTTCTTCTTTTGGATTTTCTATTTTGGGAGATATTAGCAAATGATCATTGTAATGTTTTAATATTGTGATGTTGTGATGTTGTGATGTTGTGATGTTGTGATGTTGTGATGTTGTGGTGTTGCGGTGTTGGAGTGTTGTGGTGTTGTGATGTTGGAGTGCGCGAAGATCGGTGGGTCGCACTCCAATCTCCAAGGAGGACGTTCCGCGGATGGCAGAAGACACTTAAGGGCTTTGAGGAGGAGAATAGGAGACTATTTGACTTGCTAATGATTTTCTATGGAAGAGGAATCGATTGAGATCGGCTGTCCTTGACAGCCCAACGCGAGATCTGGTAGGAGAGGGGAAGATGAACAAATTGCCACTCGACAACGAACTGGACACGTTGAATGCCAGGGGGCTTACAATGGGCGGACTTGGGATTTGCAGATGAGGTTGCAGAGATCTCATGAGCTCAAGGTTCTCGAGATTGAAGGGAGGCCACCGATCGCAATGTCAATCGACGCGCCGTGGGAGAATAATAACACCGCGAGAAATCGCAGAAGGAGGAGATGATGATAATTTGTATGTGATATCGAGGAGTTAAGAAGGAAGGGTGGATACTTACGGGATCCAAGCAACAGAGGGAAGCAATAAAAAGATGCTGCAGCTTGAGGAGGAAGGAAAATCTATAAAGGTCGGGAGACAAAGTGAAGGAGGTAGACTCTGGCTGCAGACTAGCGGCATAGTTAAGCGATGGTCACGCTATATGACCAGGTTCTCTGGTTTAAATCTATCCAATACACTAGCCATTACTGGCTAAGCGCAGCCTGACGAGGGATCAGAAAGACCGTAAAGAGATTGTTGTCGCAGAAAGAGCAGATTCACAAATTAAGAATACGTTCATTGGTTGTCCAAATATTATTGAGGCTGCCTAATGACTTGTCCAAGAGTATGTGTCGCTCATGAGAGCTTGAGGTATTGTCTGGCATATCCTAGCCTTTCAGATATTGATGTTCTGCTACAGACACGGGGAACCCTTGGGAACATCAGATACATTCAGACCTGAGACACCCTGTAGCATTTGAAGGAGATGTCGCACAGTGCATGCATGACTTTCAATCCAAATCCATGAGTGCTTTGGAATGACTTGAAGAAAGGGGGACAATGTAATAATGTTTCCCAAAGGGACGTAAAGGTATCTTGGCTGGACAGCACTGTGAGCCTTCAAGGACTCTGTCTGGTGTCCAATGAAACTAATCCAATAACTACAGGCACTAAACGAAGTACTCCAGACACTCCTGTAGAAAGAAGGAAGTCCGAATTTGGCGTGCTCGGCCTGAAAGATCAAGTTACGACTCACCAGCGGCGAGACGGGGCTAGCACAATGAATTATAGTAGATAGCTTTCAAGTCAATAGGTGCAATTGGTCTCAACACTTTTGGGACATTTGTCAATAATACCAAATCTATTTTCTAGTGTCATCGCCATCATGTTGCCCACCAAGCGACTAAAGTCTAAGAAAGCTCAACGCCAGTCTAATCTAAACTATACCAGCATCTCGACATCCCAAGACCAAATCTCTGAATTCATCATGTGCCGCTTTACAAAGCAGCAGCGAATCCAGCAGCAAGAGCTCCAAGCAAACCTAAGACGCTGGTAACCTCTCTACCAGCAGCTCCGCTCTTGGGTGGCAAGACAGGGGTAACTGTGGAGGTTGGCGAAACCGAGGAGGCCTTGGAAGTGGTTGACATCATTGAAGTCGTAGGCTTAGAGGGTGATGCCATAGATGTCGATGTGAGACCTAGTGCAGTGCTCAAAGCGCCCTCCAAGCTGCTCTTGACACTGCTGACCGCACTTGACAGTTGTCTAGCGTTCTCAACATGACCAGCACGAATCTCCATCTTATCCTGAGTATCCTTGATATCGCGAGTTCATTGTAGAATCTCAGTTGGGTCGAAGGTGGGAGTTGGAAGTGGGTAGCCTTGGTCGACGGCATCTGCGCGCTTCTTGACGTTGTGGGTCCATTGCAGGATCTCATTGGGGTTGAATGTTGGTCTTGCAAGCGGGTGAGATTGAACAACAGCAACGGCTCTCTCGTTTAGGTCTCGGGTCCATTGGAGGATTTCGTTGGGATCGAAAGTAGGAGTTGGGAGGGGAAGGGTGTCATCGACTGGGTCTGCTCTCTTCTCAACGTCACGAGTCCACTGGAGAATCTCGTTTGGATCAAAGGTGGGAGTTGGGAGAGGAGCAGCGGCATCATGTCTCTCCTCAACATCACGAGTCCACTGAAGGATCTCTGTAGGGTTGAATGTTGGTCGAGCCAAAGGGTGAGACTGAACGACGGCATCGGCTCGCTCCTTGATGTCGCGAGTCCATTGGAGAATCTCAGTTGGGTCAAAATTTGGTGTTGGCAAAGGTAAAGCGGCCTCATTCCTCTTCTCAACATCACGAGTCCACTGAAGGATCTCATTTGGATCAAATGTAGGAGTTGGAAGTGAAATAGCCTGGATGTCGGCCTCTTCTCGCTGCTGCAGAATCTCAGTTGGGTCGAACTTGCCGGTAGTCTTTTCGGATGCGACGTAGTGGAATTTGCAGTAGCAGTACACACCGCCGTTTGGTTCTGGAGTTCTGTTAGTTGTGCAGTCGGTAGATGGTCCTTGCTTCATCAGAAGGCCTCGAGCGGTGCAATATGTACCATATGCGGCGGTGCACTGGGAGGCGGTCATGCCTGGATCTGGTCAGTAATGCATCTCAAGTATAAGAAAGAGAGACGCGCAGGGGGGAGAGATTACGCACCATGGTCACAGGTAACATCATACTGGAAGGCGTTCGAGAAGCCGAACAGAGTGAGGAGGGTGAGAAATGTTGCAAGATAGCTTGACAACATGCTTGCTGTACTTTGAGGTCTTTGCTGAAGTGACAGAGCGATGTGAGAAGGGGTTGATTGTAAGTTATTGTGATCGAAGCTGGCTTTGTGGATGACAAACTCGAAGGACTTGAGGTTGTGTTGGGTCGAGGCGTTGCAAAGCAAACAGGGTTTATTTAGATGTGGACTGGGCGACATCGGTAATTTCATTGAATAGATTCACCATAATAGGAAAACTAGCCGTGCTTTGAAGAGTCATTGATAAATAAATTCCTTTTCTGCGATTTTGGAATGCATTCACAGACTAGCAGTCGACAAAATAGTAAAGTGCGATTACGCACCAGATCAAAGGTAAAATTACCGCACGAAAATAGGCTTCCATTTGACATGTTCAGCATTGAAAACGTTCCCTCATGACACACTCCCTGGAAATGATTCATTTGACTCGAGTGTCCAATTATGTGTGAAAATTTCAAGTGATGCTGCAAATAGAAGGCGACGCATGACCCGTCTGCATTGTGTCAAAGACGGAGGAAAAGTTGATGAAATTACCTGGGTATACAACTGCTTTACTATTTGAAATCACTGTATATGAGAGATAAAAGGTTTTGATTTCATTGATGTGCGGGTTCTATCGATCTGTCTGCAGGAGCGACTCGCAGTTCCATGTACAAAGAATGAGCTGATGCGTTTTCTAGTCTGATTGTCTCCACAGTTTCGTTTCTTTGTTGCCATTTCCTTTCGGGGGACTCGCCACGATCACACAGAGTCTGTCGAGATCATTCTAAACTGCTAATTTTCGTGGGACTAGCTCCGAGCGTGAAAGTTATGGTGGTTATCTGAAGTGTACGCTCCTGCGTGCCGCACGAGGTGGGAGCGATGGGCATCTCTGAATTCACTGCACTCGTGCCGAACATTCCATCAGTATGCAAGCTCGTGACGGCTCTAAAGTATGCCGTTCCGTCCTGAATAAACGTCTTGGTGCACATGCCCGTGGGTCTCGCCGTCACAGCAGCCTGGACTTTCGAGATGGCAGTACGGGAAATATGGATACTCCTGACAGAACAAGGTTTCGAGTGTGTCATGAGATTGCCCTCGAAAGTCATAGTGAAGAAGCATCCAGATGATACAGAATGACGGATGGTCTCGAGAGTGGTCTTCGAGACGATCACAGAGTGGAGATCCGATTGGGGATCCTCCTCATGCCCCTCATGTCTGATGACTGGGGACGTGAGGCTGTGAGGTGGGCTGCAGAGGCCGAGAGTGCTGAGATCGAGCACAAAGCTCAACATTGTGGTTTGAATCTGCATGGCTGTTAGTCTTGGTTTGCAAATGTTGAAGACGAGATTGGGATGGAGGAGAGGGTAATTTTAATGTAACTTGAGGTATCTGTTCCGCAAAGCAAGCATACGTTGAACTTGAAAACAGAGATGCACAACAGCAACAGTATTCTAGATGGTATTCGGTCGCGACTGGAGTCAACTATGCTCGCTGAATTTGACGCAGAGTATAAAGAAACTTGGCATGCCGAATAAGTCAAATCCCACGAATGAGGCGTAACAATCCCATTGTACCTTAAAACAAGAGACAACAAAGACTAGAACTAATAAAATCTTCTTCAAAGCACACAGAAGTCACGGTCGCTAAGAGAACTTATTGTACGAAGTAACCACCATCGACTGCAATAACCTTGTTTGTGACATATCCAGTCTTCACCATCCACAACACAGTCTCGGCAACTTCATCGGGAAAACCGAGTCTTCCGATCGGAATTCCTATTTAACATTAGCTTCAAATCCACAAACAGAACAACAGAAGACTTACTTTTGGCTAGTTCTTCGTTATTTCCTGGTAGCATCGTCGTTTCTTGAATTAGAGCAGGAGCAACTCCGTTAATCGTGACTCTAGAAGTAGCATAAGCCCCAGCAAGCCAGTGTACCAGACCATGGAGCGCTGACTTGGATGAACTAATTCTTATATTAGTGATGTTATCCACAAGAATCATTGTAAATCAAGCAGGTAATCAAAGGAAACTCACGCGTAATGCGGTCCAACAACCCCACCACTGAATCCTGCCACACTACTACAAAAAATAACCCTCCCCCATCCAGTTTTTTCCATCTGAGGTAGACAAAGTTGCGTCAACAGAAATGCACTTCCGCAATTAGCTTTCCATGTATGCTCGAATTCGTCGATGGAGATATCGGTGATCTTCTTGATGCCAGATTTTAGAAGGAGCCCTGCATTATTGAAGAGAATAGTAGGATGTCCCATCGACGAAACAATAGCAGCGTGCAGGTTCCGGACCTGGTGACAGTTAGCGAGTCTTTGTTTCACAGAATGAAATATTGAGAGAGAATGCGGGGTGAAGTGCGGGGTAATGAGCATACCTCGTCATACTTTGTGAGGTCTGCTTTGAATGCTTCAGCTCGAACACCTTTGTCTTTGAGATCCTTTACAACGGCAGTTGCTTTGTCTTCCGAGGAGTGGTAGTGAACTGCTATGGAACAGCCCAACGAAGCAAGAGCCAGGCATGTTGCTTTACCAATTCCGCCACTTGCACCAGTGATCAGCGCCAAGTGATGACGAAGATCTGTTGTGAGATTGGAAGTCATAGTCCCAGATTATTTCCCAGATAATTTCTGGGGGATTCGGTACAGCGACCAGCTTTGAGAATGCAGAAGTCTTCATTGATGCTCGGATTGAGATGAGATGATCTCTAAGGTATCACGTGAAAGGAGGGGTAATGTCAACAAAAAGCAAGTCTTGGCGCAAGACCTTAGCGTCTCGCCTAATCTGTTTACTTTCTCATGGACACCATCCTGATCTCCACCATCGCTGGCTCCACATCGCAGGATCTCGCAACCCCAAGTAAGTTGCAAAGGAAGAGCCTAAAGCTTCACGAGCCAGCCTACGACTCCCAAGCTCCAAGATGGAGGACAGCAAAGGCATTTACTACAAACCTCACCAGTTTCCATCATTGCCGATCAAGCAACAAGCTCAAGCATGAACTCTCACAACAACCTTACTTTTCGACCCAAGGAGACTAACACCAGTCATTCTGAGCGTCAATTGGCCCAAGATGATCCGAAGGATGAGGGGAGTGGAACTTCAGGTATTTACACAGTTTCTACTCCTCATCTGCTCACGACTGTTTCCTAACTCTCCTTGCAGCTCCCACGCTCCCAGGCGACGACAACGAAGGCGATTCAGATGATCTTATAATCCGCCAAGAATTATTCGCTCACCTCGCTCATGAGATCTTCAGTGAACTCAAAATTGATACAAGACTGTCGTCGACAGCAATTGAGGCGCTTCAGAAGGGAGCTGAGGCGTGGCTGGTCATGATCTTTCAAGGTATGTGCTGTCTTTGCCATTTAGTCTGATACGTCATCTATATTTCTAAAATCCTTGGAGACGCTGCATGAAGATTATTCAAAGGCTCACTGATATCTGTAGATGCGAACCTCGAAGCTATCAAGAACCACAGATTCACGGTCCAGGCAAGAGATATGGAGGTCGCTCAGTTTGTCATGAAGTATGGACGAGATGCAGCTCATGAGGCGCAGGGATGATCCAATTTCTTCTTCTATTTTCCCACCACGGGTGTTTCAGATAAATGCTTGTTTACTGAACGTGGCGATTTTAGACAAGAAAATACAATGAGCTGCTTTTACAGACCTTTGAAGCTCACAGTTCCCACTTCATACTGAGTCCAAGAACGGGAAATTCAAATGTGACTACCATTTAGTTCTTGGAAAAAAGAGAAAGCCCCTCCACTCTGGTTTACTGACCCGCGGGACTTTACACATATTTATATAGGTTCAGCTCCTCTCAGACCTGGCCTCTAGGTCACAAAAAGGAATCGAAAGAGCTTCCCCCGAAGGTCCATCACTATCGGGAAAAACTTTCAACTCCAGACAAGAAGTCTAGATTTGGGGTCGTTCCAAAACCATGTCATCGAGTTTTTTAACCTTGATGTCTCGAACCTCCCTCATTGGCATAATGTTTTGTCAAAGCTGCTGCTGTTTGTTGTCATCTTGGCCGTTGCGGTCATCAATCGTCACTTTGGGTTTGGATATTCTTCGTATGTGACAAGCAACTACCCCACCCGCTTCAAAGAATTATTCCAATAATTAACAGGTAACAATATTGTGAAGCCAGATGCCAAAAGATCGATTCCTCCTTCATATTTCACTTTCAACCTCCGCTTCCAGGAAACACATTCTTAAAGTCCGCAGGTCATTTCTGGGATGTACAACTGGTTGTGTTTCCCCTACCCATCGTTTTATATAGCTGTAAGCTCAGGTAGTGATTTTGTCTCAAATAGTGAAATGATCAACTCTGCTCGATCTCAAAAATAGTGATTAATCCTAACGCCATGAAAGCACTAATATTCTGAATGTTCCATAGCCTGTTATTCACTGTCAATTTTCAGTTTCACATTCTGTTCCTTCCGCTTCCTGCAAGCACCTCAGACACATATAAACCCCGGAGACACGCAAAATTCATATCATCATACCTTGCACCTGGAAATGCAGAAGTTCACATGGCTCCAGCTGGAATTGTGATCCAACTTCAACTCAGGGAATTTGCCCCCAGAAAGGCCCGAATTTTTCGATTGAGAATGTACTGTACGCCGTTTTTTTTATTTTCTATGACTAAACCAACTTTCTCTCCTGGATGGCGATCAAAATCCGAAACACATTGTTGCCATTCCCCAACTCACCATCATTCCCCACGAGTTGCTCGAACACAGCTACCCCCAAAACACAAGCAATCATCTACTTGAAAGCTATTCCGAAACAAGTACAATGCCTGCGTTCTTGACCGTAAGAGAAACCTAGAAGTGTCCACGTTTACCACTTCCATAGCTGGACACAAGTACAATCATCTCTGACAAACATTACTCCACATGATGTGTGGTCTGTAAACCGTCTAGATTTCTTCATGACAGGTATATTGAATCTAGCTTTTACACCATCTGATATGTTTCTATCAACCAGGAAGAAGCAGAAGAAGAAAGATATTTTGATTGACTGAACGCTGCATCGAAACCTACCTTTTCCTCTCGTCCCACCTCGTTCTAAAGCATGTTACTCCAACATTTCACCTCCACTTCAATGATGTCTTTCAGTCGCATCTAGCAGCATTTACCGCTAACATATTGCTTTTCGCCATCTGTACAGTACTGCAAAACCAAGTTGTTCACCAGGAGTATAAAATCCCCCACCATTACACCTAATCCAGAGCAGAAATACCAAAAAAATACCAGAATCAAAAAATAAGGCAAGTAGTGATATTGTCTTTGCATCTAATTGGTGATACCACAGCTTAAACCCTAGATCAAAATCTGGCAAGCAAAACTATACCCAAATCTCCATTAGACTTATCAGCTGAGAAATCAAGGCCAAGATCAAATTGACAAGAGCCTGCTACTGCCGCTGTTGCGAGCTGGATCTGCTGTTGTCAAATCACCGCTCATCATCAATTACTCGCGTCTCTATCGATCTCCAACACGAAGATTAGTGGCTGCTGTAACACAAGTCTGGCTGGTTGAGCGAGTCAGCAAATCAATCAGACAGTACAGCAGCCGCAGAAGATGCAGCTTCAGCGTCAGAGACACAGCACCTGCTTGGTTACCTAATGTGCTGCAGCGGACAATCCGGCGGCTCGGCTGATGCGGTAGGTGAGGCTGCAGTGATGCGTGAGGGCATTTATGTAAGGCACAGGACAGGGGAGGGAGCGTGTAACGTGATCAGAAATGGCCTGATTCCGGGATCGGGTTGAGGAGGTCGTGTCAAGAGCAGAGAAGCAGCATGATGACCATGAGAGTGGAAGTGTAGGTAATAAAAAGGGTATCTATCTATTGCTTTCAACTATCTAATGCTACGATTGTTGTCCTTCCTACAGGCTAAAATACAAGTGCGCCAGCAAGCCGAAGGGTGGAGGGAAAAGACAGCCTCACTCATCAGGCTTATTCTCGATCCGTCCATCCAGTCTCCAAAGAAGTGCCATCCCCCTAACCATCCGACCGAGAAGGCCACAAGAATGCCTCACCAAGAGACAAGGAAAAAGTCCGGCATACACAGCCTCTTGAAATCAAGGCCCAAAGACAGTCATGCTTACACCCAAAGTCCCGGAAAATAAATGCCGCAAACAGCATTGGCATACTGCAAGGCGGCAAAGTGGGGTCAAGCGATGCACCCCTGACACTAAACAGCCTCGCGCTTGTCAGGGCCAACGATAAACCCAATCGCTTGTATGCCCTGACATGAAGAATGCCCTTTGTCTGATGGATATGCCCCTTATGCCCTTCTCTTTTCATCCTTGCGTCTTTGTTGTTCCCTCCGCTCTTGCGTTCGTCTGTAGTCCTCGGAGTTTGCCGAGTCGGATAGTGGTGCTGCTGGATCGTATATTCCCTTCTCGTGTTGAATGACCTTGACTTTGCCGTTGATCTTTGTTGTAATAGCATTGCGGTCTATCCTTTGTTAGTCGTTGCACAAGATGTGGTATGACATCGGAACAAACCATTGTCCGGAACTCTCTGCTTCTCGACAACGGTAACAGCATTTGCCATTGTGGTCCTACTCGATGTATAATACCCGTCTGTAGAGGATCGACCAGAAGAAGCGCGGGATTCGACCGAGGACCCTCGAGATTGTATGATAGTCGTAGGCTTTTGGGTGTAATGGCTTCGAGAATCTCCGTAGTATGACATTCTGAGAGGGGACTCGGTTTGTATTTAGGTCGGATAGAGTTGATTGCTTCTTGTGACAGGGCAAAAGTGAGGCGTGACAGATCGTGATCGAGTGGAAGGACTACAAGTTAAGATTCAGGGAGAAGATTGGGAAGAAGGAGATAATACTTATAAGATTCAGAGCTCGCCCCCAACACTAAAACCTACCTGTCATGGCAGGCTTTTCTCCCGAGGCAAATGCGTGGTTTCTTGCTACCAAGAGCAGCGCCACTGCTAGAAGCCCTATCACTCTATAGTGCGCCAATTTGCCTCTCCTGACCAAGCCAATACTAGTTGACTCATTCTCGCTGGAGCTCGGTGAGCACTTTCGTGACCGGAAAAAGAAAAAGGAGAAAGCGACAACGCGAACGCGTTCAGGGACTTCCTGCTTAAGCTGTTTTTTCAGGACTCTTGCCGCGTAAGTGGCTGTAGCCGGGGACGCGTGTTTGCAAAAGTGCAACGCCGGAGCCGGATCAAATAGAGCCATGGGAAACCGTTGAGAGTGGCTTATGGGGGAGGAGGATACATTATTCGGGCTGTGTGGACTGCGGCAAAGCAAGGGCTGAAAGAGAGGCTGACAACAAGGCATTGTTTAGGGCTAACTTGCTCCTTCGTCCGACCCGGAGAGAACTCATAAGGCCGCACGCATCCCCCGCTGGTTGATTTGGACTTGAAGGTCAAACGAAGAGACGGTGGCAGACAAGACTGCTCAAGACGTGGACGGTGGGTGCCTGGAAAGAAAGGGCACGATGGAAGCTGGGCCAGCTGAAAGATACTGCTGACCGGTTGGAAAGGAAGCCAGCCCAATTGGTGGTGTTGTCAGCCTTGGGCCCACAGCTGGAAATAGAACAATCATTGGCTCAGCCTGATCAACAGGGTGCTCTTATTCTCGTGACAATTGATTTTTAGCAAATGTCCTCGGTGAGAGAAGTGCTCGGACGCTTGCGGTGTGTGTTGATGTCGCTGACCTGTTCCCGTCGGTGTGTGATGATGGCAAAGGAGTAAAAAGAGGAGGGGAGGTTGGAAAAGAAGGTCGTTTCTGCCGATGCCCACGCTAAACTCCTTCAAGAGCTTCCCCACGTTGGCTGGGCATCTCATCCACCCATCCCTCATCCTTGTTCAAGCTACGTCTCCAGATCCGCATCAATTGCATTCGTTCACGCCTTTGAACCAATTGAGCCAATTAATAGCCGCCATCACCCAGGAACAAGGATTTCTGTCCTGTCAAATCCGTCATCCGAATTCCAACGTGTCCAAAACCCCATCAAAAGGCACGTCGAATTCTCCAAACCTCGAACCGCTCTTCTTCCCCTCTTTTGTCCACCTCAACTCACAACACAACAGACCACTTCCTCAATACACAATGCGTCTCCTTACTCTCGCCGCTTTGGCCACAGTCGCCACCAGCGTCTTTGCCGCCGAGGTCGAAATCGAAGTTACCCGTGCCGTTGAGTGCGACCGAAAGACCAAGCGTGGTGACAAGATCTCCGTACACTACAAGGGCACATTACAGTCTGATGGATCGGAATTCGATGCCAGCTACAAGCGGGGCCAGCCTTTGAGCTTCACCGTGGGTCAGGGACAGGTTATCAAGGGGTATGTTAGCTCTGCAGATTCGCAGGACAAAGGCAAGTACTGACTTGAAACAGATGGGATGACAACCTCTTGGATATGTGCATCGGCGAGAAGCGCACACTCACAATCCCACCCGAGTTTGGCTACGGAAGCAGAAACATGGGACCTATTCCCGCAGATAGCACACTGAGTACGTCTCTCAACTCTCCAAAAGGAAATCGGTCGCTGTACTAAACGTGGAATAGTCTTCGAGACCGAATTGATGGGCATTGATGGCGTCGAGGCACCTGCGAGCATCGTGGAGAAGAAGGTCGAGAAGGCCAAGGAGACGGCAGAGAGTGTCGTGGACAGCGCTACTGAAGGTGTGAAGGAAGCTATCAAGAGCAAGGTAGCTGATGCTGCTGAGGCTGTTAAGGTCGTCGTTGCTGACACTGATGGTGACGGCCAGGAGCACAACGAGCTATGAATTTAGTTGTTGAGCAGTATGGGTTATGAGGACAGGGGTGGATGTCGGGTATGATATGGCATGATACTCTGGGTCAGTCACATACTAGGGTAAAGCTGGATGGCTTTTTGGGTGTGGAGATCCGTACATATTGTGCACGTAAATACACGGCAATGAATTGTTTTGGCATAATCCGGGCTGGCTTGCGTTCCGCACGCCAACAGTCATCTTTGGACGTTGAGTGAGTCTCCGGAGTGAATCGATACGTTCTTGCTCCCTCTTGGGGAGGTATACCAACGTACATTTGCACTTGGTTGTGGAAGTATGAGAACAGAAGACATAGAAACAGCAGCGATCTACCTGAGGAAGAATGCGAATTCCTTCTCGGCGCCACAGCCAGATGGCGTCCTGTTCAAACACCGCAGATATAACAAATACGAACTTATTTGTCCCATATTTGAATTGTATTCGCCCAGTCACTCGCAACTTCTGACCTACCGACACAAGCTGTACGGCGACAGTACAAAAGCCTTCGATAGCAAGAGAAGGACTGCCAGCAATACACTGCCCCGCGCCCAAACAAGCAAAGCGAACAAGAAGAGCACCGGAAACAAATAAGGTACATGAAAGGGAGTGCCGAGTCTCGGCAAGTCAGAGCCACCTACTGTGCTATTGTCTGGCATGGGATAATGGCCTACTCTCCTGCTAGAAAGGAGTGCAGTGTCTTGATCGTTGTCATGGTATATTCATGGTCCAGCGGTAGGCCCCTTACTGTGTATTATAATAACTTACCCACCACTCAAAAACGGCTCATACGTGCTTGCTCCTCTGGGAGTGAGGAGCGGACTTATCCATTCACCCAGTAAGAACTTTCGGAAATTGGAGGCTGAGGCCTGAGATCTGCTGCGAATAATTATGGGAAAGAGTCCGGTGGGTATGTGAGATATGGCGGGCATTAAAGAGTCACTACAAGAAGTGCAGTTCGAGTAACAGTGCTACTTTTGTTGAAGATATCGGAGTTCGTGTATTAAGTTCAACGTGCCTGTCCAGGTCTGTTGACTTCGAATTCGGCTCTTCTGCTCCTGTCCCGCATGATAATATACCGTAACTGGAAAATGTGAGCAACTTTCGAATTGACGATAGAAGAGAAAATGATGGTAGAGTGATTCCCATTTCATCCTAGAATCAGAGCTCTGGAGGTGATACTCGAGTAGCTATCTACCTGGTGCCCTCCTTCTCTCCACTGTGCTTAACTAGAATGAAAATGGCAGCGCGGAGTTGCGCGATGACATCTGAATCGTTTCTACTTTGATGAAGAGCAGATAAACAATACCTTGCATAATTTATACTTTTAGGGGGCATGGCAGGAGGAGAGGAGGAGGTGGGGTGGCGCTATCAGTGCTCCCCTCGCTAGATGTCCATCAGCAGGTGCGAAGGCATCACTTCTAATGAAACTACCTACAGCGACGACTTCTTTCTTGACGATGGCCAACGTCTCTTCTCCTGATGCCTTTAGATCCTCTGGGATGGACAAAGCCGTGAATTCAATATCCAAGAGCGATTCCTGGCTTTAAATATCCGTTCCCTTGTAATTATCCCTTCATCTGCATCCAACCTCCCTTTTCCAATCATTCCCTCCAAAGCTTTATATCCAACCACCAATTCTACTATCCCCTCCTTCTTTCTCATCCATTCTCATATCACCAGCGACTGGCACATCGATGTCACCAACAAACTTTTCCAGCATGAGTAGCAAATTAGCCTCCAGACCAACACATCCTCGCTTTCCGTACTTTTCTCGGCACAATTCAGTAAATTGCTCGCAACGACCGCATTTTTCATGACGGCAAGGGAAAAACTCGACTTTCTTGGAGCCGGTTTTGCGGCATTTACCACACACTGGATGTGCATCGAAGGACCATTTTCTGCACTGTGAGAGAGTCGTTAGTTCTTGTCGGCTGTAGTGTTCAAGAGAACTGAAATAGTGTGGTACTTACCAAGCAGCATATCCAAACACCATCATTCTTACCTGGAGTTGCGACCTTCTTTTTTGCTGATAGGGTTTGGTCTGCAATCTTGCCGCTACGCTGTGAGGTGCATACAACCGTCTCGGATGGCGAAACAGCCCTGCTTGGCTTGATTGTTGAGGAAGAAGATCTCGTTGAGGCCATGGACGACGATGAGGACTGTGTGGTTGTGGTATTTATTGTTGAGGAAGTGGCTTTGGGCTTGATGGTGGAGGAGCTGGAAGTTGATTTCATTGAGAAGAATGAGGATAGTGAAGTGTGCTTTTTGAATATTGATTTTGTGGTAGGTGGTTGGTCTTTGTTTAAGGATTCGGGACTTTCTGTGCTGTGCGCTGTGAGACCTGGATGCTTCTTTTCTTCCTGCTCTTGGTCTTCCGGACTCACTTCTGACTGCTGCTCCTCGCGCTCTTCTTCTTGACTCAGCCCACTGTCCGGCGACTCATTCTCCTCCTCCGTTGACTCTTTGCCCTTTTCTCCCCACCCGAATCTTTTCTTCATCGACGACGTAATACCGCCAATCCAACTCGAAACGCGCCTTGGAAGCTGTAGCTGGCTCAGAGTCTTGCTCTTGACGAATGACTTGGGTATGAAAAGCAAGGCACTATCATCATCATCAGAGTCTGACGACCATCGACTAACCTCGTCCTCTGGATTGGGACCGGGGTCGAGCAGTGGCTCATGATCTGAGATATCTTCGAGAAAGAGGGGATGAGTTAGTGATGGGGATTGTGGATGTGACTCTGTTCGAGTTGTTGAATGGAAGCTTGGTGCAAAGCTATGTCTAAGACTGTTGTTGGAGCTACATGGTTGGACGGCAACGCTGTCACGCTGGTAATGACTGGGTAACTGCGGTGCAATGTTCACCCTCTGACTGGTGCTGGTGCTGTAAGGTTGAAGAAAGACACTGTCACACTGGTAGTGACTGGGTGGCTGTGGTGCAATGCTAAGCCTGGGGGTCTGGGTACGACGGAGGCCATGATTGCGATTGTTTGGGAGATGAAGACATTGGGAGCGCGTGAGGGATTGTTGTGACAGTATCATGGTGAGCAACCGTTGTGCGAGATCGAGAGTGAGTTGTTCGGTAGGTGTTTGTTGATGTCAACGCATCCGAGTTCGAGTTCGAGTTCGACTTTTGGATCGAGTTCAAGGTCTCATATGACAGATCAGGTCGAAGCGACAGCGAGGTTGAGTCGCTGTGGTTGCCTCGAATCGACTCGACTAGTGAATAGGACGCCGTTGCGATCATATTGGATGTAAATCGACAAGTTCGCGACATTCGAAGCGAATTGCTGACGGAATTCACTTCCATCCTGGTATCAACTCGAGGCCGTCACAAATTCATGGGTCTGTGATCCGGCCTGTGAGGCAATTTTGAGTCGTTTCTGGAGTGAATAAAGAAAACAACCACATGCGCTATTCGATTTTGAGTCGCTCTGGGTCTAGCTGCGTTGGGCTGAGTAAAGTAAAGTTGGAATCCATCGAGTTCGAGGTAAAGTAAGGTCCTCAGACTAAACAGCCTAATTTTGCGTAGGTTTTGCGCATTAAAATAAGATTCCAACGTTTTTATGTTATTTCCGCTGATGGCATGGAGTCAGTGATAATCGGTTCGATATCGGTGACATTGTATTTATTGAAATTCTGAAACCCTTTGAAGTAATACAGTTCTAGGATGGTTTCGAGATAGATGATACAAGACTACAAGAAACAGTTGAGGCTTGAGAAGGATCTATTGTTGTCAGAAATAACACATTATTCTCTCGCCTGAGTAGAAAATATACATATCCAGCACGGGTAACAAGAGCAAGCGCTTACGCATATCACTTAACCGACCAGCAGCTTCCTATTTTCGCCTCTGACTTCCATTTCCTGAAGCCTATAGCCTCAAACCTCATGAGCCAGCCACCTCAGTCTAAATTCATATTATTTCCGCACTTATCGTCCAGCAATGAAAAGTGTTCGACCAGCGACATCCCAAGTTTAAAACCCTGTTTGTTATCCTCGCCCGCAAGATTCCATAACCGAGCTTCGACTCAGCCCACTTCCACTTCTATACTTCGAGCTAGACCGTAACTCAGTAAGGAAATCTCTCTTTCCATCTCGTCTCTGTGATCTTAATACAGTCCTCACATTTCTCGTGCGCACAGGCGTCCCGGGTATAATCGATCAGGGTGTATCCGGACAGAAGACGACGGCAGGTATATGTTGGGTGGTTGGTCCATTGCTTACACTAGATCTGTGTTAGGTCATTGAACTTGGGAAACAATTTGAACTAGAAAGATAAGGGCTGAGACAAGATGAAGTACATACAGCGCAGCATACCCAATTGGTATGGTGGGTTTCAGAAGAATCCGAGACAGAGATATTCGAGGATTCGGAAGAAGAGCTTGAGGAGCTGGAGGTAGAAGCGGACGACGACTTTCTCTCATCTCTGCGACGGCGCTCTGGACCCTTTGAAGAGCTCGAAGACGACATATCTACTGAAAACAAGTGGATGCTTGGGTGACAAGGAGTGCCTTAGGCAGGTATGGTGCTCGAGTCTACCAGGTATTTTGACTTCAGTAATGACCCTGATCTGCTCGTTCCCGTCCCAGCTAGAATCACAGACATCCAAACTCAAATTTTTGAGCAAGTTTGACGGCGAGGGTCAAAAATACTCCTGGAGTGTACGGCTCGAGGTTTGGATGTTGAAGGACTCGTCGTGTTGTCAAGAACAAAGAACTGATATCAAAGTCGAAGTGGGGCGCGCTAGCCTTGGGAAGCGAGCTCGAGATGTTTATGCCGCCTCTGTTCGAGAGCAAGTACCCTGATGACGACATTTTTCAACTCGCTTGTTGAATTGTCATACGACATTATGGTACCTAAGTTCGGAACATCAAGAACCTAAATCCTTCACTCGTTTCGGTAGGTCTTGCCATTTCGGGTGATTTTCCGGAAAGAATCGGAAGTAAACAAAGACTCGCGACAGACTCATCAACACTTTATGTCCCAGATTGGATATAGAATCCTAGCCAAAGTAATACAAAAACAAATATCAACAATGATTATGACATAATTTGTCACATTTCGTTACCTTTTCCAGTAATTAGAATTGCCATTGGGTGAAGGACGGTAGCCCAAGCAGCACTTGAAGTTCGCCACTGATTTCAAAATAGCAGTCAAATATGATATTGAATTTCCAAAAAACAAAAATGTGACTAAGTCATTAAACTGTTGGTAGTTCATCTTCTGCCATGACTTGTTCCTCAGCAGCGTAGACAGTGTTAAGCATACGGGCTGTAATTAGTAAACATAGAAGACGAAAGGCTGGATTCACGAAACAAAGGCGAGGCTTGTGAGAAACAACAATCAATAAAGACAACTCTAAACAGTGTTCATGTAAATGCTGCCATGCGGATCCTCTCTCTTGAACCACTATCTCCAAACCATGAACAACCGCAAAATTTATCAGCAAAAATTCAGATCGATATTTTACTAGTTCACTGGCTCCCTATCCGATCGAATGCTCTAGTCTTGAGTATCAATCAGCCTTCCTTCTGCACTATTGCTCCCCTGTGATGCTCCAGGTGCTTCCGAGACCTCAAATTTTGGCTGCTTCATCACCCCAAGTGTGACCGAGAATGTGTACTGCCCCGTCGGACAAGTAAAACCGGGATTCTTCTTCCAAAACTTCGTTCGGGAAACGGCGATTACTCTTAAGAGCAAAATCACGAGTAAGAAGATGCTAATCACTAGTTAACCACTATCCGACGTATTCAAACGCGCCCAATTAAATGGCATCGAATGCTAAAACTCACCCAGTAACAAAACTCAATCCACCTGTAACGCCCATCAAAATCCTCACAGTTCCACGCATACGCAAGCAATGTGGATCGGTCTTCATTGGCTCTCGGTAGTATTCATAGCACCAATTCCTGTCCGGCCATCCGTAACCGAAAATATTGCCAGAGTAGATGAGGATTAGGATGGGGAAGACGATGTCGATTACGAGGCTGAAGAACACAGGTAGTTCGATGAAGATCATCACCATGGAGAGGATTAGAGAGATAAATGTCTGGGAGAGGTTAGTTTCAATCAGGTATTCCTCGCCCCAGCTTTGGAATTCAGAAATAGTAGGGATGAGGAAATGAGGCTTACGCATATTCCTAAATCCTTCAATACATATCTGGCATTATAAGTATACCCGGTGAACGATGCAACTTGAATAACCGCGAAAGTGGCAATCGCCGTCATGACAACAAGGGACGAGAAGATGACCAAAACAATCGTTAGTGCCTTGATTGAACGCTTGAAACGCGAATTTGCTGAAGTTTTAGTCATTAGCACATCTTCTTCTTCTCCATGAAATTTGTTGGTCTCATCATCGTGATCGTTGTCGGAGAGGAAAGGAGTGTTCTCAGAGTCGTCCGCCATCTTGAGTTTTTTTGACGGGAATCAGAAAACAGTATCTCGGCTTTTCGAAATGAAATATGGTATTCAATGGCAAGATTGTTTCAAGCCTGGGGAAAGCTGTCTACTTATCGTATCAGGCAGCAGCAGCACCACCAGGAGTGAGGCTTGAGACTGTGCCGAAGGAGTGCATGGTCACGTGGTGACCGCTCCTGCTCAGCCTCCACGAGATCCAATCACAACCCGATCCTTTTGAAAACGAGAGATGGCACGAATATAGCCTGATCCTTCTATACGATCCATGCTGTATTCCGACTGTGGCGTTTGTAACTCTGGCGGATATTGCCAGCCAGCTGAGAGCTGTGATGGAGAGCTTGACACTTCAACTCCCCATCACTTGCCAAACACTCCCAGTAAGCACTACTTCAAAAGAATGAAAAGCTAAAGAGGAAAAACTCAACTGTGTTTAAGGTTTGATTGAGCACTTACTGTACTCGACTGACTCGTACAGAAGTGTTGATTGTGCTCGGCGTGGCGCCAAAGATAGTGGCATACCGAATCCAACCCCTTCACCCATAATCGCGGCAGTAATCAACCAAACACCAGGGTAGTAACTTCATATCCCTCTCTAGTATCTTTTCAAGGTAACTCGGGCACCGTATCCGACAAATCATGATCACATCTCATCCTTGGGAACACCCATCTCGCAGTTGTCGCATTTCTCATGAGCGCAAAGCACCGAAACGTTCTGGGATGGCAGAAGTCTAAAGCATCCACAGTATTCATCTTGCAATTGAGACCTGCCTGTACACTGAAAACAAAGCAAGATCAGCATTTCGTCCCGGAACTTAATGGAAAGGCCAAGTGAGGGAGAAACCAACTTGGCAACATTGCCACCCTCCACATTTGGCAGACCAAGTCGCTTCTACAGCACCATAATTGGCCGATTTCGGCTCGACCAAAGCAGTGCTTCCATGGAGTGGTTGGGCGCGTGATGGACGTTGGGTTGTGAATTTATTGATTATCAGACTGCAGGCTATCCGCTCGAGTGCAGACGACATCATGAGCGAGAATTTGGCCAGAAAGAGGTGGGATTTATCGCATTCCAGGGCAGTTATGGGTATGAATTCGAGGTGTTATTGATGACTTGTATTATTGATAAAATAATAATTTCGAAAGCGGCGCAAGGATGATACGTCTTTCAAAATTCTTCTTGATATCTCTTGAAGTGGGCTCGGGAAGCACAAAGGGAAGTCACGACTCTCGACTTGGAACATATGCGTTCAAGTGCAACAATATAAGCAAAATTAAACCTAAAATAGCAACCCGGTAATTCCAATGTGAAATAATAAGGTCGTTTCGGGAACCTGGGAGAGCTGACTTGTTAAAGTGAGATCAGTCAAAGGCCGTGAAAATATCAAGATAGCCTTTCAGCGCAGTTTTTAGGAATTTTCCCTGCAGAGGTAATCTAGCGAATTCCACAAGACTTTCCGAAAATACTAATGGTTTCGTTCATTTTAGACGACATCACATACCCTGCATTATTTACTTCTAGATGTAAGTCAGCATCCCAGCTTGGTTACACGAAACTCTAATAGTCGCTTCAGGGGCCGTCCATGTAAACAAAGCACATCAGAGTACCCTATTTCAGACCCTGGCGAATTTCGTGCCACTCACTGTCACACCATTCCATGTTGGAGAATATGCAGATCCTCCAGTGGACGGAAAATCTGAAGCCGTGTGACTAATGAGTGGAGACCCCCCACGGGGTTCGGAAGTGGGGTGGATATTGGCACTCTGGAATCCTTAAACTTTACTTTTCTGATCAAATCTCTACCATGTCATCTACATCGCCATGGTTGATACGGTTTCGGAGAAGAGGTCGTCGGTAGAAAACAGAGGTGTAGAAAAGTCGGCGCTGTTCATTCCCGGAGCGACTCAAGATTTGCCACCGCTCGCAGTCCTTGCATCTACCACGACTTCTCAGAAAGAGGTCACAATACGACAAGTTGCTCCTTTGATCCTAATCTTATCGGGAGCTGCATTCATCAATGTAAGACCCTTGTCACCGTACTTCAGCCTCCATGTTGACAGCAATTCAGACTCTGTCCATTCAATCTGTTGTCATCCTCTTGCCCAGTATTACAGAGGACCTCAATATTCCAGACACGAGGCAGCAATGGATTGTGTCGGCCAATTCGCTAACAGCGGGTTCATTTCTTCTCCTGGCAGGAAAACTGGCTGATGTGTATGGGAAACGATGGCTTTTCATTCTCGGGTCTTTCTGGCTAGCAGCGACGACGTTGGGTGCAGCTTTCTCGCCAGTTGAGATTTGCATGTATGTCATGCGAGCTTTGCAGGGTGTTGTGAGTACTGCTCGGTATAATTGTCCCCCATCCCTTACTGACTTCACAGGGAGCTGCTGTAACAATACCAACTGCACTTGGAATCATCGGCTACACAATTCCTCCCGGGCGAGTGAAGAATTATAGTTTCGCTTTCTACTCTGCCGGCGCTCCTACAGGGCAGGTAGTTGGAAATTTACTCGTGAGCATCTAAAATTTCCGAGTGGCATGCGATTTATTGACATATTTCCAGGGAGGAATAATCTCAGAATACACCAATTGGAAGGTCGTCTTCTTCGTCATTGCGGGATCGGCATTTCTCATTGGCGTAACTGCCATATTTGTGATACCCAAAGAGCCTACTCGAGCAGAGAGATCTGCTGATGGTCCGCAAGCATCAAATGTTGACTGGATTGGCGCATTTTTGTTCACTGCAGGAGCACTTCTCCTGCTCATTTCCCTTTCGCAAGGCGCCTCAGCAGGATGGAAGACGCCGCTAGTCATCGCGTTCTTGATCTTATCGGTTCTGTTCCTTGCCAGTTTCGGCTTCTGGGAGCATTATCTGGAGGCTCATGACCGCGAACCCCTAATGCGGATATCGACATTCAAGAATGGACGATTCTCCATCGCTATGGTGATAGTTTGCATCTTCTCCGCAGGATTTACTAACTTTCTGGTCTACTCAACTTACCTGTATGAACTTTTGATCCGTTTCTTGGGTTTGAGCTAATAATTTGCCAGGTACCAAGATTATCAAGCCCTATCGCCAATTCACACTACTATCCGTTTCATCCCTCTCGGAATCTGTGGAGGTATGACCCCTTAAATATCTTTTCAAGCATCACTAATAAAATTACAGTACTTTCGACATTGGTATCCGGCTATCTACTAGACCGAATTCGCGGAAATTATATTCTCATCTTCGGTCTCGGCATGGGTACACTCTCCAATGTACTCCTTGCAGTCCCAATTCCTCCAACAACAACCTACTGGGCGTACGGCTTCTTTGCCATGTGTTTCGCTGGTATCGGAGCTGATACGGTGTATCCCTGTCTTGGACTCTTCACAACCCAAGCGCTTCCACGTAAAGATCAAAGTGTCGCCGGTGCAATGTTTCAGACTTTCGCTGGGCTTGGGAGGGCAATGTTCCTGCCTATTACTGCGACAATTCAAACTTCCGTACAGACCAAAATGAGAAATAATGGTAAAGGTGAGTTGCCTGCTTTGTTGGAGGCAATTAGGGCTGTGGAGTGGTTTTGTGCTGCGAGCATTGGTGCGGGGTTGGTCATGACGCTGCTTGGGTTGAGAAATATTGGAAAGATTGGCCTACTGAAGAAGCTAGGAACTGTGCAATCGGCATCAAAAGAGAAGGATCAAGAGGCAGTATAGTATCAGAATATAGATCGTTTGAGTTCTCTATTTGTCGGAATGCTACCTACGGTGTTGGATCTGTTCGGGGCGATCTCTAGCGAGCCGTGCTTTCCACTTCAGGCAACATATCTACATGTTGATAACAACTTCGGATGCGTCGTCGGTCTTTCCACTTGTAGCAATTATGGTTGATGGTGGCAGGAAGCCTCCATGTAGTTGGAGAATACCCATGCTTTTATTATCACTTGTGTTGCTACACCTCTCCACACCAGCGTCATACAGACATCGATAATCATTGCTCCTCGATATTCGCGGTGATATACAAGGCCGAAATCTCAGAAATAACGGCAATTACTACGCATTAGACCTTGGGACTAGACTGGTTGTGAGACAAAGGCAAGTTTGGATGACGTGCATTTCGGAGCCTATTTTCATAGAAGCTGATGTGATCAGTGATTACCAGATAATGTCTCACCAAGAACAACCAGCATCGATTCCAACTCCAGAATCTATCCCGAGTCCTACACCCTCTCTGACCTCAGCATCGAGTCCAAGTCCACCTACAATACCAACTTTTAGCACACAAATACCAGTCTTGTACCAGAGAAATGACCACCAGTACAACCCGAACATTAAATATGAACATCGAGTTGCCGTCCGCGCCGTCCTACGGTACCCTGTCAATCAACAAATAGCACTGATACACTGTTCTTTGGGCAACTACTGGAAACTACCAGGATTTACCATCGAAGAGAACGAAGACCACATTACTGCTCTGGCAAGGATCATAATGGAGGAAACCGGCTGCAGGATTGACCCGGACATCGGCGAGCCGTTCCTGAGAGTCGAAGGGTGGAGCAAAAGCTGGGGTCAACGACACTTCCACGAAACAAGTTTTTGCTACAAGGTAAAGGTGAAAGGGTTACTTAACGAAGAGCCCAGAGCCAAACTCTACTGTAAACTGCACTGGGGTGAAGTTTTATCAATGAAGCGGATTATGGAGGATAGTGCGGTTGATTGTGACTCCACATATGCCCGATTTTCTCACTTCAGGGACTTACATATCATGAATTATTATACTACAGGCATATTAGATCACTAGTGAGCTGGGATGGAACGTCGGTATCAGAGAGAGTGAACTGTCAATGGTCAGTGGAGGACATGTCACGAAGCGTTCACGAATAATAACTTTCGGTCGCAAATGTATAGAAGCCCGAGTTCTGGAGACTGTATGAGAGGTTCGTTTGAGTGCTTCTGCAGCTCTGCATTGCCCATGCTCTTCTTCCAACAAAAAGAACAAAAAAACCCCAGATCCCCATCGTCATTAACACGTGTTGCATTGATTTCAGAATCTGGAATCAAGATACAAATCTTCAACTGAATGATAGAGGAATGGTCCCCAGGCCAAAGTGACAGGGGGGCTGGGGACAACAATCTCACTTCGTTATTGCATGTCTCACCAACCCCTGTGGGCAGCATCAAGAATTTCACAAGTTGAGCATCAGGTACTCAGAATGTCGTATTCGTTTTCAATAACTGATACTGTACAGGATAGCCATAATTTGAAATGAAAATGATTGCCGATGGACTTATGTAATACACAGGTGCAGACTACCCCCTTGCCAGTTGTACCACAAGCAACGTACTTGAAAGGTGTCGCCTTAATTTCACAGAATCAAACACAGAACCAAACGCCTTCGCTATGCCGACTCGTAAATGACCACAGATTATTCGAGAAATTAAGGTGAACCGAGGCGTAGAAAAATCAGTGTCCTCTAAATGCCGCTGAGACGCAATGAGAGTACCACTCCGAAAGTCGTTCACAGAACAAGTTGGGCTCGCAAGTGTGTCCGCCGTGCCAATCCTTTCCATCACATTGATTCCACTCATGTACAAACCCTCCTGGCTCATTTCCCCCCCAAACAATCTCAACTTCAATAAGTTGGCCAGGTGAGGGGGAAGGAAGAGCCTGAGTTTTGGCCGACTCCACAGCTTCGATGACCTTGGCAGTTGTAGATGGCTTAGAGTCATTTGTCTTGGTGATCAAAGTCGTAGGCGCCTTTGGTGGCATAGGCTTGACTGGAGAAACGATAGGAGGAACAACTGGTGAAGGTGCCACTGCAACAGGAGGATTAAATTTCGGAGTGGGCGTTACAGCCGGCTGTGTAACTGCGTTGCTCGTTGTTTTTGGTGGAGAAGCAATTGGAGATTGCTGGACAGCTGGTGCCGCCGGACGTGAACCTCCCAGAGCAGCTCGTGCCTTGATCAAAACATCAGGAGCCGACCATGCTTGCGACATATCCCAGAACATAACACCACCGAAGTTCGAGAACCTCTTGCAATATGCGAGAACCTCTACTAACTTCTCGCCCGAAATAAATCCACTGCCAGCAGCACCGGGTGCAGCAGGAACACCAACCATGAGCTTAACGTCGGGATTCCTTGACTGCTTTGCCCAATTTTGCCAAGTCTCGAAATTGAATCCGAGTTGCTTCTCTATACCTGAAACGAATGCCTTAGCACTACAAAAGGGGTTGTTATAGAATTGGATGAAGACAGCATCAAATGCAACGTCGCTTGATAGTACTGGGCCAACGTTCAGATCCGGAAAAGGACATTGTGGTGCTGCAGTCAAGAGATACTTCTTTCCAGTCTTCTTAGTGGACTCCGACATTTGTCTCCGGAGTTCACGTGCGAAGTAGATCAAGTTCGATAACGGCTTCTCGTTGTCGAAATCGAAACCATCCACGACGGCATTGCCAAATTTTCTGTTGGCGCCAGGGACACCTGGAGGACCGAATGCAGCCCAGAGCTGTTGGGCCTTCTGAATAGCCTCAATGTTAGAAGCAAAACCAGAGCCGTGGGTGATCTCTCCTCCCAAAGAAAGGACGATGGTCTTTCCGTAGACCTTTTGGCATTCCTGGATATCATTCCTGCCAATGTCAGCTCGGCGCTTTTAACAAACTCAGATCACCTACTCCAGCTCGGAAGGCGAACGGTTCGCGAATTGAAGCGAGTCTGGATTCGCCATATTCGTGAGAAATGCAAGAGGAATGATCTGTATCGATGTCAGGTATATATTCAGAGAAGTCTGTCATGACCCATGCTCAAACTTACGTCCATTTTCGAATCTGGTACATTACAAGTTAGCAATGATTAAAATATTCAGGGATGGAGAATTTTACCTCTACAATAATATGACAGCCTTTGTTGCGTCAACGGCCCCGTGCCGACGCCATAAGAATTTTGTCCTTTGACCTGTCAGTGAAATTTCAAGCAAGGCGAGTTACACCACGGACCCCAGTATACGACGACGTTATTAGATGAAAGGGGGTCGAATCCAGCACGAACGGCTGGAAGCAGAGTGGCAATGATAGCCAGTCCTCTGGCGATGGTCGAAATGAGAGGCATGGTTGGGATGAAGAATTAAATATTTGTAAATGAAAGAAAATTCTGTAACCGATTAGAAAACTCCTTGTGACTTTTATTCTTCAAACGTTGTAAGTGTGGGTAAACTACTCTATCTTAGTCTCGGGGTCTACCGTGGTTCAGCACACCGGGTGACGCGATTATCTTGTCCGTCGAAGCTGCAGACCAATTCAAAGCTGAACTTTGGTTCTTTCCGCTTAGGTGATGCTCGAAATCTACTTTCGTAACGCAGAAATCGAAAGGCTAATTAATTGTGCAAAATATATGAAAATGAACGACAGTTGGAGAAGAGAATGGAGGCTGCCAGGTCCACTAAATGTTAAATTTGGCGAAGGGAGAGAACCAGAGTATCGGGTCCCAGTGCAGCATTGGATGTCGTCAATGTAGGGAGACTTGAAACACGGTCCAGGTTGTGTGCATCGATTCTTGGTAGTCTCACCTCTCTGTGTGCTGGAATGTAATCTAGTACGAATTGTTGACTTTTGATGCGATGTCATCACTAGTTCCCAACTCATACTTGCACGATTTCACTTTGCCCAAGTACGCGCTTGGGCGGATATTCTAGCTTCGCTAGCATTTTGCTTAGAACAGCATGACCGGTATATTTTTGGACTCTAGCCATATCGGGTCGTAAAATGAATTGAAAGAAAGGTAGTATAATTCCAGCCCATCATTTGTTTGGAGGGTTGTCTCAAATGCAGATCAGAAGCGTGGCGTACGCTGCTCGTCCTGAGGAATGCAATGGTCGCGGTGCTCCCTGTGCTTGTAGGCAAAGGAAATCTGGACCTAGAATCTAGATCTGGACTGTTCTACTATTCATCACTCCCGCGTGGAAGGGGAAATATCTTAAGACAGGTGCTCAAATGACGGGAAGCATTTTTGAAAGGGGCTGGAGTGATGGACAATATTGTTTCGGTAAACAGCCAATGAGAGTGGCCAATCGTTGCCCTCGCTTCAATGGGTCTGCTCTTGGAAAGGGAGTCGACTTGATCGGAAACAACCCTTCAAGAGATCGAGGAGCCAATTGTCCCAAGCTCTTACAGCCCAATAATCCTGTGATGACATCCAACAACCAAATGGAGGATAATATGGTTTTAAATGGCCAAGATGAACGGTGCGGTGCGACGCCTCGCTAAGTAAGCCCCCGCAGCTTCTAGGCAACCGACAAATTACGTCTACTAAATGACAACGCTTCTCTTAATTAACGTTGGTAGTCTATCATCTCTATGTTCATGTCCACATCGGATCCCAACTGTAAGTCTTCGAAGCCAAAGTTCTCGAAATTCATCCCACTGTGCACCTCATTCCACAACGCAACCAAATTCAAATCTCTCCCTGCATCTCTCCATACAACACCATTGAGCAGTGCAATGAACCCTTCCAGGTCAACTGCACCCAGTGTATTGCACACACACTCCATCTCACGCACATATCTAGCTCGCATCATCTCGATCCCTCTACTGGCCAAAGCACCCAAACTCAATACCCACAGCAGCATCTGCTCCTTCCCCTCCCACATCAAGTTCACGTCAAAAGTAATTGGATCCCACAGCTGGGCATTGAGTCTTTGCAGAAACATTTGAAAGACTGGAACCTCGAAAGGATAATCCCTCAGAGTATGATACAAATACATCTGTGCTGCTACAAAACATGTTTGACCAAGTGAGCTGCAGGTTGGGGAGTGCAGACCGGGGAAATCTCGGGTGTGTTTTAGGAGGTAGAAGAGATGGCGTTCTACTAGGTAGATGCTGTCGCTCAAAGTCCCAGTAATATCTGATTCCAGATGGGATTGGGAAGATATGCTGCGGAGCGAGCCGAGCACGCTGGAAAACTGGGCGGAGCAAGTACATGCTGGCTCAGAGAGTTGGGTTTGGTCTGCTGCATTTTGGTCGAATTGGATTGGCTTGCAGGCTGTGAAAGAGGTGAATTCCGTCATAGGATGGGTATCAGCTGGTGTCATGTTGAAACGAGGTTCAGTTCCGGCTATCGTTGCGTTCAGAATATCTCCCCTGAGCAATTTAGTATGACTGGCCAGGATTTGTTTGGGAGCATCCACTTACCACAGGATTTTCCGACGAAGGACGCCCGCTAAACCTAAATTATCGATACCTCCTCTCAAAGCTACCATTTTTTGCAGTCCATTCATGTGGATGTTGGAAAGTGCTAGATTGCCTTCTTGATTCTAAGGAGTCTTGTATTAGAGCCCGGAGTCTACACCAGCACGAACCTTGGGCTTATTTACCTCAAGCAGCACCAAACAAACAACAGCTCCAATTGTGACATCACTCTTACTGAGCACTGGATCTTCCAAACGCTGATTTACCATCATGATCGCATTCGTTTCCAGTTGGATCTGCTCTCTCTGATCCATTCCACCACTTACCACTCGTTGATGCATGGCAGCATGCATCATCGTTGCGTGGAATAGTGCTGAATCTGTGATCGCGTAATTGAACCATTTATCTTTTGGGTTCACGGGAATCAGGGTATTGACTAAGACTGTATTGTCTTCGAAAGCACATTAGCCATTTTCAACCAAAGCACATGTGTACACTCACAATGATGCATCAATAATTGGAGCCGCGGAGATCCAGATATGGGAAGTGTATTGAAAGGCTCTAGCATTCCTAGAACTTGTGGATCAGGTAATCGCATAATTGCCATCATTTCCTCGGGAAGGTCCTCTGCATCTTTTGATGACTCTCCACTTGATGCCACTATTTGCCGATCATCTGCTTCTAGAGGGTGTGCTTCTCGATCCGGTAATAGAGAACGTCTAATTGGGTGAGTGGACTTTGCCGACTTGTGCTTCTTCCGCTGGAAGTCACGCATCACATGTGATCTTACTTGATGCCTGGTGTCTGTATCTTGTGTTGGACCCGTGACCTCATTGAGATGTACAAAAACGAGGTCTTTGTCCGCTATCGGCATTGTGGTTGTTGGCGGTAAAATATTGTCTTCTTCATGACGCATGCTGTTCATCTCCATCTGGAAGAATGAAAACATGGGAGAGCTTGGTGGAGCTGTTGTTGTCATATTGTGCAGCTGCAAAGTATTGGTTTCAAGTTTACATGCGGGGTACTCGGCGGCTGTCGTCGTCAGTATAATCTTTGCTTTCCGCCGAGAAGTGCTTGGAGGGGTTTTATCAGTTCCACATCTCTCAAGACATTTTTCAAAATGCGTTTTCAAGGATTGTTAACTGGTGACAAACAATCAGTAAGAATATCGGTTCGCAGTTGATGACAAATTCAATTGACAGTCCAATAACACAGCCCTACAGAAAATCCCACCGACACGATTAACCGAACCATTGAAAACAACAGCAACAAATGCTTAAAACTGCTGAAGTAAGCAGCCAGCATACCTATCGGGTCCTCCAGACAAAGCCATTCCAAAATAAGCAGACAACGAAGCATGCACAGAATCTTGCTTGCCTCATCAAGTAGGAGCATCTTCCAGTGAGAAAGACTACGCTAGGTACTCTCTTCACACATCATTTAGCTGCGAAAGGTGCCCAAAAATGATCCCAGTTAGGACCTCCTTATCAGCAAACGACAGTGCCTTGAACGACTCCCAACGATCACTTTGTCGCTTCTCCTTCAAGAAAGTGATCATGTCCACAGCTCCACCAAGATCGTGCGGACCGAAAACCATCATCTGTTTCATATCCCACATATCTTCACCATCAGCAAAGAGGATCCAATTCCCCTTGAGTACTTCTTGAGCTTGCAACTCCATGTTTGTCTGCTCAGTCCCAATGAACATCTCAGGGGACCCATGCAGATACGCTAGATCTAGAGCATGGACCGGTTTTCCTTTGAAAATTCCTTCAAATGGGTTGAGGTGCTGGAAAGAGTATTGATAGACTGTCGTTTTGTGGTGCTGGTTTTGACTTCTAAGTTTCGCGACGAGCTCAGAAGTTGGGATGTACCACCCTAAATCTTCGACCATGGTGAAAAGACTTGCTCGGACTTCTAGCAATGTGGTATCTTCGAAGATGCCGTATTGAGAGAAGATTTTCTCGACAGCAGCATCAGGTAAAGCAGCCTGAGCAGAGCTAATCAAAGCCTTGGCAGTTGGAGGGCTTTCGGCTTTTGGAGCACCTGCCAAAACAGCCTCAATAACAGCTCCTTCGTATCCAGTAGTGCCAATAAGTATTCTACCGTTACGTCCACGACTAAAGTTGTAGTTGTCTTGCCAGTCTGCAGAAAGCACAATATCATCGATCATAGGAACTTGGGGAAGTCCAGCTCGAGGATCAGATGCTGCATATGCTTTCAAGAGATCTTGCCATTTGACCAGCCTCAGCTCTTCGAGTGTCTGTACACGCAGAAAACTCTTGACCTTCTCGTAGGTGGCGGACTTGGAAGCTATTGTTTCAGGATTGGTCAGGAGTGGCGCTCCAAGAACGTGAGACTGCATGATTGCTTTTGAAAATCGCGGATTCAGCTCCGAATGGATGAGACTCTCGACTCCCAATGAACCAAATGACTCGCCGTAGATTGTGATATCTGAGGTTGATCCTCCAAAAGGCCCAATGTACTTGTGTACCCACTCGAGGGCTAGATGCTGATTTTCACGTTAAAAACAGATATAAGAGGAATGATGTTTATCGTACCATATCATGAAATGCTATTTGAGTCAGCTTTGGTCCTTTGATGTGTCATTCTTTGACGGACACTCACCATAATTCCCACCATTATTCTCACCATTTACCTTCCTCAACTCCTCGGATCCAAGATATCCAAGCGCTGATAAACGGTAGCTACCGGAGTCAGCGACTGAGTTCGTGGATGACCGGAGGTGAACAAACTTGATCGTAACCACCACAACTGGCTTTTCCATATTTATACTCTTGCTTACTAGCCCAGAAGGGTCACACCACCAGTCGGAGTTCGAGCCTGAGAATCCTCCACCTCCATGGATATATACGAGAACTGGGAAATCATTTTCTTCGTGGGCTCCCGGGGGTATCGTGACATTCAGATTGAGACATTCGAATTCGTCGAATATATCCTCTGCGTTTTGCGGTACATGCTTTGGAGCCAATCCGATGAGGACTTCTTCAAGTCGACTCGGGGTCACAGCTTGGGGACACTTGGGCCTGAATTTTTCAGCCAAGGGCTTGCGATGATCTTCAGGGAAAAACTTACCCGTACGCTCTTGAATCATGAATTGGCGGAAATTGGTCATTAAAAACTGCCTGTTGAAATCGCGCAGGAAGTTTGCCGTATTTTATACCTCGAAATTGCCACACAGGTGTTGCACCGCTATCGAAGAACACTTTTCTACGCCATGGAATGAAGTTGAAAGCGCCGGATGCACTACTACGATTTCTGCTTGGCTCGACATTGTTCAAACTACAAGGTTTTTGACGTCCAAGTGGGAACTAAAGGTGGAGATTAATAGCTTTAATGAACGAAGCAAACCGATGTATATAGCGATTTGAGCTCGATGTCGATGTCGTGTACTCCAACAAGGCCTTTCTGAACAGCACACGCTGAACAAGTCTCATTTTTATAGTTCGTGTTTTTTTCATCCTCCAGCACATGCAGTCAGCAGGCTCAGATGCTTAATTGGGGAAACGCTCAGTGGATTGATGACTATCACACATGATTATCTCACGTAAGACGTCCCGTCCCAAAAGGCGGGATTCGTTGCAGCGTTTGAGCATGGCGAAGCTCGAGAGCACGTCAATGATTTCAATCACGAAAACTATTAATCCAAATACGAATATGAAAGACATGTGGACTTGAGGTGTTTAATTTGTTACTTGATTTCAGATTGAATTTAATTGCTGTGGTAGGTTATTCCCTCTCACGTATTCCACCTCAAAATGGCTTGTGGCAAACGTCGAATATGAGTGGGGGAAGATAGTGCGAATGTGGTAGATTTTACCAAAATCTGAGATGTATGAAGCGGTGAAGTTATTGGTATTCTAAGGAAAATATGTTTATAATGATCTGATCAGGCCCAGTGGTTGAGGTGGTTCCAAGCCAGAGAGAATATCACCAACATAGAAGATGGTATTGCCACTCGATCCGATCGTTATCAAAACTTTCCACACTCCAACGCTCTAACTTCCCACAACCCTACACTCGCATTGCGCGTCATATGTGTCCTCGACCTTAGGTTCACATCCCTTCCAACACCATAACCCATCACAACATTCTTCTAACATCAAGCTTTCTCGTAACTGACACAATTCGACGTACAAGCTCAACGACGTACAAGGTGGAGACTTACATAGTAAAGCAATTGCTACACATACAGTCGCCGATAACCGTTTTCAGTTTAGATGCCCAATTTTCATTTGCCCGCAGATTTACTACACAACGTCGGCTTGCGATAGGGACTCGCCTCGAAATATGGGAAGCATGCTGTAGGATCACTTGAAACGTGCGCCTTGATGTCTATCTGCCGTATTGGAACCATTTGAAGTTATTTAGATCAATTAAAAACCCACAATTGAGGACAAAATTACCAATAGCTGATGTAAAATCCGAAGTGAGAGCAGTAATAAGTCAGCATATGATGGACAACCGTTCTGTGTCAAATGATAAGAACCCTATCTCTGTCTTCGATTCCCAGTACCATCTGCGTCGTCAGTTCTTTCTTTTTATCTTTGAAAGCGCACCTGACAGAAAACCAATTATGCCTAGCAATCTCTATCTGCTCCTGAACTATCTCAATGCTTTCGCGAACGCTGCTACTCCTTACCCGTGACATCAAGTCTTTCTTTTCCAACCATTTAGTCATTTCGCCGTCTAGAAACGCTTTGGCATGGCGTAAACATAGGTTATCCAATCCGATTCCATTGGGGTCTTCTTGCATTTATAACCCAGAGTCTTTGTCAGCTGTACCGTGGGGCTGAAGCAGCCAAGCAGCGAACTCTGGCTCCTTCATTACTCTTAGCACCTCGCGTGCTCGCTCCAATTCTCTCTTGGTTGAATCCATTTCGCGCATATCGTGTATGCACATCTGCATCTCTGCCTTGTAATGATCAAAAGACTTGCTCACTGCTCTTTCCCACCCCTCCATACCCTCCCCATCCATTAGCTTATGAACATAGCAGTCTCCAATGAGTTTAAAAGAGGGCCTCTTGATTCTCATCGAATATCGTTCGTATGTGATTAGTGGAAATTTGCAGCTTCCCGACTCCCGTAGGATAAAGGGAGTCTGTCCTCCAACCAGAATAAATAGTGCATCCCCTTCTTGAAGTTCACCTGGTCCAACACCCATGAAACCGGTATCAGTGATGAAAATCCGGCGTCTGAACGTTGCTCTTTTGATTGCTTCAACCATCCGCGGAGAAAGCTTTGGGGTTTCTGTCGAACCTCCTATCCCATGTCTTTCGGACAGCTTTTCCCAGAGCCCTTTTGGACCAGACAAGCCTCCTAGATGTTGAATCCAGCTGATTACCTCCTCTAATTCTTTGTCTGTTATCCTGACACTCTTTGACCCATTGTCGTGACTGTCTGGAGGAGCCATATCAGCACATAGTGCTTTCAAGAGCGATTCCTCGACATTCTGCATTGGGATGATAGACTTGGCCTGGATGTCAGCGTTGAAATGATCAGCGATGGTAGCCGCCCAATTCAGCACCAATAATTCCAGGTTGGAATTCCAGAGGTTGGTATCTCCAGCCCTTACTACCTTTCCTTTGTATAACCCTGGAAACTCCAGGCCATCGCCGACCTTCCGTGCCCAGATAAGACCTCCATGGACTGCCAAATAACTTTGAATGGCTTCTAAACACTCGTTCTCGTACGGTTCTGCTCTTTTACTTTTGACAAGACTTTTCTCCCATTCTGATGAAGATAGCAGGAGCGTATATTTCTCGCGTGGCGACATCTCAGAATGAATAGCTTTCCCTCCGCTGCCTAACTCAGTTGCAATCTCCTTCAAATATTTCGAAACTCCTGACAAATGCGTCTCCCTATCTCGTAGGATCCGGACTTTGACTCCAGCTGATGCATTGTAGTTCTCTGTATCTTCAACTCGACGCCCGTTCGTATCGTCCGAAGCCGTACTCCAGTCTATTATCCATGACGGAAGGTCTTGTCGACTCTTCTGACCTAAACTTCCTACCAAGATGCTCAACGATCCTGTCATTTCGATAATCCTCAATACGGTGTTCTTGAATACATCTGACGTATCAAGAAAGTAATCTGGCTTGATGAGAGGGAGCTTTGAATCGGTAGTTTCGGTAACTAAGCCTATTAAAGCATATACCTTGTCTCGATCATCGCTTGCTTTCCGGTTACTAAATTGGCGGAGTAGTGACAATAAAGTCGTATTTTCTTCGTTCTCCCATCGACACCGCAACTGATGAATATCAAGAACGATGCGGGAGAAGAATCTTAATACATCCGAGTATTCCCGGGGGAAGGACGATATGGCGGAGTGGAGAGAGCTCGTCGTGTAAGCTTGCGCGGCCTTAACAAACATTTCCCATGGAGCTGTGATTGTGTCGTAGACTAAGATGATATTCTTTGGCACCACAGCCTCTTGGACGACCCAGATACGATCCCACCAACTGCTTCTCATCAGATATCGCAATGCTTCAAAAACGTTCCTCTGATAGAAAGAGTCCAATGAGAGCTGAGAGTCGAGGTTGAATGGAGCGACGCTCTCCAAGTCAGAAGTCTGGGCGAGTAGGCTGAGCAAGCAACAGACTTCATGTGGGTAATGCAGTTTCTTCTTGCTGCCAGAGCCTTTCTGCCCTACTCTTGGCAAGCAACGATCCTGAAACTTTGCAATCTTCTCTCCGTCCCTCGAATCGCAGTAGAATTTGGACAACGACAGAGGCTGTTTGTTATTACTCGGGCATCCAGATAACCCTTGAGGGGGAGGTTCTCCAAGATAAATCACGACTGCACTTGCTGAAGCATAGATATTCCTCATCATTCCCACCTGAGTACTTCTCTCCGCAATATCAGCCTGATTGATAGACAGCGCATCTATCCAGAATGTTGCAGTATCGTCGGGCTGTCTGATGCGTCGCAATGCAAGTTCGAGGTTCACTGTGACGGAACGAGGGTTTCCAGTAACAATAATTGAGCGCCTGGTGGCACTCAATGATCCCCAAACGTAGGATAATGCATTGTAGCTGGGCTTGCCGGTGACCGAAGCATGTCGAAGAGTGCATTGAACGTCATCCTTCCAAGTCCCTGGAGAGATGTCGACGAGTCGGATCTCTTGGGGGTGGAGGGGAAAGTACATATTGATACTGCTGAAATGTGGTAGTGAGCGGAAAATGAATGGCCAAGACGATACTCGAGGGATGATAGTTTATTATCAAAAGAGATATTTTGACCTTGGAATTTTTGAAGAACGCCGTTGAGCGGGGCAGCTGGTGTTACCTCAAATGCAGTGTAACAACAAATCGGCTCACCGAGAATCCCATAAATGCGCATGCAGCAAAGCCCTACAGCGCATACTGGGCGAGGAGAATCGACCAATCTAGGTCGTCTCGTAGACGCACTAAAATTGCTTGTCAACTAATATTCTTCGCGACTTCCAGTTCGAAATCCCAGTAACTGCTTACTGGCTCAGGCTTCAAGATTCGTGGGCGTAAAGGCGAATGAAAAAGAAGACTCCAAAATCTAAGAGATCACTCACACACACAAGCCGTGGAATTCCTCGAGCTGAGCATTTCATCATAATGTCCGATCCCTTGTCACCAACAAAGCCTGCCAGTACATCTTCACATGCCCAACTGCAAGAGCAACAGCAAGGCCTCCAACCAACACCACAACCCATGAAGACACGCTCCGTGCCCGAAGAAGTCTCCAGCAGCCTGTAAGAATACCCCTCGCAGCTTCTCCTCCGTCTTCCCATATCTCCTCGGCCAATTCGCATATCCAGATCCAAGCTCTGACAATTCTTTGATGGGATTCGTCACTATTCGGCTCGTTGGATATAGAAGGTGACGAGGAATCGAATTTGATACTAATCTGTATCAGCATACATCTCGTTCAAAATACCATCTCCTCCATTGCACCTCTCCATTGCACCTCAAATCACTTCGCAGCTCAAGCCGGAACGCACAGAAAAGACAAACAAGGCAGCCCAGGAAACTAAAACTGAAACCAGAAACCTCACTCACATCCTCCTCGGCCACATCACATCCTCCACCGCCCTCATATCCTCCTCAATCTTCACCTCCGACTCCTCCATCAACTTTAACACCCTCTCCCTCCTCTCACTACCCAAGGCATCTCTCCTCCTCTTCAACTCCACACTCCCTATTTTCTTCGCAAAAAGAATCTCCTTCCTCATCTCCCTCTTGATCTCCCCCAGCCTATCCTCACCCTCATCCACATTCTCGTCTCCACCCCCCTTCACCCTCTCCATCCCTCCAAACCCAGTCTTAGAACCCCCCCTCCTCCCCTCCCCTACAACCCAATTCCGCGCCCGCCCACCGAAATCACAACCAAGCAACCCACACACCTCCTCCCTCCTCAAAAATCCCCCTACAACCCCCCCAATCCTCCCAATCCTCTCTCCAATCTCCCTCATCCTCTCCCTCCTCACCCTCTCCTCTCCAGCACCCCCCTCAAAAAACATAACCGCTCGCAAAACCTGCTGCAAGCTCTTACTTCTAGGTCGGATCTCGCCTGGGAGTTTGGCGGCGCTGCCGGGGATGCGGGGGGTGGTTGAGGGAGGGGCGAGGAGTTGCGAGAGGGTGTCGAGGGAGAGGATGATGTGGTGGATTGAGGGGAGGGAGAGTCCCCAGGACTCGGTGACATGCTCGTCTTGATCTTGGTCTTGCGTGTCGAAAGGAGGCATGATGCTATGCTGATGCTGATATCGCTTTGGAGTTTATTTCTCTCCGGGCTTGATAGGTACGTGGATAGGATAGGTAGCAAGATGCTCAGCTCCACTCAGACAATACACTCTGCTAATAATGATAGTGAGATTCAGAGCTCATGAGGCGGCGAGGTACAATTCATCCCAGTCTATAGGAAGGACTGAAACGAGATCCAGTCAACGGCGGCGCAACCCAGGCTAGACCAGAATATCTTTCTTCCAGAATATGAGTATCTGGAATACCAAGGGGAAGAACTTGAATATGTTGCAACCAGTCGATTTTATTCAAACCAGGGAGCGACAGGATAAAGAAAAGACGAGCCATGAAGTTGAGCTGAAGTCCTGTCTAATAGAGGTGAGGTGACTCGGCAGTGGCTGTGGCTGTGCTGAGCTGCCTGCCCGCCAAGTAGTTTGGCACTTGTTTTGGGATCCGAAGGCAGAAGCGAGGTGGGAACAGCACTTACAGAGAGACTAAGAGAAAGTCTTAAGCCCTGATTCTCCAATTCAGAATATACAATTCGAGCTGCTATACCTTTTCATCGCAAGTCCTTCCTAATAGCTACCCACTTGGGCAGCGCTTGATAACGGCTTGGGGCTAGGAATGTGAATAGAAGTTTTGAACAAACGGGGTGGGATGAGTATTCTGCCAGATCAATCTACCTCAGTCAATGAATAATTTAATCTGTCAAGCATGAGATGGAAATATGAGGATGTGAGAGTAAGGCTTCAAGCATGGCGTTGAGATTTTGTCCGTTTTGCACTTTGCACACACGAGGGTGTGAATATTCCTACACACCCAGCAGAGAAATATATTCTTCTCTGATCCATACCTCTCCCAAACGCCTGCAATGCACTCTTCCCGCCCCTCCTCCATCTAATCCCAATACTTGATCGCACCATCCAACCCCGCCGTAACAACCTTGCTCGTCTCCTGCGGATGCCACTCCACACAGGTAACCGCCCCATCACTCGCCTGCATCTTATGCCACATCTTACAAGTCTTCCAATCCCAGAAACACACATACCCACCACTATCTCCGCTCGCAACAAACTGTCCGTCCGGACTACAAGCCACGTCGATCGCATACCCCGCATTGTTATGCCCCTTGAAGGCCTTCTTCCTGTTCTGGCGAAACTTGTCGTTTGCGCCGTATACGAAGATGTTGTTGTCGGAGGACTGGTATGCGACGTACTTGCCTGAGGGATGGGCAGATGCCCGCGTCATGGCGTACATGTGCGGCTCGGCAATGTACTTGATGGGAACGGGGATGTTATAGTCCCAGGCGCGGAGGGATTTATCGTCTGAAGTGGTCATGAAGCGGCGATTTTCGTCTACGAACGTGATGGTGTTTATGGCTGCGAGATGGTGGTCGTATTCTTGGACGATCTCGCGCGTGCGGATGTCGAATTGGATGATCTTCTTGTCTGACATACCTGCTAGGAACTCGTTGGAGTGTTCCGGCGAGGGGTTGAATTTTATGCAGTGGGGGGTCTTGCCTGTCGTAAAGCGGTTGATACATTGGCCTGTTTCGGTGTCCCAGAGCTTCATCATGCGGTCGTAGGAGGCAGAGAGGAATTGTGTGCCGGAGGCATTAAGCGTGACATCTGACAACGCTTTCGTATGTCCAGAATATGTCCGTAATAACTCCTTCTGGTGATAAACATCCCAGATCTTGACTGTTGTATCTGCGCTTCCAGAAAGTAACAGATGACCTGATCCAGGGAAGAAGCGTAGTCCGCAAATGGGCTTCGTATGGCTCTTCCAAGTATGCACCAACTTCTTCGGCACATAGTTCTTCGAACTTCCAGGTTCCTTCCTCAAATCGATATCCAGATCCTGCGGAACATGCATGTATGTCCTCCCCTGATAATCATACTGTTCACTCCCCTCAAACTTCGAAGTCTCTGCACCCAACTCCTCAGCCTCTTTCCGCTTAGCAATAGCTTGCGGCAGCGCAGGTACCACCGCACCGCTCTCGATTACATCTTCCTCCTCTTCGACCTCCTCATACTCCTCATCACTCGCCAACTCATCTCCCTCCTCTACATCCTCATACTCCACGCGCTGGTACTTCGCCCAAGGACCCACATACGCATTGTCTCCTTCCGCAACAGTCGCATCGCCCTTCTTCTGCCTCTTTGCTCGTATCCTCGCAGCCTCGACTTTCTGTGCTTGTCCGCCCTGATACTCTCTGCCAGGTCCACGTTCCACAGCGCGATGTTGACTTCGGAAGGTGTGTTCGCTGATGTAGGTTTCCTCTGCATAACCAGTGAGAACATTTTTGCGCTTTAAGGAGTTGACTTCGTCTTTGAAGGGGTTGGCTGGGCCTTGGGTGGGCCGTGAGAGGTCTTCCGCAGTGTATTGGACGACTTCGTGGTTTTGGCCTGCTGCTTGTCGGACTATGACGGCGTTCTGAGGCGCCATGTTGGGCGGGTAGGCCCCAAAGTCTGCCATATTGACGGGCAGGTAGAAGACTTTGCTGGGGAATTGAGGGAGTTAGAGCAGCTAGCTTGCGGGGTGGATGACGAGCTCTGAAAGTGGTGTCGCAAGTTGGATTTATTTTGTCCCAAGATGTCAGAACCTCAAGTCCCAGCCCGCGCTAGTGACAACCTTAAATTTTGCCCCACGTGATTGAGCTATCATAGAATGAAAGTCCTCAAAATCACTTGGGACATTTGCACATGCTCAATTCCTTGACACAATCATTATTAACTACTGAAAACAGGATCAAAACATGCCATTACCAGCATGTCCTTGAATCTATCCACAAATGAACCCCAATAAGAGGTCCCGAAGTGATATCCCCATGCTAAGCACCGCACTGAATGAAGCACGAGACTCCTAGCCGCCGTCCGTCATGTCTAATCGTTGAATATTCCCATACGTATTATCCTGTTCTTGCCTCGTCTATACACCCGTATACCGCCTCGCTTCGCTTAACACTTCTCCTTCCACCAGCCTCCTCTTCAACCCCCAAACACCCCAACATCGTATAGCTCCACCAAACTCATGCCTCCGCGTATTTTACTCTGATCGCAGAGTCAAGTCAATGCGATTCATCACGAATTAAGGCAACTATCATCGAATAGAGATAAAAGAAGAACATGACGAGATGGAAGCCTAGTTTGATGAACGATTCCTGCTCGCAGATTCGTTAGCCTCAGATCCTGGAGCGAACTCCCACCCAACACCACCCCCGAACAGAATTGTCGACAAAGTCACGTACCTTCTTGTGAACATTGAGCTTCCTGAAGATTTCCGTAGCGTCCAACAAGTGCGCGTTGTCGAGTATTCTGAAAGCAAGTTAGCCATTTAGGTCCAGGTCACCATTGTCCCCCCCCTTGCCCCAACTTCAATACCCCCAGAATGAAGCTTCAGTTTTCGAGCTTCCAGCTTCAAGCTCGGAGATCGAAGTGGAGGCCTGGGATATAATGCCGTATGGCCTCGGATAGGATATGTACGTACTTCTTGACATTGAAAGCCAAAAGTGGCAAGTTGAGCAAAAGCGCAACCCAGTACCCATTGATCAGGAACAAGAAAGTCAAGAAGCCATGAACAGCAGCTTCAGGAACAATATACGTATTGAGGCGGTTGCAGAGGTCGATAGGGTTGATATAGTCACTGCAGCCATCCCCAGTTAGCAATTATCCCCAAACCGCACAAACTCTGCAAATCTGCCAATCCGCTGGATAACAGCTGGGCTTATCGAGCTGCTATCTGCCTGCCTGGATTTTGTTTCCTGTGTATGGGAGGAAGGGATTTGGAGGGAGGTTGGGGGGAAGAAGGGAGGGAGACACACCATTCCAAATCACTGTACATGATAGTGAAGAAAACCTGCAGGAACAAGTTGACGGCATTAATCAGTACCGCCAACAAGTACAGCCATGCCTCGCCTGACATCATGATGGGCTATCTGTATATCGCGAATGCGCGAACCGAACGACAAGTGTATTGAAGTATCCGTAAAAATCCTCCTTTTCGTAGCTGGGAATATTCTCAATGGCCGCGTAGCAGGACGTCGCAGTGAAGCTTACCTTGTTGTGTATAGAGGTTGTGTCGTGTGTGGGAGGAGCTTGTGAAGCTTGCTTGCGTTGCGTTGCGTTGCGTGCGCTGGGAAGGATTTTCGTAGGTTTGGATGACGAGGTTGGAGTTGGCTTTTGGTTCTGGCTCGGTAGGCTTGGCTGGGCTGGGGCTGGGTTGAGTTGAGAGGCTGAGGAAAGTGGAGGAGCAGAGCAGATCTGTGAGGGAGAGGAGGCGGGGGGATTCGTGCTCGTGCTCGTGCTCGTGCTGATGGAATGGAATGGATGGGATGAGGCAGAGCGGTGGCGGGACGAGAGAAGAAGAGTGGGGTGTACTGGACTCGAAGCTGTTGTCGCTGGTTGCGTGGTGCGGACAGCCGTGAAGACGTCGAGGTTGGAGGGATCGAGTTAAGGGTGAGGTCGGACGAAGTCTGCCGGAGTGATGAAATGCCCTGTGCCGTGGTATGCAGTGCAGCGCAGTGTGTCCTCGTGCTGTGACTCTGTGAGGCTCCGTTTTTGTTGCGTGGTGGAGCTGTGCATTTGTTGGCACACCCATCCAGCTGGGCTGGGCTGGTGCTGGTGGTGCTGGTGCCAGGGCAAAGTGAGAAGCTCTGGTTGGGTCGGCTTCGGATTGGCTCGGTTAGGGATGGATGCAGTTGATCACTCACATGTCAAGGGGCTTCAAATCTACCTAGACTCGAGAAGGTGGATTTATTAGAGATGGGCAGAACAGGCAACATTGTCGCCTTTTGAAGACACTGTGTCTCCTTGTTTATATTCTGCAATATGTAATCCCTCTCTGCCTGTTCACCCAGCCTCGCTGAAAAGTATCATTTCGATTGCGCCCTCATTCTCATTCTCTACCATAGATTCTCACTCCTTCCCCAACTCAACTTCTTCACCCTCCTCTCTTCCTAATTACAACTCTTACCTACGCACTCACTCAATGCCTACTCCTCTCATCAACGCCCCGACACTAACGCTATTAAATGACCTCGCCATACCAATTATACCAAGACGCGCGCATCTTATTCTACTACTGTACAACGCGCAGAGACATCTCCAAGAATTAAAGTTTTAAGGGTTATGGGTCAGATTTAGAGTTAAATGAGAGGAGGAGGCCTGTTGAAATATGAGCAGGATTAGGGAGGAGAGGTTTGAAAACTTGAGTGAGAATACTCGCGTGGGTAAGTAAGGTAGTGTCATAAGTTTAAAAATGAGAAGTAGCTGGTATAAGATTCGAACGAATGCTCGCTATTTAATCGTAAGTTACGATGAGTAAATCTTGTATATGCTCTATTTTATCATGTTCCAGGGAAGTATGCTCTCATGAGTGTGTCTGGGAAGTAGCTACGTTGCTATTGTTGATTGCAGCCAGTGTCAAAAGTACAAGCTATATATGATGTGCACGACATTGCAAAGTATTATACATTCCATCGCTTCTCGTCCAAGCCAGGTTCCGGTGCAATCTTGACATCAGCCTTGTCAGAAACATGCTACAAACGTGCTGCAATGAATAGCCTACGCTTTACCCATAATGAACCGAGCTTCAGTCGAATTTGAGTTTACAGAGCACCACATCCAATGGATCGAGTACCCGATCGAAAAAATCATCTGGATCATCAACATCAGAAGCGACTATCTCAATCTCGCTATAGAAGCTGTCAACAGCCCCAGCAGGTGTTACCCACTCCGGGGTGTGTCTCTCCACGTCCTCCAGCAGAAGATTTCCAGGCACAGAATGCAACCGCATGTCAAAGTCAGATGGACCTGTCCATCTATCATCACTAAATAGGGTGAGCTCCCTCAGGAATCCACCCCATGGAATCAAAGCGGCGAATGGTGGCCGCGAGTCGTCATCCTCTTCACTATCCACCATTCCGTCATCTGAATAGCACAACTCCAGATTTGGCATCCGCCTGTGGGCAGCATTGACGGCGAGATATTTCAGCTCCATCTTCTCACATCTGTCCAAGAACTTCGCAATCCGCTTGTTATCCGGACTTTTGTGTGTACGAGATGATGCGTGAAAGTCCTCCGGTCTCATGATGCAAATTCGATCGACGTCCCAGTTGATATAGATCTGAGGCGGCATTGTGACCCTCATGTTGGGAAATCTCTTATCCGTTTTGTAGTTTTTGAACTTAAAAGTTGAACCAAAGTCCAGGACGTAGTACTTCAATCCCTCAACGCGAGACTCGTGGCAGACATGGAGAATGGAAGGAGCTTTTGTCGAAGAGTATAAAGCGTAAGGACTCCATGTCGGTGTACCTGCGTAAGGAGAGTTCCAGATACCGACGTGAATATTTCGGACCCAGATGTCAACATTGCGGGTTTCATTCGATGCCAGCTTCCAGATTCTGACACGTAACTCGGCAGGAAGCTTGGGGAACAGGGCGAACTTGACAGTCGTAGTCGTGGCGTCGAATGATGTGGACGTCATCTGGGCAGGCTCTGCAAATGACTGGGAAGTTCGTGAAGACGACATTAAGAGATTTGGTTGCAAGCTGCAGCTGGTGGGCTGATGTGACTCGAAGTAAGTCGTGCGAGGTGTTGGGATTGTTGCTGTCGGAACAGGTCGGAACTGCTGTTTGTGTGGTTTGGAAAGATTGAAGCTTGTCGCAGAGGAGAATGAAAGAAATTGAAGTTGAAGGAGAGAAGAAGTTGGAAGAGCAGCTGCGGGCAGCCGTCCTAAGCGAGGCACTAGCAACACTCTCCCAAACAGGAAGCCACGATGTGGAAGATGCTTCTGTCGTCTGCGTGGAAGGAAGGAGCGACCGAGTACTTGGATGCGGTACTACGTCCATGTCAAAACAACGACACGGAATATTAGCTATCTCACCGACACCATTGCCATCTCGTCAACATCTCATCTCACCTTATCCAACCATCCCCTCACCAATTCTCGATCCCCTCCTCACAGGCGCAGTGTGTCTCCTCACAGGTGGTCGGTCAAAGGCCTCTTCCGGCTCGACATAAGTCTCAATAGCTCCCTTCTCATCCAACGCTTCACCATCTCCCTCTTCTCTGTTCTCATTCCTATCCCCTCCCGATTCGCCACCAAAGTTGACATTTTGAGTTACGATGCGAGCTCCAGCATCGATATTGATAACTTCATGCATCGGACCTCGTCCACCATTACCCCCACGATACCCCTCTCTACTCGCCCTACTCCCCGCGTAATAACTTCCGCTGGATGTTATACTGCTCCCTCTCGCACTACTCACCACACTTCCTGATCTCCTCCTCTCACTTCTCCTACTCCCCCTCTCCCCTCTCTCCTCCCCATCCCCCGCACCACTCTCTCCATTCATTCCGCCCTGCCCACCCTTCCCCTCCCCCGTACTCCCTTCCGCAACCTCGTCTCTAGCAATACGCTCCAACTCCTCACTCTTCCTGAGAAATGCCCTCTCCCATACCATCCAGATCGCCAGAGTCGCCAGCGTCAAAGGCACCGTAATCGCCCAGTAGAACCAAAACCGTGGTTTGGCGACATCGGACCAGCTGGATGCGTCCCAGTCGAACAGAGGCACGGCGAAGAGTGTGCTGATGAAGGTTCCCGGGAGGACGACCATTGTTAGGAGGGAGATGGACTTCATTCTAAGCAGAGTTGTTAGTAGGCTTTGGGTCGAGATACGAGGGAGAGAGGGTCCTTACGCGGAACTATCTCGTTTGCTAGCTACGGCTATGGATTTCGAATCTTTGGCTATCTCGATGTTTTGCTGGATGTCTCGCGGGGCGATTAGATTGTACACCTGCATGAATTAGCAAGTAGCAGAATTATAGAATCTGAGACAGAAAACCTACCGTTTGATTCTGCACACTGGCAAGCTCTTTGTAATGTCCAAAGACGTCAATCTGTGCATACTGTCAGTTATCGTGTTTCTACAGACATTTCAAGCCATGCTTCAAATTAGTTGGCCTTGAACTCACATGCATCGAAAGCTTATTATGCGCCGCCCTCGAAATATCCAACAAAACCTCTGAATCCCTCTCAAAGCTTTCCTTTTCGTCTTCTTTCAACAACGCAATAATCCTCCCATCACTCTTAACATCCAACACATCCATGGTATCCTTGATAAATTCGAACAACCTCACCGCATTCTGCGCCCTCAATCGATCCAAACTAATGGTCTGCCCTAGAAAACTCAAATCAAGGGTCATACTCGCCCAATCGTGCTCTTTCTCCTTGCCATCCGGATTGACAGCCCACATAGCTCCAACATGACCCGTCTTTCTCTGGATATGGAAGACTCTTCCGATAATATCGCCGATGTTGCTCACAGCCCAGATACTGTTGAGTTCGATGAAGATGACGCATAGTGGGAGAGGATGTGATGCTAGGGTCTTGAAACTTCGCACACCGCGGAGGATGTCGGCTCGGTCGCCTTTGGATGTGGTGCGTAGAAAGCCTTTGGTGATTCGTGTCTTGGCATCCCATGTGAAGGTTATGTTATGGTCATCTGGTGCTGACACGCCTTGGTCAATTATGAAGCCTATTTAGGTTGTTAGTTAATGTTAATGATTGTGATATTGTTGGGAGGGGTGTTAGACCAATATGAGAGTCGGATGGAGGTCCCGCTAGTTCTGATAACGTGTGTCGGCTGTAACAACCTCGAGAGGAGTAGTATCCTTGGAGAAAAGAGACGGGAAGTTTGAATTCTGCCATTATTTTACGCATGGTATCCTGCGAGAATCCGAATGTGTCTCGCCAGCCTCGCTGGTATTGAACGGTTGAAATTCTGGTCACGTGTCAATATATTTCCGATGCCTACCTTCGTAATTATGGCACAATGATAGCCTTGTGATTCTCCTCAGAGGTAATTAGGTGTCTGACTTACAGCAGTCGGGTTCCGCCGGTCACAGTGTTCATCTTGTCATCTAGAGGGGGTTCCCTCGCCAGCCATTCCGGCACATCGTCATGATCTAGCTTTCCTTCAAGAACGCTCACGCCTCCTCCCTAAAGCTGTTAGCCTTCAAATTCATAGTCCGTCTGTTGAGAGCCCGTACCGGATAATTCCACATCTCAATATATGAGCTCCCCGTCGGCATGTATATATCATCTCTGTCCGATCGTTGGAAAACACATTCATCGCTCATGTACCATTCCACACCTCGCCCGTAGTCCGCCATATTTTGCTCCATCAAGTTACTCCCCATGAATCTGTTGCAGTTGTAAACAAGAGTCGATGTGCTTTTTGGAAGAGGGTTTCCTTTTGAGCTTCATTTCAGGATGTCAGCCTTAAAGTTAGCTGCCTTCAAGCGCTCAGTTAGACCAAGCCTTTTGTTCAGCTGCCCAACAGATCGTCGAAGATTGAGCCTCTTTCCTGCGGTACACCCCTGTAAGCTCCTGGCGACCCAGAAACGGGACGGGACGATGAAGACCGCATCGAGATCTCCTTTCGCTAACGATTCATTTAGCTTCGAACTCTTGATCTCTCGCCATCTTCACAATCCTTTGTTTCCCTCATCTTCCTGAGCAAATGCTACAGCCTTCTTTGCTTTAGTAATGAAATAACTCAAGATGCACAGCTCAAATCAGGCTAGGCTAGCATTGGTGGAGTGTTGTAGTACGAATTGCGGAAATGTGGCGGCGATGATTCCTCTTCAGGTTTGGCTATACTGTATTCTACGCCTCGAGGCGTACCGCTCTGACTGTTGATCTGTGGCACCACGAAAAAGCAACTTAGGAATTGGATTATTTACTGCTCGCTGTGATGTGATCCCAATAGAGGACGTGCAATTCGTCTTTCTCAGCCTCTAAAGATGCTGCTGCAGTCATCTTTCCCGGCCCGAGCCCGTGGTTGAGATATCAGGCGTCTTTGTCAGCATCCACTACATTTCTTGGCAACGAGAACAAGTGAGCGACCTCACAGCTTCTTCCTCCACGAGTCCTTGTCAACCTCATGAACATTCTGCGCCATCATAATTCAGCTGAACACAAATGAAATCTAATATTTCAGAATTAAACCGCTACTGGATCGCAATATCGAATCACTCTCACGATACAGAGACCAATAAACCGAGCAGACCCGTTCATCTCGTCTCAACATGTCACCACCGTGATTCCGCTCCAGGCGCTCCTGCCGCCTAAAAATCATTCAAGCTTTCGTCTGACCATTGTACCGGACCATATTCATAGGTGGATGGCAATGGGGACAATTCTCCGGTCGGACTTTGCCACATCAACGTTTGAGATGTCGTGAGATTAAAGTTTTTGAGCCACGTCTCGGATAACCACTTTATCCTCACCCATATCAAACACCTGACCATACGGACAAGTGAGGATCCGACTCCACACTCCCCAGATGTGTTGTTCCATATGCTTGACGCAGATAGCAATGGCTGTTGTTTGGCAGCTGTACATCACATTGCCTTCGCGGAAGATAACGGTTACAGAAGTCACGATAGCGACCTGTTGACTGCTGGGGGAACGGAATTCATTTCTCTTGGTTCTTTCTCTCTGTTGACTGTAAGTGTGTGCTTCCTTGTCGCTTATCAACCCTGGTCCTCCCAGCGTGGGCTGTATCACAGTCACAGGCCAACCAATTCTGGTTTTTCGACTTCTACAAGTTTACTGATAACAAAGTTGTATTTTGTGAGCTCGATATGTCAGCAAGAATGGATAGAAGTTTGATAGCCGCAATTGGCAACTATGGCGATGGCGGTGTGATAAATTCCGAATTTGCCGCATGTTTTGAAATCGCACAGACTGAGTGGCCAACGGAGATTTGGTCCGAATGTCGGAACGTGACTCTGACAATGTCACGACAGTAGCTACCGAAAGCTTAGTTGTGACCAGCATTCTAATCTGATTGCTCAGTCCACAGCGCACTCGCAGGATCACATGAAACCATAGGCGACAGCCTCCGGTACACTCTCGTGACACATTTTCATGTTGGACGCGCTTACCAGTGGATTATCCTTGCACTCCTCCTCTTTTTCGGCACTTCTCATTGTACCTCGCCCTGGCACTTTCCTGCTGTGGACCTCTGCTACACCGCAACCCAAGTGGTGACTTGTTAGGTGGCTCACCAACCATGTTTCCTCAGATCGACTGTTTCAAGAGTGCTTTACTCCCAGAACATATTCCCAAAATGGTAACCAGTGGTTCCGCGGAGTTGAAGGTGTGCGTTGTGGCATTCGATATGCATCCATTGCGCATCAGTAGAAAGAATGTTCCGTTTCGGGCCTGGTGGGTAATGATCATCAGAAGTGGAATGCGGAGTTTGGTATGCATAGTCCGGCTTGGGTTCATTCTTGGATTGAAACAGGGTAACGGCCAGGTCGGTAGGTAATCTGCAGCTAGGGGGTTTGTTGACTCGGTTGACCTCCATACTTGAATTCGGGGTGTTGTTCTCGCTAAACCAGCCCACCCTCGCTTCGAGTCAGACAAGTCAGTACAGTAGCCCCACTGCGGGGTACGTACTTCGAGAAGGTTTGTCTGCCTCGTGAGGACTTCGATTCAGCGAACACACTCAATACAGACAGCATTCGTGTTCATTCAGTTCAAAGTACGCCAGGATTTCCAGAAGTATAGGACGTGAAGACAGTATCTGTGAGAGCAAAAAACTTCAAGAATCCGAGCGCTTACATAAATCATACTGGACAGTACTGGTCAAGGCAGGCAATAATTCAAGGTAGCATTGCATAGTGGGATCGAAACGATACACCGCAACTGTGCAAAGACACAAAGCGAAGCAAGTGGGGGTAAAGACTATGTCTACATCATGTTACTGTTACAGTGTAAGTGAAGAGTGGGGAAGTTGCAGAGTTCAAAGGGAGGACCTGATCAGGCTTATGAGGAACTCTCCAACGCCAAGAATCTTTGTGATAACATTTGATGCTTGGAGTGCCCTAGATGGCGTAGTATAGCTTTTTACTCCCAAATTGAGGACCCGAATAGTTTCTATTGAGCTCTGTCAAGATTCTTGGTGAAGTGACTTGAGCAGCTGCAGCGCTAGGAGTATTGGCGATTCAGTAACGCGGAGCTGCAAATGAGGTCTCGTGACACTGTAGTTTGTAAGGAGGCTGAGAGGCTGAATACATGATAGAGCTCTTCGAATGTTCTCGATCTCCGCTGCCATCTCAAGAAAAAGGTGTATCGTACAGTCGGAATGACGAGTAAAAGAACGTTCTTCCAGCGGGAAGGCCGATCATCGAACCTAAATCGCTTCGAAACTTATGATACATGCTTTAGGTATTGCGTGGCTCGCGTGGTCTGCCAATTCCAAGGTTTCAATTGGTAAGTAATGAAACTCGAACAAGGACCCCTAGATTTAAGCTTTCAGGGTTCTCAGAGTTGTTTCGAGAGTCATCTCATGGGTCTCAAGCGAGAAAAGCATCTGATATACTTTTGCCTGCATCTGGGATATTGGCGATTAAGGACTCGAAGGCTATGTGGTACAGATCGAGCGTCCTTCGACGATATTATTGGCCCAGCCTGCTTCGCCGTACCAGGGCCTAGGCTCGTCGCCTGTATTGGGGTCCGTGACTCGGTATTATTGCGTCAAACTGCATACCGCCGCATACTATATATTTAGGAAGTCAAAAATCTCCAACACCCGGATTCGGATTTGATGGGAAAGGTAGGTTTATAGTTTTACTGTTCTTGATTTTAGAATTTTGGCCTTTCAGTTGACTTTAGGCTGCTCAGCCCGTCAGATAAATAAGAAATCTGGCAGATTGTTTCTTTTGCTTCCCTTCGTCGTTTCTCTCAAAGTGCTCCATCTTGATCAACCTTCTTTCTAGCTGCTCAATAATTACAAACTCCTTCTTCCTATATTATTTAATATTTTTTGAATTAAAAGAGAAAGTGTCATGTTCTCACCGCCACGCATAACCGAGCATTTCGTCCTTGAACAGGTCAACACAATGGATCTGCAGATCACCTCCCTTGTCTGGGGTATTACGCTAGGAGTGGGTTTCCTGACAACTTGGAAAGCCATCAAGCAAACAACATCAATCCAGCGACGCTATGGGTTCTGCAAGTTGAACACTCCTTACATCTGGATGATTTGGTTCGAGATACTCGCGTGTCTGGGCTTTTCGATAATGTCATGGCTGTATCTCAATAAATATCTAAAACCAAGGTACCACAATCTCGTCCATACACATCACTCACAAATTGACCTTTCGTGTAGTTTTGCGTTTTTCTTCACCATCCGTGAGTTTCCCACTCGAAGATAAATGCCAGACAAGTCTGATCATTTCCAGTTACTCTTGGCACTTTACAAATACACCTGCTCTTCCAGATCCTGGTTAACAGGATCTCCCTTCTCCTCATGAATCATCGAAAGGAAAATAGAATCCGGCTATTGGTGGCTCTACTCGCAGCCTGCGTTGCCATCTCGGTGTATTGCGTTTGGATACCTGCACAACTTCAAGTTTCGGAAAAATACAGACGTCTCAATAGGATCTGGGATCGGATTGAAAAGGGCTTGTATCTTTTAATTGATTTGGCCCTCAACTCGTACTTTGTTCGGACTGTTCAGACAAGACTCGTGAATCAAGGTAGTAAGTACCGGCCGACAGTTCTTCGTACGCTTATTTGAAGAAGACTGACAGTATGTAGTCGTCAAATACAAAAGACTAGTCCACTTCAATATGTGGATGGTTGGACTCTCAATTGCAACCGACATCCTTATTATCGCTATGATGAGTTTGAAGAACTCTTTCGCGTAGGTCTTTGAATCCACCTTCCCTGGAGCTTGCTGACAGTCGTGAAGATATATGCAGTTCCACCCTCTAGCTTATATAATCAAGCTCAACATCGAAAGTATGCACACAGACCTTCTAAACCAATGCTTGCGGCGTTCATGATGCTCCAACAACACCGACCTCCGCCGGTGGTTAATACAGTTTACACGTACTAACACACCCTAGTCTCTATGGCAGAGCTCCTCGTGAAGATAGCAAAGACTTCTGTCAACAACAAGATTGGAGATTGTTATGAACGTCCGAACGCGCAATCTATGCAGGCGGTTGAAAGCACATCGCACCGTAACTCGATTGTCTCTTCTGTAATTTCCACCACTCACTTCCAAAATATAGTCTCGCTAATTGTATAAACAGGCAAGCGGCAGCAGTTCCATCAAAGACTGGGAACTGTCGTCTTCTGACTCGTCCTCCTCACCATTCGACGTCGAATCGATTGAAGCATATAATAGCATACAAGCTCCTGGTGATGTATGCTTCGAGTTCGACGGGCTAGGTGACGTGAACATGGATAAAGAGGCACCCAAAGACAGATTCGGATATATTGATGGACATGTCTATGAAATGGAATCACCCCGCCGCGTTTTCTCGTCGGCGGGGCTGTGGTCAGGAACAGGGGAAGCTGGGAGCAGTTTGAAAGAAATTGCATGGAGGTTAGGCGCTGTGAAGGGTACAATCAGCTCTATGGGAGTAAAAGAAAAACTTTAACACATTCTGCTTATAAACTCTCCGTGAACGTGATTTTGGCGGGAACTCCGCTTTGCCACACTTCTCGGTTGCCAGGTCTTGGCGCTATGCCGACCAAAACATGGTGGCCGAGCCAAGAGAAAAGTTGAGAACAATGTGCCTGCTTTTACATCTGGAGACGTCGGACAGTCGTTGGCTCGTAGTTTGACTCTGTCACACCTGGCTTGAAACGCCGGGTAATCGCCTCGACTTCGAATCCGGGTTCAGGTGTCGACAATCGAGGACTGTGCAATACGCGACCAGACTCGCGCAACTCCAAAGCTCATTCGTTGATTAACAAGATCCCAAGCAGCAACACCGTACAAGCTCCTGCGATAAGAATTGACGCGATGTGTTATTAGTATGCTGTGCTTGACGGCTTGCATAATCTATGCGATGTCGAATGATGATCGTTCATACATATTGGGGCGGAGCAGGCAGTGGCTTTAAAGTAGCAGTTTCGGTGATAGCCATGTCTTGTAGAGATTGGTCCAAGCCCAATGACATACATTTGAGATTGTAAAATACGGCCTTGAATGACGACTCCAGATCTCTGATGGTTCATATATCCCCACCACTCCCAAGTACTCGACTTGAAAGATCCAATTATACTTCCAATTTGGCCTTCCCATAATCATGGCACCACCATCTGCAGATACCTATACAGAGCAATCCTCTTCCGCTCCAACACTATCCAAGACTCGCGCAATCCCGGAGATCAAAAAGAGTGTCGCAGGCCTGACTCAAAGCGCATCCTTCGCTACACCGCTACAGTACTCCGGATCCCTAGATACTTACGAATCCTTCGATGTTACAAACGTTATAGGTCGGGAGTTCCCCAAATTGCAGCTGACGGATATTCTGAAAGACGATGAGAAGATCCGAGATCTTGCAATTCTTGGTAGGTGCCACTCTAATCTACACTGTGATAAGCAGCAATCAGCTGATGGATGAGTAGTGAGTCAGTGAGGAGTTGTCTTCTTCAGGAATCAGGACATCGGAATTGAAGACCAAAGATCTTCGGCCAGAGACTGGGTGAGCTTACTGGCAAGCCAGAGACTTCCAAGGTATGTATTCTGCCATGGTTCTCTGCAGTACTGATGACAAAAGCTGCATAAACATGCCTTGAGCAACAGCAAGCGTGGCATCGCGGTCGACGAAAATGGAAAACTTGATGATGAAGTATCCGTCATCTCTTCTGAGGTTGGAGCTTATTTGATATTCGCTTACAGTGATCCGGTATTGACTTTTGGTAGCAAAACCGTAAATACTACCAAGGCCGTTTGTTTGGTGCCAAGCGGCTAGCAAGCGAAGGCTGGCATGCCGAGTATGACTATCTCAATACGCTCTTTGAATAAGCTGACATTGAGCTAGCATCACCTTTGAGCGAATCCCCTCCGACTATGCGATTCTGAAGATTGTGAAGACTCCAGAGGATGCAGGTGGAGATACTCTTTGGGCTTCGGGATATGAGGCGTTTGACAGATTGTCACCAGTGTGGCAAAGGTTCGCGGAGGGGTTGACTGCCACTCATTACCAGGTTCGTACCGTTTAAGCTAGTTACAACCAAGACATTGCTGACATGTTATAGCCCAACTTCAACAGAGTCGCGGCAGAGCATGGTTTGGAGCTTCTCGACCAGGATCGAGGTGCACCTGAAAACACCGGAACTGATTTTACAGCTTCTCAGTATAAACTATATCGCTACATCCACTGTGAATTTTGCTGATATTACTCACAGTCCCGTCGTACGAACTAATCCGGTCACCGGGTGGAAGAGTCTGTTCGGTGCCGGTCACCAGGTCCATGCCGGGTGGATCGACAACGTCACCGAAACTGAGAGTGAGGTCATCAAAGCTTACTGTAAGATTGGTCTTCAAATTTCAAAACTTGTAGCATTTTGCTAACATTGCCTTTAGTCCTGAAAATCATTGCCGAGAACCATGACTTACAAGTGAGATTCAAGTGGCGTAAAAACGATCTTGCAATCTGGGACAAGTATGTGACATTTTATCAAACTTGTGCATTTGAGAGAAAAACTTTTGCTAAGATGGCTACAGTCGATCGGTATTCCACACAGCTACAAACGACTACGAAGGTATCCGCCAAGGGAACAGGGTCGTCTCGCTTGGAGAGAAGCCATTTTACAATCCGGCATCGAAGTGTCGTCGCGAGGCTTTGTATGGTGGGCTGCAAGGGCAATAGGAATGCATTCCGGCAGTCCCATAACGATAGCAAGACTCAGTAGTGTAGTTTCCTCGGCGATTTATCGCAGCATGTTCATGAATTATCCGAATCAGGCGATGATTGCACCACGTGATTTACTTCGTTAAGACGCTGCGATGTTTTACTTGGCGTTTCTCGTCCTTGGGATTGTAAATTGATTGGCGGGATCAAATATTATTCTCATTAATTTTAATCATGGTCTCACCATCTTATTCTAGCTGCAAATCCGGACAGCTGTTGTGGGGAAGGTCAAGGGCAGAGGAGCAGGCTGGAGTCCTGGACGTATCGTGAATCATCTCGTCCAAGAAAAGTGCTCAAGGAATTGTAGACTCAAAAAGAAAGTGATCCATTCACGAGCTCGCATGTTTTAAAGCGTATAAAATCTTCATATTTGATAGAAAGTGCAACCATCCATCTCAGACCTGCATCCTCACAACTACCCGCTCGTAACAATATCCATAATCCACTTGATTACCCTAATCCACATTGCCATCTAGTGCCTCCCTATTCCATACAATCGGATCTAGGTCAAAAATCTCGCGGCATTTTATACTCTTCAGTGTAAGCTTCTCCGGGCAAGAGCTCTTATCCTGTCGCAACAGAGGCCAGCTCCTGTAAAGCCTGCAATACCTTCGTCTCGCTTGAACACATTCACTCAGCAGCGACCAAAATGCTCCTTTCACTCCTCTCATTCATCTCGTTCATGAATCTCAGCATTCAAGCCCCAGTCATCGCCGAGCGTCTGGTGCCCAGTACCGACTTCCCATCGTCCGCCCTCAACATCACCACTCGTGACGTCCAATACGCCAATTTTGACTCCATCGACGCCCGTGGCCTTTGCGACACCAATTTCGGGAAACACGGCCAATGTTCCTTTGTAACATGGACCCACTGGCCCGCGACTGACACTCTCGAGGACTCTTCACACGCCTTCTACGCTTTCGACAGCTCTTGTAAAGTCATCGGTTATGTTCCTGCAGTCAACATGAAAGGCAACGACAAATATGCTTTCGGACCTGGCCAGACTAAGCTCCAGTATTTCATCGATGTTCGATTCAGTGTGAAGAAGGAACATGGTTGGGCGCCGAATATCTGGTATGGTGGAAGATTTTTCAAGGATTCCAAGTGCTGGTATGAGGAGACGAGGTCGGGTTGGAGACATAGCCAAGGTGTTTGTAAGATCGCTTTCACATGTTAGACGGAGGCGGCAGGAAGGGTGAGTTGTATCAATACGCTAGATTCGGGATGACGCCTGCGGTTGTCTTTTTATGACAGTAATGTTCGGTGTATGCTCGATGATGACGCCTGAGATTCGGGAGCTGGCGATTCCAGGATCGGAACGTGTTTGTGCGATAGAATTCGTGAGTGTGGGCTGGAGATCGTTGAACCATGTACGAAGTTGTGAGTTTTGTATATTGTAAAAACCATCGTGTCAAACGAAGCTGTCAGAAATGCAACGTTCTCTATATCAAAGCAATTCTGTTGGCGCTTGAACCTCTTTGTTTACTTCGGTAAAGCCTGATACCCCGCCCTCACTGAATTTGATCTCCTCTCCGGATTGTTCCCAGTCAACTGTGACTCACATCTCGGCGTTTCAGTTAAACGTAGGCCAATTATTCATGTAATCAGTCACGCAATCAATCTGCCCCGAAAAACATATTATGTAGCTTTCGAGCACGATCGCATCCCTGTTTCTCCAATTGGCTAGGTCACTGTCGCTTGGACTGAGAAATTATTGACCATAGATTCACCTTGGTGAAATATTGCTGCAAACTTCCTAGGGGTCTTCGTACATTGCTTTCTTCCGCGAAATTTGACAACCACACAACCCACTATTCGTCCAATAAACCCATTCGTTAGTCGAGTCTTGCGCCAGGAAACGTTCACAACAATTGTAAAAACCACCAGAAACTTTTCTTTTCAGCTTCTTGAATCTGAGTTGAACTGTACCTTTCCACTGCGATCTCACGTCAAGTCACGAAACCTTTCGACCCGCTGTCTACTCTGGGCTTGTTTCGTTGCCATATTTTCCTTTAATTATCACAACAATGGCTTCCAAAAGATCTCGTGCGCCTCTCCATCGTGCTTGCAAGAAACGAAACCCTGTTGCGCAATGTCCTGGTTGGTCCTCCATTTCTCTCCCCCACAGCCAGGCGCTCACTGCTTCTGTAGGAACCAGAGTTCAAGCCTCTGCTGGGGCACAGTCAGCTCCAATCACTGTCGAAAACAGGCCTGCGCAAGTGTTTGGACTTGAACCAGAGATCATGTATATGATCATGTCGAAGCTCGATATCTTCACCGCGAGAGTTGGGGACTTACTTGCCGGCAATTCAACGAAGAGTACAAGAAAAGCTTCGAGACATATGCCGGACACTCAAGAATGTGATATAAATCTGAGCAAATGACAAGTCCAGGCATTGCTATCACAAGCGAGAGGCGACCACATCTGAATGATATGGGTTACAGTTTGTAGTATATTGGACCTAGTGGAAGATCGCTGACTTCAATGGCCAACTCGGGGTCAACCAAACACGAGGCGATGTGCCTGCAGAAAATGTTTAATTCGAATGATGGCAAGAAAATGTTGTCCTTCAAAGCTTGTTTGATTTATGCCTATGGGAATGGACATCTGTTTAGATAAGCAATGATATCCAACATCGCAATCACCTCCCCATTTGTTGCTGCGAGAAAAAGCTGAGTAACTAAAAAACCTCGCTTGGTGATTCTAGCTGTCAGAAGCGATTATCACGCCGTAAGCAAATTGTTTGCTTTATCGACAAAAAATACCACTAGAATAAGATAGTATAACGATTCCGGTAGACTTTGCAAAGTGGTAAAGCTAATGCATCTCGTAAGGCTTGCCATGGCGGTAAGGAGACCCCGCACTACCGATATCGCGCCTTTCGGGCCCCGTATTTATGACTCCGAGACTATATAATTTTCATCTTCTTCAGTTCAGTATTTGCGTTCTTCTCTCACTCAACGAATTAACTCTTACCTCAAATCTTTAGGAATCGGCACTGATTTTCGTTTTTCATTTAAGGTCATGGCTCGCGATGCAAATCCTACAGTTGGAGAGGAGCTTACCACCTTCCATCCCACTCTTGGTTCCCAAGTCTCACAAAACTTGACATTGTTCCACGACGTCGAGCCAACCGTGACTTCTCGATCAAGACTCGACTACACTTTTCCCGAAGGTGGCACCAAAGCATGGCTCGTTGTGACTGGATCATTCTGCATCATTTGGGGCACTTTCGGTTTGATTTCTTCAGTTGGTCTTTTTCAAGCCTATTGGAAAAGTCATCAACTCTCGAACTATTCTAATGGAGATATTGGTTGGATCCCCGCAGTCAACATATTTTTCAACTTATTCCTCGGTGTCCAAATAGGGCCACTATTCGACCGATATGGCCCAAAATGGTTGATTCTTACCGGGAGTTTGCTCTACGTCGTCAGTTTATTGCTCCTTGCTGAATGCACCAAGTACTGGCATTTCATGCTCGCTTACGGAATCTTGAATGGCGTCAGTGGTGCTCTTCTCACGACGACTGCTTTGTCCGTCATTGCCCACTGGTTTGAGAGAAAGCGGGGTATGGCAAGTGGAATTGCTTTTGTGGGATCGAGCATTGGTGGAATTACCTTCCCCTTGATCCTGAAGCCGGTATTCCAAAAGTTTAGCTGGGCATGGTCTCTAAGAATTGTGGCATTGATATGCTTGATACTCATGGCTGTTGGTAACATCTGCATTCGAGGTCGACTACCGCCACGGAAGAATGGTGGCGCAATCGATCTCAGATGCTTCTTAGACGCACGTTTCTCATGGGCGACAGTTGGGGTTGCTTGTGAGTATTTACTATCACTCGTCCTTTGCTCTTACTTGATTTACTGACTGGCTTTTGACATAGGCTTCGAGTTTGTGCTTTTCGGTGCTCTCGGTCTCATTCCAACCTACTCTTTATCTCAAGGCTTCAGTAACCAAACAGGATTCAACATCATTGCAATTCTGAACGCGTAAGACGCTTTGTCATAGTATATAGATAGAGTCTGACACAGTGCAGTGGCTCCGCCCTCGGTCGCTCGTTTTCTGGGTACATCTCAGACCGCATTGGTCGATTCAACACGATGCTTCTCACCCTTATCTGGACTCTCATCGTCACCCTAGGGCTTTGGTTACCCATTGGTGACAATCTTGTCATGTTCTACGTCTTTGCTCCTCTGTTTGGTTTTGGTTCAGGGAGTATCATCAGCATGGCCCCAGTATGTCTTGGCCAGCTTTGTCGCGCTGATGAGTATGGTCAATATTATGGAACATCTTACTCAGTCGTTGCTTTTGCGTGAGTGACCCATTACCTTTCCGAGAGTGATGCTGAATATCTTGCAGAACAATGGTATGTATTCCAGTTGGCGGAGAGTTATTGCCGCGCATTGGAGCAACTGGCTTTGTGGCATTCTTTAGTGGCATCCTTGTTGTTGCCACAGCCAGCTTTATCATGGCAAGGTGGGCCTCACTAGAATATCGTTGGCACTGGGCTGCAAAAATATGAAGAGTTCTAATGGCCTCGAGAATGGTGGGGTATGGGGGATTCGTAGTGTAACGCTGATCAGGCCACTGTGGATTGCTCTCTCTGTGGAAAAGCGCAGGCCGACGGTCAAATCAAAAACAAGAACCCCAAGAGCAGATGGCGGAAACAAAAATTGGTTTGAACAGCTTGTTTACGCGATGATTATTAGGAAGCAACTCGAAATTGAGGTTGATATCCGAAGCCGGCAATACAGTCGCCTCGTTTTCCCCAAATTGAACTCTGGGCGTGTTAAAGTGCTGGCTGACCAGCTTGCCAAGTAAATTTTGAATGTTCGAACTTCGAATACGCTAGCTTTCCAGTGTCCGGCGCGATTAAACCCACATTTGTTCATTCCATTACCACGAAATTTAATCCAATTAAAATATTACACCAGGCCGACCTCTGGAGCATATACAACCACAGGCTTGCAGTTATTTGTAGTAATCGGAAATAACTGTTGAATTGAAGTCAGCTTCCGGCTTTGCACATGCACTGCTCGGATTTCCGTGGTCACATGATGGTTCTTCTCAGTACCCTGTGATTCACATTCCCTGCAAGTTAGCACGATTTAGAAGGGATTTCAGAAAGTTATGAATACATACATAATAGCCATACAGTAGCCATAATAACTACCATATCCCCCTTGTTGGCTGGTAAGTTGGCCGATCTAGTGAGATCTCCCCAATTTGAAGACCCTTTATTGTTTGTTCTCGCTTAGCCCCTGAACTGTGGATGCGCCTCGCTTCTTCCTTTCACCTGATACTGCTTGATCCATTAGCCAGTACTCAAATCAGTGTAATTCGCTCGGGATTAGCCCCGCTTTGAAAACATACCATGCTAGCTGCAAGGCTCTAAAATTAGTGTTTTGCATTATCAGCTTGCCTTCTGCATTCCGTCGAAGCACATACTTCTTTCTTTGGGAAGACAAAGGATAAGAGAAAAAGCCACGCGATGACGCATAGTTATTAGAAATTGGGCATAGATAACAATCGTTGATTGCCTTTTGAGCTCAGTTGGAAAGCTCAAGCATAATTACGAACACTTCCCTCAGCCTTTGATCTCTTCTATCAATCGTCCCACCTTTCATGCCATAAATCAAGCTCAAGAACAAGATACAGATTCTGAGATAAAGAATGCTGTATTTAACATTGGATATTTTAGGGAAGAATTACTAACGATATAGTCAAAGAAACGATTTCAGTATTAATTTAGCTCGCAACTAACCGTCTCGTGGAAAGTAAAGGCAGACATGTTCCTAGCAGCCAATTATTGTCTGTCTTTTACTTCGTTTCTCAAAAGTTATAGAATAAGGAGTATAGAGGTCTTCTTCAACAGTAAAATTTTACAAAAACACGAAACTACCCTCTTCGCCTTTTATGTCAAGGTCAACCATCATCAACAATGACTGCAAGAACGCGAGCCCACACTCCAACGGAAAAGTAACGAGAGGTTCCAAGCGTAATGGAACATGGATCTGGCAAGGCAGATGAAGTCAAGTTCATAGAGAGTACAGAAGCTCGAAACGTGAATAATGCAACAGCGGCACCTACTGTTGACGTCGAGGATGATAGAAAGCCTCCGGAGGTAGGTCAAGAAGCGAGCCGGGGCATCAATGCACAACTCTCAATCATCGAATCATGCACTCAAGCAGGTACGAGTCATGTCTCTCGCCTCTAAATATTCCAGGAACTCAAAATACTTCGGTACACACTCTTAGAAGTGCAAGTAAGCTGACAAGAACTTCAGATCGCCGATCTCCAAGCACGACCACTGTCCATTTCAATGCCAAGAACAACAACTTTAAGGCAGCTCCGAATATCCCTGATGATATAGTCTTCATGATCCTGGGTCTTTTACAAACCAAGACGCTTTTGTCCGCTCGACTCGTTTCGAAAGCCTTCTCCGAGCTAGGTGCCGGCTTGCTCTTTCCGACATTTGTTCTCAAACCCAATGGAGACGAATTTGGTCGTATCAAGGCCGTTGCTGCGCATCCTCATCACGTTAACGAAATCAAGAGCATAAGAGTTGAAAGCGGCACGGTAGATATTTACCACATCGTTGAGGGGCTTGTTTTCGCATGGGTTTGGGATTACAACCACATATTCAGCCCACTAAGATTCGCTGCCGGGTACTCTAGCCAGGAATATGAGAGCAATAGGCACTCTGCAAATTCAAGAATACGCACGATGGAATTCTGCTTGGCGCTCACTTCGACAAGACTACAAGGATTTGGACCTGCTGGTACCTGTTTTACAGAAACTTCCAAACTTGAATTCTATTGTCATTGCACGCAGAGTGTGCAGTTTTAAGAGTGACTCTCTCATCGGAGCATTTTTTGAGGGCAGTTCCAACTCAAATTTTGAGCAAGCAAATGCAGAATTTGCAGCGATTCTTGTAGCAATCAACATGTGCATGAAGGATTGAGGACAGAGATTGGATGCTATGTTGGGGTACTTGTATGCTGCGTGGGATCTTACACAGTGTGAATAGATCATGTATGGGTGGTTTAACTTGAAATGGCGTGCTCTGAATCCAGGTTTGGGGTGAGGAATCGGGCCAAGGAGCAATGAGGACGAATTATCCACCTGGCAGCTTCAGTAGCAAAATGTCTTGCCGACTCAGCAATGCTATTATAATAATATACAGCTTTGTATATGGTTTCGGTTAATCGAGTATATGTCGAGAATTTAAGTTGAGCAAAAGTCAACAACAGGTGATAGTGACACGGACTTCAAGACATGGACCGACTTGTTCTGTGATATTGCTGGTCCTATGAGACTTCGAGCACGATTGGAAAACATGTTAAAAAACCATTCAGCTGTAGAGATGATCTGCGCACAAGTGATCAGCATATTTGCGGCATCTCTAGAATCAGTAATCCGTCTGACCTGCCAAGCTTCTAGTAAACATGCTAAACGAGGCCGTCCTGTTTCTAGCAAACGGATACTCCCTTCCAGCCAACCGACAGCTTAGTGATCTGTCAGTTTTCATGCCGAACACCCATACGCGGAATATTGGGATGCGCCACCTGCGTATGAAGCAAACCGAGGTCGACGATCGAATGAAGCACCTGGAAACCACAGATCTGCATGCAGTTATATCTAACAAGTACCTCAGTCCGGCCAACATATCAAGTTGTCCATTTAATCTTATAGTAATTTGCCACTCACTATGGGAATTCGATCGAGATTAAGAGCGCTGTCAAGCAGTGGACGACGCTCACCATCCCCTCACCCACCATCTCAAACACCATCCCAACCGCCACCACCAGCACAAACCTTCGGACCTCTCCCAGCCAATCTCCCGGAACCCATAATCCTCACAGTCAGCTCACCACTACCATCAATCACAATCCTCACCCAAGCCATCGACTCCAAACCTGTTTTCCAGATCGACGAATCTTCGACACGCTTCGTCACTCATATCCCAACCAATCAACCACTAGGCTCTGTCATTGCCGGAGCAGACAACAACCTAACGATCAACCACCCCGCAACAAGCACAGCGATAACATACAAAGATGATTTGAGACCTCCCCCATGGTTCCAGGGATTGTACGGCAACGCCGTTTACTGGAATATCCCCGCCTGCAACGAATGGCAAGCTACCATACACTGCGAGATCGTTGATGGAATCGACCATCCAAACGATGAAGAAGATCTTGCTATGGCTGTCATTCTTGACAGTAAATTAAGGAAAGGTCGGATCGAGATCAGGAAGCAAATGACTAAATACGAAATGGACTTCTTACTTCTCACTGCGTTGGCGGAGATTGAAGATCTGAAAAAGAAGATGGCTGCGATAGTAACTCAAGCGGCTGCTGCACCTGGACGTTCTGGAGGCGGCAAGGTGTCGGCTGGTCAATATCTGAGTGTCATGAACAATGCGATGCATTTTGCAAATCAAGCTGCGCATGCAGGAGGGTATGGTGGAGACTCTGGAGAAGGCTATTCTGGTGATTCAGGAGGTGGAGGAGGTGGTGGTGGAGACGGAGGTGGAGGAGGCGGAGGAGGATTCTAGACTTGAAGGACAGACTAGATTTCTTTGGATATTAAATCAAAAAGCCTGGTTTGTGGAAAACGGATTCCAATATCGTTAGCACAACCGGCTTCCGCACTTTTGTTGACAGAGAATCCTCGTTACACAGGACCACATAACTTGACCTCGCTTCGCTCTAGCGTTCTCGCAGACATCAGCTTCTCAACCCAGCTTTTCACTGCTACACAATCAGATAAGCTCATAGCCGTCGGCATCGCCGCTCTCATCGCATCTTGCGCAGTTTTGTTATCGATCGAAGAGGGTTTATTGCTCCTTCTCAAATGTTCTTCGCTTGTAAAAGTGGCAATGACTTTGATTCTTCACATAAGCTACCAGCTGAAATCATAACTCCATCCCGCTATGCGAGGTAAACACCCTTACACCAAGCCCGCCAAATCCATTCCCAGTCCATCCACATCAATCATATACGTAACGAAGCACAATCACAACACCAAATGCCAGTACCAAAGTCCTACTTGCGACCTCTGGCAAGAAGTTTCTCTCCCAGCTCAGCAACAGCATTCCCCCACGCCTCCTTTGTAGCATGGCCCTTCTCTTCCACAACATCCCCACATCTGTTGAGAAGAAACTCTCCCATCTTCGGCTCGTTAAAACGCTCTCCGTACACAACTGTAGCTCGTGGTAATATCTCGACATCGATACCATTCTCACCAGATGTGCTTGTAAGCTGGAAGATGATCTCGACTTTGGTGGTTAGCGGACCGATGAGAAGAGATGATTTGATCGCGATGGAATCATCGGATGTCTTGCTGACGTCGGTCGGGCAGCTGATGGCGAGGAGGCGAATGTCATCGACAACTTTGCTTGCCTTGTTCCACGATACACTGACCGCGTTGAGGAGATCTTTGACCTGGGTTTTGCTTTGAGGTAAGCCGCGAATGTGATCGCGTATACTCTGGAGGAAGAAATCCTTCTCTGCAGTCAATGGGAGTGGTTTCAACTCTCTACTAGCGCCGATGTACCACAGATCAATTCGTGAGTTCACGGGTGGTTTGGCTGGACTGCTCGAATTGGTTGTTAGAAAGGAAGATGCGTCAAACACCAGTTCAATCTCTTTCCGATAGGTCATTGAGGTCGTCGTGCCTGAAACGCCAGTGATTGTCCAGCCATGTTCCTTCTCGATCGCGTCAACTTTGCCTTTAGATTTGTTAGCTTCATCAACGGCAACAAGAATGATTAACTTACCCTTCAAGACACTTATCTCACTCGAAGTCCAGCCTCGACATTCTTCTCTGATCTTTTCCGCTTCACGGATTTCTTCCAAGCATGCCTGCTTACGTTCATTTCCTGCCTCAATCTCCGACTCTTTACCCTCCAGTTGCCTTCGCAAGTCCGCGATCAATTGCTTCTTTGCTTCAACATCTGCATCTACGGCAATCAGCTGTTGACGAGCATCGCCGAGCTCTTCTTGGTCGCAATTGGCGATTTCTTCGGCTGCCGACTGGAGGTCAGCTTCCTCTCGCTGAAGCTTTTCGGCCCGTCGGATTAGCTCTGGAAGAACTGCTTCAAGCAGCTCTTGTTGATGATCAAGAATTTCCTCGTCTTCGATCATTCCCTCAGCGGTCTTAAAGAGCCCTTCCTTCAAAGTGCCAAGGAGAGTCATTCTCCAGTCGTACCATAGACCCTTACTTAACAGTCTGGCATGGGTTTTGACGTTCTTGAGCTGATTGTCCATTACGACCTTCATATCCGGGGTGGCTGAAATATACTCGCGGAACAAAGGAGGATTCTCTTCAAAGGTTTCGGTCTCGATCTCGCGGACTGTTTTGCGCCCTTCGGAGATATATCTCTTAAGTTCTTGGCAAGCCTAGAAAGGTCAGAAGCAGTCAAAATATGCATTCGTCAACTTACATGTTGGAACAACTCAAGCATGGGAATGGTAGCAGCACCGGCGGCAACACAGTCTTCGAGAGCCACATCTTTATCGTCTTCAAGGGCTTTGGTAGACGATCTAGGTGCAATGGTGTGTCTTCGCTTGGTCGTCGTTAATTCCATGAAGCGAATGCTGGTCATGTTTAGGAAATCTTGGAGTTGAATCCGATCATCACCGAAGCTGTCCTCGTCGACTTGAGGCTCTTCCACGGGTGATTTCTCAACAGGTGGGCCAATGTGTAGGCCAGATTGGCCGGCTTCCACATCTTTAAATCGACCTTGGTGACGAGGAGTTGTGACTTTACTCTTCTCCGGAGAGATAACCGTGCTGGGAGTGGATGAGGCTTCTTCCATACTTTTACGAGAAGCTCGGGTGACCCTTCCAGTTGTAGTCTCCGCTTTTGATGGAGGTGCTTGCAACTTGACACCTTTGACTGGACTTCCTTGGTGGCCTTTCAGACGCTTTACCCCTCCATTGTCTTCATCATCTTCGTCGTCGTCCAATTCAGCGGGACGTTTGCCAAGGATACCTTTCGCAGCACCAACATGCAGGCTCTTGCGACCTCTCAAAGGATTCTTCTTCTTTGGTGTCAAACTTTGGATCATCTCCTTCAGGTTAAGAGTCACATCCTTCTCCTCTCCATTTATATCTGCCTCTCGCTCCATGATTTTACGGCCATTTTCTCGATCTTCTTCTTGCTCACGCTCCCTGTCAAGTTCCTCCTCCATGGCACGGGGATCCTCAAAACGTACAACAGCTGCAGGAGCTTCTCCAAGCTGGCTAGGGATGAAAGATCGAGCCTGATCTCCGATGGACCCACGGCGGTCAAGTAGTGCCGCTACTCGTGGAGAACCAAGTCCGGTCTTGTCAAGACCAACACCAGAAGACCGCCTTGGCTGTGGTGTTAGAATAAAGCTTGGAGTAGCGGCCCCAGTGAACTTGTCTTTTTGGAAAAGTTTGTTGGGAGTCGCAACCTTTCTGCCTTTTGCAGACTGTGGAGTGGACGCAGCTGCTTTGATTTCATCCTTGAAGAGCCTCTTGGGGGATGAGGTGCGCATGACAACATTTTTGGAAGGAGGAGTCTTGCTAGGGGTAGTTGCACGGGCAGGTTGGGGCGTTATTTGCTTCGAAGGGGTTGCTGGCTTCTTGAGGGGTGTACCGCCAGAGCTAAGTCTGGACTTGGGAGTGGTGGACTGTCGTGATTCTGCACTTCGACGAAGACCCTTTCCTCTGAAGCCCGCAAGGCTTGGACTTCCAGTTTCTGATGCGACCGTATGAGTTGGCGCAGGAGGCTTTGGTGGTGAGTTTGATGGCACATCTGCGCGGAAGGGAGAGCTGCCGAAGTCCGACTCCATTTCCATTATCTTCTTTGCTTGCGAGCGACTCCCTGTGCTTCGTTGAGGCGGGAGTATGCCACCCAGCGCTGTAGTCATGTCCATGCCCATGGTAACATCTTGCTCACTGGTGGTTTCCGCAATAGATGGCATGATACCTCCCATAGCTACAGTCATGTCCATGGTCTCGTCTTCTGCAGCAGATTCTAGGCTCTGCCTATTCCGCTTGCTTTGGGCTTTTGACTTCGCTGCCATTGACGCTCTTCTTCCTGATCTAGTAGTCTGAGCTACTGGGGGAAGTACACCACCAACAGCAGTCGTGAATTCCATAGTCATATCCTCGTCATCTGGCGAGGAGGCTTCCTCTCGTGCGGGCTGAATGCCTCCAATTGCCATTGTGAGATCCATGGTTTCGTCACCCATCGATGATTCGTCGGCAGATGATCTTCTTCGAGTGCTTTGGCGACGATTTCCGGGAATGGACTTTCGTCTCGACGTTGGCGCTTTTGCTGCGTCGTTCGATATGATACCACCAAAAACACGAGTGACGTCCATTGACATCTCATCATCTTCGGGCTTTTGCTCGGGCATGATGCGGCCAACAGCTTTGGTCATATCCATGGTGATATCCATCGTGATGTCTTCTCCCTCCGGTTGTTCTGCGGCTTGCTGTGCTCCAGCTTTAAATGCGGGAGAGAATGGATTTAGGTTCTCCTGGTCGTTTAGAGACTCAAGAGCCGGGTTCTTCTTCGACCACGGAGCAAAAGATGCCACCACCTCCTCCTCTTCCACTACACCCTCGTCCCCATTCTCATCAAAATCGATACCTTGAGTACCAGCTTGACGAGCAGCCTCTCTAAGAGCCTCGTCCAATCGACTGGAACCTGTGCTATCGCCCGACGCCATGGATGCCATTGACATGTTCGTAGTTTCTCCACCGTCCATGCTCATCAAAGTGCCATCATCGTCACCGGAGTCACTGTTCGAATTAGAGCCATCGTCCTCAATTATTTCCTCAGCATCGCCTGTTGAGCTACCGCTGAATGGACTCGAGGAGAACCCCTCGTCATCGGGGTTATTGAAGTTCATAGGTGGTATACCAGAGCTTCGACGACGCTTCTTTTGGTGCAAGTCGCGTTGGTGGGCCGGGCTTGCTGTAACAGTCTCCTCTTCGACCTGCTCAGGCGGTGTAGATGGAGGCTCTGAAGCATCAGAGCCAGCAGGTTCAGACGATCGAGAGTGTGGTGACCCTACAGAGCCACCTGATGCAGAAGATGCTCGTCGAGTCGAGTTGGTTGAGTTTGACGAAGTGGTAGAATCCTGGTATTCAACAACAACATCCCAGGTGTGAAGTGTAGCTTCTGGCGCAAATGATACTCTGCGATTGGCCAGTGACTTCCGTCGAGCATCTCGTCGTGATATTATTTCCTTCTCTAATTCCTTCCTCTCCTTCTCCTCCCGTTCGCGTGCAGCTGCTTGTTGTTCCTCCTCTGTTCGTAAGGTCACTCTGGTCTCGTTTACGGCAGGACTTCCAGATATCTCGAAAGGATTAGCAAGTTTCTCTGCTCCCGATACAGTTGCGCCAGGTACTTGGACGTCGAAATCGATCAGATTGTCCGTCTTCTGAGCCGATGGCGGGGTTGTCTTCTTTGGACTCTTGCGCGTCGAAATATGCGCCGGAATTTCTCGAAGGGGTGGCATAGTAGGTTTGAGAATGGACTTTGGAGGAGGATGGGGAACGGAAGCTAAAGACTACATTGAAGTCAGCTGGGGTGTGTTCTGCTGCCATGCCATGTCATTCTCCACGTACCTTGCGCCTGTTTCCTGTAGTATCTTTCAGAGCATCCAATCCGCCAGGACCAATGCTCTTACTGCGCGATTTCCTCGAGGACTTCTCGATAGGCAACGCCTTTTTGCCAGTCAAAGCTCCAATATCTGCAGTCATGTTTTCTTGATCCATACTTTGCGACGACGGGATATGGGCCAGTGACTTTCTTGACTTCGGTCGCGTTGCTGGCAGGGTGACTTCTTCTCGTGAAGCCATGATTGAAAGTGAGTGAGCTTCAAGCTCGAGAACTCATGCGCGAGTTTTGGTTCAATTGATCATATAGCGGTGGTACGATCAAGTTGGTGGATGACATTGAAAAGCTGGGATCGGTTGCTGGGCTTCTCAGAGTCACGTAAACAAAACAAACAGAAGCTTGCAGCGCGTTGAGCCAGGCACCAATGAGCTTCTCGTGAGGCAGGACCAGCCCGCCGCCAAGCCACTGCCCACTGCTAATTGCACTAATCTACCTTCAGCACTAGCGCATGTAGTCACGTGTCCCACAAATGCGTTAGCCGAGACTCGTGAAAATCCCTAAACCTTTTCTCCCACGACGAAGAACCCAACAACTCGACTTGCGACTCGACAACCACCGCAACCATGGCCACCGAATTGACCGTCCAGAGCGAGCGCGCTTACCAGAAGCAACCTCATATCTTCTTGAACTCCAAGTCCAAGTCGAAGTCCACCGCCGTCGGAAAGGGAGGCCGAAGATGGTACAAGGACGTTGGATTGGGATTCCGCACACCAAAGACTGCGATTGAGGGAAGCTACATCGGTACGTGGAATCTGCGGTCTTCGAAAAATATGGGAAGGATTGTGCGACAAATTTATGGGGTTCAGAAGAGGCGTAATGGGGGCGAGATCTATTGTTGACGTGGGCGACGACGTGCCGAGCGCATATTTTGAAATTTTCAAAACTGACTATCTTCCCCAACAGACAAGAAGTGCCCTTTCACCGGTCTCGTTTCCATCCGTGGCCGTATCTTGACCGGAACCGTTGTCTCCACCAAGATGCACAGAACCCTCATCATCCGTCGAGAATACCTCCACTTCATCCCAAAGTACGCCCGTTATGAGAAGAGACACAAGAACCTTGCTGCGCACGTCTCGCCAGCTTTCCGTGTTGAGGATGGTGATCAGGTCACCGTTGGACAATGCAGACCTTTGAGCAAGACCGTACGTACAAACGCGTTTTCGAACAAAATATTTTGGCGCCAAGAGTGAACGTTGCGAGGAGGATTGAAAGAAACGACATGCTAACATGCTTCTTACCAGGTCCGATTCAATGTTCTCCGCGTGCTTCCCCGAACTGGAAAGGCTGTCAAGCAGTTCAGCAAATTCTAAGCGCATTTCTTTTGGGTTTATGGGCTGCATGGGGTTTGTTTGCTACTTCGGGGCAAAGGGTTGTGAGATACAGGCTCTGCATAAAGTTGGCATGGGAAACACATGTGCATTAGCTACTGAAAGCACTTGAATGCATGAACCATCTTCTGAACGCGGATATTTCCTGGAGTCAGTGACATGGACGCGATGTGATGGGATTATATTATAAGCGATGCTGATCCGATTGGTAGATTTCAAGGATACTAATTGGTTCTTACAGTAGATTCGGATTGTCTTTTCACCCGGCTGACGATAGAAAGCGACGGAAGAGATTACAGAGAAAGCAGGGCTCCATCGACTTGGTATGATAAGTGCTGCAATTACCGCGCGAGTCGGAATTGGAGGTAATATATGAGACAAGCAATCACTGGTTCTCGAGAGCTATTATATTTGACCTCTTCCGGAGGAAACTACCAGCAGACTGGTAGAGCCTCACACGGGAGCCTGAAGGTTCTCTCCAATCATCTTCAACTTTGGCTTACTAGCGGAAGATCCCAGACTTTCCCGACAACGTCTCACAGGTCGGGTCATCAGAACATCAGAACATCAACCTGAACAACTAGCTCCCCATTTCCATACTTGTTCATCTTTCAGCCAGCAGAAATGGCACAGCAAGCATCTCAAATATACTCCTCAAACTTCGATCGCACCTCCAAAGAAAACCGCTGGTACTACAAAGATCTCGGAGCTCATCTGCCAGCAGTTTCTCGCAAGCTGCTTGAAGGATACAGCCAAATCCCCTCCGAAGATGTCGATTCTCACGTGTACAAAATGGTATTGCAACCCAGCTAATCCTCCAAGCATCCACCCGAACGACTAACACTCTGAAAGCGTGACATCTTATGGGATTACGCTCCCTATCCCTGCATCGGGGAATTCAAATTCCTAACCCTCAATCTCCCCCTCCATCCAAAATACCCCGCAATGCTCCAACTCCTTGCTCCTACAGCCTCCAACCCATCTCCCAAGTTCCTCGACCTTGGCTGCTGCGTCGGACAGGAACTTCGGGCTCTAGCGCATTTCGGCAAAGTCCCTTCCGAAGATCTCTACGGGTCTGATATCAACGGGTCGTTCCTGTCTACCTCTTACGACCTCTTCAAGGACAAGTCAAGATTCAAGGGAACTCTCGTACCAGCGGACATCTTTTCCCAAAGCATTTTTGACGCAGGTGGACCATTCGAGAACTGGGAAGGAAATTTTACCGTCATCCATGCCGGGCTATTCCTGCACCTGTTCAATATCCAGCAACAGGTCGAAGTCTGCAAAACAATCATCAAACTGCTCTCAGATCAGCCAGGTGCCCTCTTCCTCGGTGAAATGGTAGGCTGCCTTGGGGGCGGAGAGAGAGGTGGAGGCAAAGATTTCAAGTTTTGGAAGCAGGGAGAAGAGAGGAAGCAGTTCCTCCATGACGGAGAAAGCTTCAAAGCTCTGTGGGATGAAGTAGCCAAGATGACATCAACTGAGGGCATGTGGAAAGTCGAAGGCAAGTTCAAAGTAAGAGAGAAAGAAGCAGACGGAGAAGGAAGCAAAGGATGCGCATTCTTCGTTGGTGAGGGTATCGGATGGTTGACATTCAGTGTTGAGAGAAAGTAGTTAAAGTAGCCATCAAAGTCACCGATCGAACTTGATTTCCCACCCGATTCGATCATCCATCCTAATTCCCTGATCTCCTCATAAGCTTTCGCTTCAACTGCTCTCCAATCTTCTCATTCCACCCAAACGTCACGGCGTTCGCAAACCCAATGAATTGGGTACTGGCCTGCATTACCTGCAACACATACGAGTGATGACCCATCGCTTGAGTAATTCGCATCGCAATACCGGGCAACCACAACAGGATGTAGAATATCGGATATGCGTGGAGCAGCATAGCCTTCTGGATGGATTTCTGCTGATCCTGTTTTGATTGTGGGCGGAGCATGAGTTCGTTCCGCGGGTCGACTTTGGGGCGTACGAACACGGCGCGGACACGCTCATAACGTGTGGGTTTGGGAGGTTGCTTCTGAAGTTTGCCGTTGGAAGGAGCTAGGTATATTATCAGTTACTATTTTCAATGGAGTAATTTATCGTGTCCATACTTGGTGCAAACTGGCTTTCGTGGCTAATTTCCTGTACGAGAGTTTCCTCCTTCCATGACTGCCCGTCCTCGACAAGACTCATCAGTCTCGAGTGTCGGCGGAGGTACACCTGGATGTAGATACACATTGAAATAACGGCGCCGATGATCAGAAATCGCCAGCCGTGAGTGAGTACGTAGCGTAAGTACACTGGGTCTTCGTTGATCCAGCACCAGTTCGTCGCTGCGGGGCCGTAGGCATTCATGACAAGTGCAGTGCCACCTGGGTGCAACTGTTAGCAGGAGCCTCCATATAAGCTCAGTAGAACTTACTTGTGATCAATGGCAATGCCCATGAGCAGCCGCAGAAAATAAAAATGTAGCTCAATTTCATATCATGCTTCGATCTCGACGACGTAACCACCCAAAGCGTGACGATCGTAATAACGAGAATAGAAAGATCAACAGCCTGTTCCGTGTTAGACATATCCTGGTATCACTTGTCTAGTAGCACTTACCTGAACAGACAACTGTCCAACAAAACCATTAAGCGTGCATCCGGTGCCAGCCCTCAAAGGTTTGTTCATAACTAAGACCCATAATCCGGAGCTGCTATTATTGGCGGCATTGATGAAATCTTTCTCCCTATCAGCAAATACCTCGGTCTACAACATCGGTCTGCGTACCAGCAACAGTCAAATTGATAATAAGCGCATGGCGAATATGTCTCTTTTGTGGAAGAATCAAATAACAAATCAAAATGAAAGTAGTTCCCAAAAACGACAGCAAACTACCTGTCAGGGTAACAATCACCAATGGCAGATCAACATTCGCCATGACGATCAACGGCACAAACTCGGCAAAAAGAAATTGAGAAAAGAGATTTTGGGTGAAGCAAAGAGTGTCTATCGACCCGCGGTGACTCAAAAAAGCGACGACAGAGTCGCATCAACTTTCTGGGGAAGACAGCATACTTATCCCGCGTGAGACAAAAGTGCACATCCCACACATCTCCACAATAGAAATCTCGCATGGCCACTTGGACTCCATCGCGGCTTTACGCGTTTTCGCAACGCCCCGTGCTCTTCTCGTCCCTTACTCTCGGGACTGGGGGAGTCGATTTCCAAGCGAGGATACGATGGCAAGATGAATCTGCGGAACGGATATGGCTCATGCTTTCGCCACCACTGGCGGTACTTGTGGATATTAAACTTTCCTGTTCGTCCCAAGATATTTTTGCGCATGCCCTTTTGGGTGACCTTAGCCGGGTTTCGATCGATGCAGTTTGGTGCGAGGATGCCATGATGAGGGTTCCAAGTTATGGGAATATGTCGGGTTCATATGCATGAAGCATGGTCCTCGCTTAGCCTTGTCAAAACTGAGCTTGGATCTCTCTGTTGTCTTTGAGAAGTGAACTGAAACAGTCTTGGTCAGCACTCGAGTCATGGCTTTATATTGGGATTAGAATTGGGGATTTGGGAGCGTGGAATCAATACGTTAAGGTTTGTGTCAAGAATAGCCGTCATAATGAAAGGGATGAGCTTGGAAGGATTCGAATGGGCTTATGCAATTTGAAGTCGCTTAATTTTCTCTTGGAAATAGAGGTGTTAGTCTTGGCATTGTTTGATACAAATCCGTATGACCTTCACAAAGGACAAAAGAATTGAGACTAAAACAAACTTCTATTGGACAAACAGACCCGCACAAGGAACTCTGCTAGATAAACCACTCCAGTCCTGACGCTCGCAATCTTGTTCATATCTGTTGACTTTGCCAGAATCAACTCCCACCAAAACCTCACCACTTCACTTCTTGCGTTGATACAATGTTTCCAAATATCTTTGAAGGGCTCAAGAAAACAAGAAAACGATCAACGCCCGAGATTTCATACCAGGATAAATGTGTCGATGGTGATCCCCAATCGTTTGCCAAGGGTCATGTCGACAGATCGAACATCAGCTGTCGTCCATCCTGATGCCGGATGCGGCTTGTTGAAACCAATCGTCGGCTGTCCAGCCCACTTTGAACCTGCACATGGCGTGAGATCTACCAATGACCCTCTTCCATTTGTTATGGTGAAGTTGACTTGGCCCATGGCGTACAGGAAAGATTGCCAGAAAATCTTTTGAGCTGATTTGCTCCCTGAAAATAGGGACCTTTCGCACTTTTATAAGCCTTAAAAATGCCTTACCCTCTTAGCTGCCCTTGGCTACCCCTGGCGAATTGATTTGCCAGCTCTGTTTGAGCCGGAGTGAAGCCTTTAAGTTTGAAATCTCGCTTTTCAAACTTAGGGTCGATTGAAAGACCTCCTTATGCCCTGAGGGTACCTCGCTCTCATGCAAATCGAGGATCTACTGTTGCAATAGACCTGATGTTTAAACAGTAGACACATGCACTACTGTGGATCGTTTCAGCGATTTTCCGTGGTAATGTAAGCAGCTTCTTAGTAGAGCGCTGGTCACATATTCAAAAGCGTCTCAACTGACCCTAGCGAAAGGTCGCTAATGCCTTCTCGAATGTGCCATACGCATGTTTGTTCACCGCCAAGCGTCTGCCAACTCTTGTTCGTAGTGATTCCATAGCTGATAGAACTCTCGGCTCTATATTTCAGGAGTGTAGGGACTTGTTAGTGGTCCGTTATGTAATCCGCCGTGGACATAACGGACCACGGCGGATTTCAACTGTGGTCGCCACGAGCACCTCAGGTTCACCCCTGTCTTACGTTGTAGAGGAGAATCATACCCAACATGTGTTTCTTGGCCTTCACTCTGAATTCAGGTAGGCCATCATGCTGATGGAACTTTGGTGGAGTGACCTCTTGTTTAACTGGCTCTCCAGGCGGACATGGCTGACGATTCTTTTTGAGGGGAGAGACCTGACATAATTCGCCGGTGAATGACCCGATACGATTTGCATCCCGTATGAATCGAGACCACCAGTCTTTGCGCTCGAGATCGTCCTCGCGCCTTCTGAGAACCCGACCATTATTTTTCGGTGGTCCGTTTTTCCCGAGCGCGCGTAAATGGCCTCCATCTTTCCTTTCGTCTGATTGTTTCTGTTGTGTTGGCTGGAGGGAAGCTAGGAGGCTTCAGGGCTCGTCGAGGTTTGGCTTTACATTCTGGTCCGTAACAGTCTGTGAGATGAATACATCCAGGAACGCCCTTATTCCGTAGCTCTTCTTTCGAAGTAGAGTTCTACTCCTAGCTACAAACCAGGGTTGAAATAACAGCAGCCCCAGAACTGGTTGAGACCAGGAAGATGTGGAATGTTAAAGTCAAAGTGAAATCGATGCCGTTTCAGCTCTCAGCAAGTCAAGTTAGTGTCTGATTTCAACATGAAGACTACGGAAGTATAGATAATTTAGATCTAAAAATAAGTGCGTATGCGCTTTGATAATTCAGCCATTACTGAGTAGAACTCTGTAGGGCATTAGTGACTAGAGCTTGAAGCCAAGCACTGTGCTAGTAGTATACGCCTCATCCATGGCCGATGAGGTCGTGTGCAGTGCCCAAACATCCGTACCAATATCAACCTTCTTACCACGCTTTAATTCTTTACGTTTTGGTAGGGGCTCTAAAGAGAGGACTTCGACGATCTTGCGGACTGTTGCAAAAGCAGCCTGCTGGGCATCCATAATCAAGTGGGGTTTGGGAAAGCCAATGCACTCCAAGCTGTGGCCACTATCTGCATTCCATGGTACCAGCTTTCCAATTTCTGGACCCCGCATGACAACCATGTTCTTGTTGAAAAGAGTAGCAAATGAACCTTGATTCCATGGGTGGCACAGAAGGCGATCAACATTCGGGACACGGTCTTCTGGTGACTCTTCACAGAGACACTTCAAAAGACCCAGTAGACGATCAGGTTCTTCCGAAAGAGCTTCGATGTCAAACGTGTTGAAGATGTTGGATTCAAAGGTATAATCATCGAAAGCGTAATTCAACAGCGGTCAAGACCAAGTAGCTCGAACACTTCAACATTATTCATTCCTGTATATCTCAATTTACATGTAGCTTCTGTAATTTATAATTCACTGCTCAAACTTACCACAAGTAAAATTTCATATGTTTGGATTGGTTGTCGCAATGCCTTTAAGTGTTCGGAGGTTAGCTGTGGCGTGGACCTTGGCGATTCTTATGAACACCAACACAGATCACAATAACCCCCACCTCACAGACACTGATGAATCGTTCCACACAGTGTTCTATTCACAAGCTTCAGAAATCTAGCTCGCTATATGACACAAGTTCAAAATCCACGTTTATTCGCAAATGCCATCGCTAAGGCGGAGCCCAACCATCAATCAACTCAACCTATGCATAGCAAAATCAAAAACAAACGCCACAATAGAATGCCAAAAGTCTCTTTGCATTACCGGTACATATTCTCCCATCCCATCTAGTAGTGAAGCTATCACACAGTCCCAGGAGACAATTCAGTGCCTAAGCACAATACGCAACGCCAGTGAAGCCAGATTTGCAGAGCTTGATGGAGAAATGAACATGCCCAGGATTGAGTGAGGTTGGGACTTGCAGACTGAAATGTATAACAAAAAGAAAACAAAATCAAAACGCCCGAAAAATGGAGAATGTTTTCAACGCCAACCTATGTAAAGCGCCAAAGCCCTGACATAACCACCTAAATGCTGAGACAAAAACATGCAAAGGTCTGGCCAGAATGACGAAGTCGATGGCGTGCATACAATTTCAAATCACTAGAGTGATCGAACCAAGCAGGAGATACCCATGAATCCATGCAAGTATCATGTGTGTGGATACATCGTAAGTCTTCCTTGCTTGTGTACAGTGCTGTTGAGAGTTGTAAACACGGAGGGCCAAAAGTGGATAACAATTGCCAATGCTGGAAGCGTATCTGTTAGACTGTACCTTGGCGACGACGGATACAAACTTTGACATCGAGGGGTGGACCTTGACTCCCGACGAACCAGTCGTTTGGTGGACGGGAAGCGATGGGCTGGATGTCATAGTTGAGCGAAACGTATGCGAGGACCAGCTTCAACTGCTGGGAAGCGAAGAAGCGACCGGGGCTATCGATGTGTTAGTCAAGTATAAAGCATAGAGTTGGGATGCTGACTTACCAAGCATGTCTTCCGTGAGAGAATGTCATAAAAGTCGCGCTTGTTGTGACCAGAGCAGTGCCTTTGTTCTTTCCAGCATATGCTTGGCCATCGGCCGAATTCTCATCCTGAGTGCAGAATCTCATCGGGTTGAATGTGTTGGGGTCTGTGTAGTACTCCTCATCATGATGAACAGGATATGCGTGCATGCCAACCTTCGTGCCTCGCGGCAAATGTTCACCTGTTGGAAGAGTCACACCACCCTTCTTGGTGACTTCCTTCAGAATACCACGACTGACGAAACCCCACATTCGCAGACTCTCCCGGAGTGTACTGTCAAGGGTTACCATACGAGCTAGAGCTGCCTTAGACCAGACGCCACTTTCAGCTGCAAGTTCAGCGAGAACTTCATTTCGAATGATGGACAGGTATGTGGTAATTTCAGGACTGGCGCCGAGATCGAGGATGAGGTTCGTCAAAGTGATGGCCGATGATTGAATTGCAGCGAAACTGATAACGCTGAGTCTTTTGGAGATAATGTCGGAAGTACGCTCAGACGGATCGTTTTTGCGATGTGAATGGTCAATGCACCATTGGACGTAGTCACTCTGGTGATGAGTCAGCTGAGTAATGGGGAATGGGATAACATCCACTTACCTTCTTCTTCTCGTCATCTAGGGGAGCAGAGTTTCTGAACTTGACAGTTGGGACGATATATTTCGCACACTTCCAGTATCTTAGGGTATCGAAGAAGTTGATCAGGGGCGCGACAATTCTGTTTGAATCAGCAAAGTCCGCACCATCATTAGAATACACATACGGCTTGAAGATTGGTGGAAAGAGAGAGATGAGAGTGCCTTGGACGACAACTAGACGAGCGAAATTCTGGGATGGCTTGAGATACTCCTCATCACGGCCTGGAGAACAGTCAGTAAGCACATGAGAAGAGAGGGACAAGACTCACAGAGTGGAAGGCCAACCAATACTCTGTTTGAGATTCGAGCAATAACATCCAACATGGTGTAGTATGCAGGTACTTCAATCCAGTCTTCGGTATTGACGCCCCACACCTTTCTGAAGGCGAAATCGATTTCATCCTGGACATCTTCAGTGTAATCGCCAAGCAGCTTTGTCAACTCTTTCCGAATGACATCATCATGAACGGCATCGGTAATGATTTTTGGATGAAGCATGGTGTAATCGGCTTGAAGAAAGTGTCGGTTGACTTCGTTCTGCGAGAGAACGTTGTCTGGCTGGTGTAGGAGCCACTCCATCTGCGACATAGGAAGAATGACTTCAGGGCCAGTGGTGACGTTGGGAAGCACAAATGGGAGATCATTCTTGGAATACTGGACATGTGAGCATTCTCAAACATTAAAGGTGGAGATTGGTCGTACCTTCTTGTAACCTTCTAAGACCAGATCTCGAGTGTGGAAAAAGGTGCGGACGGTGGCACGGGCACGTGAGAAGAGGCGATCATCGACACTGACCCAAGGGAGAGACTCGGGCAAGGAGCAACGGGAGAATAGTCTCTTGTAGAGATCCTTGCTCATAGTGATGATGATAAATGCTGTGATCAAGAATGCTACCATTCTGACAGAGAGCAGGGGTGTCCAAGACAGCTCGAGGAGGTTGGTGGACATTGTTGGGTGCTTCGAAGGATCTGTGTCGGATGACAAGAACGGGGAAGGACCGTGGATAAATCGTGGGCTGTGAGTTGATACCCGAAGGAAGATTTGATATGGAGGAGGAGGAGGTTTGAGGATTTGAAAAAGGTAATGAAGGACGAAGGAGGAAGACGGTGGTGGCAGAGACGGCTATGGCTTATGTAGACGGACAGAAGGCAAGGCTGAGCTTTCACGGGATGGCTCTGACGAAGTGAAAGTGAATGTGTAGTAGAAATAGAGAACAGAATGGTTATTTATGAACAGGCTGAAGACCTGGTTCTTGGGTGCGGCCGAAGTTCATGCGGTTATTCTGTCCCGACAATGGACGCCCAGGCAAGCCAAGCCGAGCAATTGATATTGGAATCCGACTGAATGAGATTTGCCTCTCTCGCAGGGGTTGGGTGGATCCGCGTTAAGTTGCCTGTCTTGTATGTGTGAAGTCCGTATGGTCGCCCGATCGTGGTGTCGCACTTGTTCAGTCGACAGAAAGTCCACATAAGGAAGTGACGATCAAGTAAACATCCAGAGTCTAGATTGGATCGCTTGATCCTGCAGCATCTTCTCCTTTGTATTCACTACGTCTGTATTAGGCACTTTTTCTTGAAATATACTGAAAATCTGCTTGAGCGCCTGTTCTGTCCTGGGCACTATTCTACTACATTCTACTGTTTCACTGAAAAACATTCAGCTTAACGGCTTGCACCGATCGAAGAGTCTTCCCGCAGCTATACATTCTTGCTGGACCAGCAGTGTTCCTCAGTTGATGAGGAATCTTCCATGGAGTTATCCCCAGAGTCATCGAGCTGATTGTCACCAAACTTGCGATCCGTACATGAGGAACTGTCTCCGGACATCGTGGTCTCCGCAATAGCTAAATAGAAACAGCATCCTAGCCAATGCCGTTGACGGTAAAAAATTCAGTATGGATCCATCCATTGTCTGGAAAAACGCATAGAGCAACATCAGGTGGAGATCCCATGTCGTCGTCTAGTGTGGTGGATAGTTTTCTCGTTTGGCAAAACGGGAACTAACGCCCCTTGCCATACGATCCTTCTACCACTAAATGTACTAGCGTTAGCTTAAAGGACTCAGAACGGCCGTTGGGTTGGTCAATGAAGTGAGACCCTGAAGAGAACGGGCTCGAGACGGGGCCGTAAAAACTGTTTTAGTCGTAGTCCCTCAACTGCTGAAACCATATTTCCCTAGGGTGTAGCGCTAAAGCGAGGCCTCAAGGGCCAAGGCTGCTTAACTAGACAGCAACGTAGTATTCAAATTTCAGGGTTCTTCGCTTAATTTTAGGGTCTCGCTAGGATTGGCTCCAGGCTGTACACTCCTTGTAAGGAGGAGGTACTTCTGTAGTAGAAGAGATGCCTATCAAGGTAACTTAAAGTTATCCCCTCAGCTGCTATCAACACAGTTTTTCAGGAAGTAGTGCTAAAGCGAGGCGCTAGGTAAGGTTCTAATGACTGCCTGAAATCAAGGACACATACACTACCTGAGGCCCCTGGAGAAAGGTGTGTTCTGAACAGTACTTAATGGACATATCATAATTGTTACGTTCGTTTATAGCCTTATAAATCGAACTGTAGTTTGTTCTTAAGTACTAGAACGTTAGTTTGTTGAAGTGTTTCAAAACGACATCGGTGAACGGCCGTTCAACTATCGACTTCACTGACGTCGTCGTCAACGGTATCGGAACTATTTTGTGTGATATTAGGCTTGAGCCGGCCGGATAGAACCGAGTACAAAGGCCAAACTGCTGGCGGCACTCGACAGGTCGGATATTAGGAAATGAGACGGTTGTAACAAGTACAACAGAACCGTTCAGCGTACAAAGATCATGCAAGTCAGAGCGTCTTTGTCCGACAGACAAAGCAGTGACCCGAAACAGGAGGTGGGCAGAGGCGAAGACAATGGCTAGCTGAACAGCAACACTCGAACGGGAGGAGTAAAGCAATACTGGAAATGAGATCGATGTCGGAGAAACGTTAATATAAAAGCTTGATGTTGTGGCTTGACGGCTGTCGTATCCATACAGGGACGTGTCAAGCATTTTCAGCCTGTCACTTCTGCGGATACTCGCCACGAGTTACCCAATGGAAACTACCTAGGCTGCGGCACGACGCCCAATGGTGGGGGTCAGCTCGAAACCCCACCCGTTGGGGACTCGAAGGTTTTTCGATACCTCCCGAAGCGAGATCTACTGTAGTACTGTAAAGTAGACATGTTACTGTACTGTACTGTAATGTAAGAACTTACTTTAAGAAATGCTTAATTTGTGTTTAATACTTAACGAAAAATTTATACAAACTATACAAGAATTACCTTTTGGAAAATTATCCCTACACGGGGATTATTTTCCCCGCGGTCCCCTAAAGAACCAAAAACACGCCCCCTGGGTGACCCGCGGGGCTGGTCAGGGGCGAAACTTTTCCCCAGCCCCACGATGCGGCCTACTCGTAAGTCCCAAACAACACCCCAACCCATACTCTATCGGAACTTCATTTCCGGTTCAGCTTGTATGAGCTCGAGTAAATATTCCTTCTAGGATGGCTATGCATCAGATTTCAACAGTCTTCTTTTGCCTGCGAAAATGCCATGCTTTTGTGCTTGAGCTTGCCTCCTTCCTAGCTGCTCCTTCCTAGCAGCCGCAATGAGTGACATGTTACTTCGAGGAGCAAAGAGCCAATAGGGAGATGGCAAGTCTAACCGATCCAATGTTCTAATGTGTAAGATTGTTTCCACCTTTCTTCTATTTACGACTCACTCTTTCAATCTTATCAGCGGAGATAATAGACTCCCCACAACAAAGTAGAAGCGCGTCCTCCTGCATCCTCAGATTCCTCACCAAGCAGTGCCCGATCTCTCTGATACAATTAACTATCTCTTTCGAAGTCTTCTTCGCCCTCTGTGATTGCTTTTGCTCATCTTGACTCCCAACTCGCACCATCTTCAAGCACACTCAACACCGTGCCTCCGTCCACCACATCAAATATCCTAGTACCAATAAGCCAGCAACCATCCCATCCACTCGTACCACCATGCTAGCCACTCATACCATTCCCACAATTATCATCTCACCAGCCTTGGCCCTCCTCAAACTCCAAAGTGCAATTCGCAATCTCCTCAGCCTCATTCCAGTCCTCAGCACGCCTCCCCCACGTGAACTCCTGCACCGAGACCTCGTCCCCCGAGTGCGCCAACATCATTCGCGGCTCTCTCCTCTGTTACCAGTTGACTTTCCAAGGGGATATCCACATCATAATCCAGCTTGCTTCTCTTGTCAATTACAAATCAATCTGAATAAAATTGACTGTATCTACGCATGTCATATGACCAGCTTCACAGAATTGACTTGATGAAATCAGAGGCTGATGGGGCTGTATAGATTAGGGGGGAACTTGTACTTGTAATACAGGTACGAGGATGTGCCCTTGGGTGTATGTACTTGCTATGGTGAGTGTTCTGCTTCAATGACTTTGGGTCTAGCAATCTTGTCAGCCTTGCGACCTACTGTCACAATCTACCAGGTCAACATCGAGGTCAAATAACTGTGCATTCTTCGAGTGCAGTAAGATTCTGTACTAAAAGACTCGTATGATTGTAAACCTGCATCGGAGGGGTTGCTACAGCCGCACATAAGGAAATTCGTAAGGGTCTCCGCTGACAAGCTTTTCGCAAGCTTCAATGGCTACCATTAGTACCCGACAACTGACAAACTATTCTGAGCCAAGCGATGAAGCGGGTATAAATGGGACGGCTGTTCACGTCCCAGATAGTAGAATGAATGAGAAGGTGTGTTATCATGAGGTGAAAAGTGAGTGAAGAGATAGAGCGAGCTGTTTTCGGTATATAACTTGTATGAGATTTTCAAAATAAAAGTTGTACAAGAGTGCACACTGATATGCTTTCTGGATACAAGGAGAGATTGTCTGTCTTACCATGCATTTACAATCTACAATACATTTCTCGAATAGAATCGTAGATTTAATCAAGACGAATGGACTGACCAACCCTTCTTGTGATGATACCATAAGCGCCAATAATACCATTCTCACATCACTCATCATTCTTGACAGCGAAACATTCAATGACAGCGAACCTAAAGTTGACGATAGAAGAACCTCAAATTTGGTACCATCTTGAACATACCTGTACCCAACCATCTCTTCATGGAAGATGAAATGACCTCGCCCTTTTGAGATCTGCTCTTCTCGGATCGTGCCTCACCCAAACTTCAACAACCAAATGACACCTGATGTACTGCTTTGATTATCATACGATCCAAGAGCAATTCTATAAGGTATTCTATAGCAAATTCCTTGGTTCTGCCCTGTTCAGGAAGAGAAGTGTTAATGTTTTGGCCGAACAGAAGCGCGCAGGGATGAGCTAAGCGAGATGTTTGTTTGCTTGGCATTTAGGCGGTGGTAACTTGCTACCTTGATTGTTGACGAATTGAAGTGAGCGACAACTTACCAAAAAGGGGTGAATTGAATAGAGACTTTGGGGGGGGAGGAGGGGGTTTGACGTTGCATGTTTAAATATGCCCCTCAATGCGGAATTCTGGTTTCTCTGTAAGAAACACAATCGGAAAAGCAGTGTGCTCATGGGAAAGACACTCTTTCTTGGATGATGATTGGAATTTGAAGGCACTCATGGTAGAGCAGTGTTTAAGTATTGTTGTAATTGTTGTTGCGTCTGTGATGCTAGTTGGCCATATTCTCGAATATGGATGCCTCGAATGATATGCATCTGAATTGTGGGCAATCACAACGACGTGAAGATGACAGAACGTCCAGAATTGACAATAATACATAAATTTGCAAAACATGATGCTGAACATTTGGATCACATAGTCAGATTGTTTTAAAATGGATTTGAAACCAGTTGCAAAATTTTGTTGTTGCCCGACCCCCACCGGGCTGTCCTTCAAGCTGCCCTGGTAGTACAGTGACCAGCATCACCATATTTCCACGAACTGTGACGGTGGGAGCCTTGCAGATGCTGGCTTGATCCACAGCGAAAGAATGAAGTTTTATACTCCTCAAGATATCGAAGTGATTGAGCTCTGATAAAAGTGGAGAGTCACCTGCTGATTTGAATGATGTGTGGGAGGAAACTAAAGAAAAAGATGCATCAGTCTGCAGAACTTCACGAATGGAGTCGTGTTACTTACAATTTAGTGTCACAAACGAATCAGTCGTAAAGATTCTTGACATGAGGCGATTCAGTAGAGATGTCTCGGTAAACCCCGACCTGGATCTTTGAAGAAAGTGGAGCATGAGTGAACGCCCCCGGCATTCGCCGTGGCAGAAGACGACATCGTCAAATCAGTTTTGTCAACATCTTATGATCATTAGGTACTTTCCCTACTATTTAGTCCCTTTAAAGACTATCTAGAGAGCTCGAATGAATCAATCACTGTTTAGCTCGTCTCTAGTATTTCTTTTCAAAACTCAGCATCATCTCATGATGACAAACCTATATCGTGACCTCGGCTAGGGTTTGACAACGAATTTGGCTTGATAGCAATTTTCAGCCCTGATCTTCAATTAGTCGATCAGACAACACTTGTTGTCGAACTTCGGATTTCTTTATCACTATTGCTGCTCGATTTTGATTGAACAACAGCATTTCAACATGAACATTGAGAAATTTCACGGAGACAATGCGAGAACCTGCTTGAATGTCTGCTTGATGCCCTGTCCCTTTCTACCAAAGAACTTGCATTTCTTTTATAGCACCAATCTATACACTTGACCTTGCAAAAAGGCTTCAATCGAGTGAATTGTCCTTCTCATAGGAAAGGTGGTTTTCAAAAAGGTCATGCTCCTCACCTGGACTGCTGAGATGCTCTGCCCTCTGGCTCCTTCCTCTTATCACTCACCTGATTCCATGGCAGCTTCCTTCCTTCCCTTCCACCACCAAACTTGTGTCTTTCTCCTCAAAATCATCAATTGTCTACACAAAAATTCATCAACAACAACATCGGTATCATAATCACATCCAATCAATACATTACAATACCATACACGTACAAAAACCCACCAGACCATATCCACGTTCACAATGGCCAAGATTTCCTTTATCATCACCCTCACCCTCAACATCCTCGGCGCCACAGCGAAAGACTGCCCATCAGATCGCTTCCCGGACTGCTGTGCAAGCTATGGTTTCGCTTCGCTTGACACCATGAAGAACACGTTCGATGTCCCGATTAGCAAGATCACAGATAGTGTTATGCAAGTCGGGTATGTTTGTAAGTACAACCTCATATCCATAAGCTGCAATTGCCCGAGTTGACGTTCGGCAGGTATGGGAATGGGAGGCTGTGAAACTCATGGTCTTGAAGCACGATGTTGCAAGGATAGCTGGAAGGTATGTTGATTGCGCAACCTTGATTTGGCAATGGAAGCTGACATGACATTGCAGAGCTGGGGTGGTGCTGGAAGACTGGGTATTGATTGTGTCTGAGATGATGGCATTTGGCGAGGCAAGTGTGGTAGAGAATACGGATATGCCTGCAGGGCTGGCTCCTTTGGTGTTTAATTCGAGGCGGTGAACCCGTGTGGGTTTGAGAGGTTATCGGCAGAAAACGCTATTGACCAACCAATACCACTGATTAAATATACTCCACTGGAATATCAGCACTATCTGATGCTTTAATTCGAAGTGACGATGTGGTGGCAGAACTCCTGCCTGGGGGAAGGCGTGCCACAACACTTGTTGTGCCCATGTCCCCAAGAGAAAGGGAGAGCAGCACAGCCATCCCCTTGGAAAAATTCCTCCAGCAGAACGAAACTATAAAGACATAGTACGAGAACATAGCTTCCACTTAGCGTCGTGCTCCGAGATATTTCTTGAGAGCAAGAGTCGAAAAGACACTTCTCGGGGTATATCTTCGGTCCCCCATGTCCTACGCACAGAGCAGCGATCATCAACCCAGCAATTTCCCATCCAAGACGCCAAATCATATAATATCATACCACCCGCCCATCCCTCCCAAATCATACACCTCCATCCCTTCCCCTTTTCCTCCCCTCCTCAGAAACCCCTCACACCCTCGGAATCGGCAACCTCTTCCCAAACGCCAGCGCCGCCCAACCCCCAATCAAACACAGTCCACCCAATGGCGTCACCGGTCCCAGAGCCTTAAACCTCTGCGGATCAAGCGTAAGAAGATATATACTGCCGCTGAACATCGTCATGCCTGCTACGAAGAGGGATGCTGCAAGTGTATTTTTCGGCGCAGCGGTCGTTGCGACGAGGAGGATGCCGGAGTGGATTAGCTAAGGGAGGGAGGATACATTAGCTATCTGTTCGTAAAAGAGTTGTTTAAGGAGAGGGGAGGAGGGTGAAAGGGTGAAATGATGGGTGAAGAAAAGAAGGAGGGGTAGAGGGAGGTACCTGGTATTGAGCAGCTGTTCCCCAGTTTGCGAGTTTCGCTGGGTCAGCAATCCTCTTCTTCAATCCATGCGCACCAAACGCTCCAAGCGTCACGGCAGATGCGCCGTAGATGCAACCGATTGTCCAGAATGGCGGCATTGTGTTGTGGTGCTGGTGGAAGTGTCGTGTTGCGGATTGTTCGGAGCTTGGAAGCTTTATCGTGAGATGCAGATTGACAGGGAGCTTGGGTCAAGCAAACACTGGACGGCAGCGCTTGACTGGATGGGGGTGCGGGGCTCGCTTGGAAAACGGGGAGGGGATGTTTGTTTACGTCCTTGGAGTCTGAGATTTGTGAGGCATTAATTGGCATGAATGACCGGAGATAAGACTGTAGGGAATAGCAAAGTTCTCTGACAAGCTGCTGGTGTAAAATTCGAAGCCCAGTTGTGGTTTTTCAATTTCGCAATTTTTACCCCGCTACCCTGCTATGAATATCCTCTGCCTTGAAATCCTATGTCACTCATAAACGCGAGTCTAGTTTCGGAGCAGAACGGAAGTTGGTTCGTTATTTTCGAATACTAACGTCTCAGGTTCACAGTATGATAATTCAAGCAATGAGGGTGGCATAAAAGTAGGCAGACCAAAGCTAACGACCAACTGGGGAAAGATACATGTTGATGATACAAAAGCCAACACAACTCAACTCAAAGGACAAAACTAAACAAGCCAAGCCGATTCAACTAGTTATTATCTCTCTTAACCGCCGCACTTTTACGTTTGCTGCCACACAAGCACACCTCCCTCCTGGGCATTTACTCATCGACAGTACCTCAGCATCAATCACCATAGAGGTTATCGCCATCAGCCATGTCCTCGTCCTTATCCCTATCGACATCCTCATCGCCATGCTCGCACAAAAGAGGTTCATCCTCCCGCTGTGGTATCTGCGACCACCTCTCCCTCGGTACACCTCTCCTCTGCTCCTCCTTCAGTCCCTCTACATGCTTGAAGGCCCTATCAGCCACCTCTTGCAGACGCGGTGCATTTTCAGCCTCATTCTGAAGAGCCAGATCTGCCTGTTCCTGAAGCATCTCGGCGTTGATCTCAGCTTCGAGAATTAATTGGCTGGAAATAGCATTCCTGGCCTCCTTTGCGACATTTTCTGCACCCATTATATCTGCTGCGGCGAGAACATCAGCTGAGGCATCTGACGGTGCGTCTGATAGCTGTTCAATGTCTTCCATCTCAGAGTCTTGTTCTTCCTCTACTGAGAACTCCCCGTCACTTTCATCCAAGTCTAACAAGTACTGTTGCAGTTGTTCTGCGGTGAGCTCATTGCCATTTGCACTCGGAGGAACGGTAGACGGGTGTGAAGGACGCGTTCTACCACCTTGCGGTCCAGCACCTACTTGGGACCGCACACCCTGCAAGTCTTGACCTTGTCCCGAAACAACAGGGAGAGCACCAGTCATGACTGCGGTATTACCTATAGCATTAGTAATTGCAGGGGTGGTGGGTCGGCCAGTATTAGGATTGATGTTCAACATTTTCTGCCACTGAGTCCATTGCTGGAACGTCACTTGGTCTTTCAATTTCCCAGATATCCGCGTAATTTCGGCATCATTGGCGGCGATTTCATCCTGTATGCGCTGATGTTCCTCACGAACACGCATCGTTTCTATTTCTTGCTGCGTGTGATAGTATTCCTTGATGTTGGGATCAGGGAACCCAGGTGTTTGCTTGGCGAGCTCAATTAATCGAAGAAGTTTCTCCTCTGCAGAGATGTTATCTGGTTTCCATCCTGCTGGAATTCTAGGAAGTGGGTGAGAATCATTGGGGTTGGGCGGATCTTCGGGAAGCTCGATAACTGCTTCTGGTTCCTGTCCTTCTGTTCTCCAGACTTTTGTGGGGGTATGCTTGAAGCCGGCTTTGAGGTCAACTGCGAGTCCCTTGGGCCTTGGATTAAACTCCTCGACTGTTGCTGTGTTAGTCAAGTCTTTCAGACAGGTTGTCTTCTTCTACGTACCATCTCTCAACTCATACTCCATGATATGGCTCTGGTAGGCTTCTTGATATGGTGTTTCTCCAAATGGGTAGTACGGTCTCTGGCCACGGATATGTCTGGCCTTTTTCACTGCAGCCTTAGCTTTTTCCGCTTCGCAATTTTCCCTTTGCTGCTCTTTAGTCATTACCGGGACGATGGGTTCTTCTTGAATCTTTGGTCCCGAATTCTTGATCGCCTCTTTGGTCTCCTTCGTCTGACAACAAATCGGGTATCGTCGGACCGAGAAAAACTTGGTCTGTGGCTTCCTCACAAGAATGACACGACCATTCCTTTCAATTGTCTTCGTTTCCAAGCGTTCGGACGCAAAATCCCACACGTTTTCATTAACAGGAAACTTCGGCTCGAAGTTGTTGTTGATCTCTTCAAGAATTTTCAATTGAATCAGAGCAGCTGCTTCTGTCTCATTTAAGTCGACCTTCATTGGAGGAGGAGGCATGTACGGGTTACGATACGGAATTTCAATGCCCAATTCTGCCGCAAGATGTGGAGCGGCTGAGCAGACCTTTCGGGCGATGTTGATCAGATTTAATGCAATGGTCGCAAAGTCAAGGGGTGGGGAAGTTTCTGGACAAATGCTGTCTTAGCCATGATCAAACTTCAACGTTTGAGGAATGTTACAGGTACCCCGCATGCATCTAATTAATGAACTACAATTCCGTAAGCTTCCGTACCGAATTAGGACTCACCACGCAACAACCCCTTTGTTAAAATATTTCTCGACATCGAAAAATCCCAGAGAGGAATAGAGGAAATGATAACGGAAAGAGCTTAAGCACGTCAGGTGATTTGGTTTGGACAGAACTCCTAAATTCAGAGCTGCTTTGTGCTGCTCGCGTCGTCCAGTTGCGGAAGCAAACAATATATCGAAAACAGCCCCAGAAGATCAAAGCACCGCCTATCGAGGTCATGGCAACAACAAAGGAACCACCTGATGACACAAAGTTACAAGACATGGAATCGACTCTATCGCGACGAAGCGAGGCAAAATCGATACCCCATTGCTCAGCCCAAGATCTCGTATCAAGCGTTGTACGGAATAAGTTCCTGGATCTCTTACCCCTCAAACCCAATGAACTGTTGAAATATATCTGCAGCCCTTGAAATCAACACTCACAACACCTTGAGAATCTGCCCACAATGGTTTAACCAGAACCCAAGGCATGTTTTGAAATCGAGACTTGTACCACAATACATTCTAACGCTGGAAAAATATGGATGGGACTATCAGCACCAAATCATCCTCAACCTCACCCTCGATCTCAACTCACTATCCTTCCAAAGCCCTCTCCCATCACCACTACGGAGCACCCCCAGTGTCGGGGGCTCAAGCTCTCCAACAAAAGTCCTCAAGCCCAACTCACAACGTAAAGCATGTCATAAAAGTCCCCGAAAATCGACTTCAGTCAAGGAGCGAAGTTTTGCGAACCTAGCAGCAAATGACGCCAATACAAAACTATCACCAGCCCCAGCACCTGCCCCTACCGCCACATCTCGACCCGAATCAGCTGCCAGAGTCACTTTCGCAGAACCGCCGGACCAAAAAGTTCATGCTGTTGAGAGAGAAGTTGATCTGCTAGCAGGGAATACATTCTTTCCGTCTATTGCTATCAGTGAGAAGGAAATACTTGGGCTGTCCAAGATTGGACGTGCTGAGAAAGACTTGAAGAATCTGAAGATGTGGGAAACTCTTTTAGCTGAACATAAAGAGAAAATGCCGTCTCTTGTGCCAGTAGTTGAGGAGAAGCTAAGGAAGCGAAGGATAAAAGAGCCTGTTTAGATGAGACAAAAGGCGAGAATATAATGATTGGGTGAGACTGCTTGCCTCGTCCTTTACTCAAAACTAACATCGAATAGAGACATCAACCCTGCTGAATCCGCGATTAAAAGTCGCCTGGAAATATTTGATTGGGGGTTATCGACATTTCAATTCGCTTCCGAGGCGGAGAATATCAGATGTGCTATCGAAGGATACAAGACTGGCCAAATCGGATACAACGATAACTTCACTGTAATCTATGCTGCACACATCGTGGATACAGTAGCCACATATAGTGATTTTGTGTGTGATTGTACTGAGATATTAGATAGATATTTTGCAATACATAGTCCGGGATGGATGTGGTATGAGCCACCTTTGCATGTTCATCCAGTACGTATAAACGCATCAGTTTTGTCCAAGCTCCTGTCGCGCAGAATGAACACGACTTACCAAGTGGTTCGGTAGGAATCTCTTCCTAAAAGCTTCCAAAGTGTTGCACATGTGAGAGAAGAGCAGTGGACAGCTCTAGCAAGCTGGCATATCACGCAGGGGTTTTGGAAACGAGTTGGTTGGGTCGCGCGAATGCCAAGCAGCCTGGATGTCGCCAGGCCAGGGATTCGAAGATTGCAAAGAGGATCCCCCGAACCCTCAACTAATAGAGTGTCAAAATGAAGGGCCGCGGCTCGCCTTTCGCTCCTTGCTCGATTGTAAGTCTTGCTCACTTCTAAGCGACTGCTATCATGTTCACGGCGGACTGGCCCGTGTTGCCCATAATATCGTGGGCAAAGTGCAAGGATGTCTTGACAGTAGGATGGATTTGGTATATTTTAGCTACGATCGACCACTCCATGGATGAAAAATTCTGGGAGAAAGGCAGGCTAATCCCTCACAGCCGGTGCGACATTTCCCAACCTCCACCAAGAAGATTTCGACAAGCTCGGGATGGACATGACACTTTACGCTGCACAAAGCATCACGCCGTCCCTGACCGCAACCGGCACTGCCATGACCCGATAAGTTGGGCTCTTCGTCTGCGTGCTCGATAATGAAGGGAAGCAGCTCGTTGACCCGAGTAATGCTGATTATCCACGCCACCACAAGTATATTGGAGGGCTGTGCCCAGTTGCTCTGGTGAGTCTGTTCTTTGTTTAAGACAATTTTATATCGGACACGGCCTGGCGCTTTCGCCATGCTCTGGATTAGAGCGACGTTTCGTTTTCCACCTCGTGATTGGGATCAAGCATGTCAATGCTAAAAATCCATAGTCTATACTTCCAGTAACCTGGGTTGCTGAAGGGACGTAATCTCCAACCTTGTTCCATGGTAGGTGTACCTACTCTGAGAGTATGTGAAAACGCCATGCCTGTCTTCAAATTTCCATTCAGTATCCCTCCTAAGAAAACTTCAAACAATCAAGATACCCACTTACATCACATTTCTTATAGGCCTCGAAATAGATCGTCGTCTCTCTGGCATCGTAAGTTCTCAGGAGTTGAGACATTCATCTTCATGCTCATCCTGACTCCCTGAAACCCCAATTCATCACCACAACTTTCACACTGACTCTCCTCTCACTCTTAGCTCCCGTTCGTTGCCTCCTATGTTTCTGCCACTCCCACCCGTAATACTCTCTATCTCGGCGAAGACCGCAACTCCGTCCTCGGCGCGCACCGAGTGCCAGGCCAGAAAAAGTGGTCCACCGAAATCCCACGCGTCAAATCCAATTTCCCAGATGAGCGATTCGACGATCCAAAAATCCGCTTCGTACCCAGCAAAGGCATGCTTGTGAATTCTGACGATGAGCATAAGGACCATGTAAGCTACATTGTAGTGATTGATAGGAGGGGGTTTGAGTTGACGACGATCATGAGTGATCCAGCCATGAGGCACAGGGAGATGGTGGAGCGGGATCAGAGGGAGGAGAAGGAGGCAGAGGCGCGATTGGCGGAGAAAACGGAGGTCGAGAGGCTAAGTAGGGAGAGATGGGGAGTGAAGTAGCTGATAGATATCGACCAACGACACGAAGCCTGTGGGGTAAGCGATGGCCACGAAGCTTTTGGGTTGACTGAATGGAGCTGTTGAAATTCTGGACTTGCGAAACCGCCTCCTTTCCACCCAGTTGCCTTCTTCGGATGTGGACATACAAGAACATAGTTCTAAAGATGACGTTTCATTCTCACAGGCACGACTAGGCTGGTTGAACTTTTCCAACAAACTTAACACGAGACGGACTGGGATTTAAGTGCAACTGAACTTCCGATGAACTTGCTTAACCGAAACCTATAATAAAAATGCCTGTAATTCTATGTGCTTCGGTCCTGTCATCATGCAAGTTTGAAGATCCGCCTCGCGTTCTCCCATCCTATCGCCGACCGGGTATTCTCATTCAGTTGCATCCCATCGAACCAATCCGCCGCGTCCTCATTACTCTCATACGGGTAGTCTACACTGAATAGGACCCTCGACTCGCCCATCTCATCAATCGTATTACGCATCGTGCTTTCCCTCCGCACACCAGCCAACGTAGCGATGAAGTTGTTCTGGAGGTAATACATCATGGACTTCTCATAAGGACCATTAGTACCCCTGATTCCAATCGCCATCCGGTGGTCAATGCGGTGCACCAAGAACGGCAGTGACTCTGCGCAGTGCCCAAGAATAATTTGGATATTCTTGTACCTGTCCAAGATACCAGAGCACATGATCCGCAGTGAGTGTCCCGCTGTCTCAACACCAAATCCATAGGCAGCTTGCGATAAGTTTGGCAGATCCACATACATTCGTTGTTGGTCCAAGGGAGGAATTCGTGGATGCAGATACAGCGGGACATCCAGCTCGCTGAGCTTTTTCCAGAAAGGTTCGCAGACCGGATCATCGAGGTACCGTACCTTGCTGACGTCGTTCTTATCAATGTTCGTGAAGCCGTTGATCAGCGCACCTTTCGCGCCGAGCTCCTTCACACAGCGCTCCAGCTCCTTCGCTGCCTCCTCTGGCTTCTGCATCGGTACTGAGCAGAAGAAGCCGAAGCGCGTGGGATGCGCCTTGACGTACATCTCGTACAGAGCGTCGTTGGTCTTTCGCGCTAGATCGACTGCCTCGTCGGCGTCCAGGATGCCCTCAACACCAGGGCAGGTAAGCGACACGATCGCGTAAGCGATGCCGGACGCATCCATTGACTCGAGACGCTTCGAGACGTTGTTTAGGCGATCATCGATATCTTCGAGAAAAGGAGTGTTGTATGGTGGGAGTCCATCTTTCATGCCGATTATCATGGGAGTGGGAGGGTGTGTTCCGTGGGCGACGAAGAAGGGGCTGCCGACTGCTTCCTCAAGGGCAATTTTCCGTGGCAGTCTGTCAACCTTGATGGTCTCTGTCGTCTTGCGGTTGAGAGCCATGTCGGTAGACGTGGGATAGTTTGTTTTTATTTGTCAAGACACAAAATTCGGAAATTGAGATATTGTGATACTGGACAGAGAGCGAACAGGAGGGAATCTTTGATTTGGCGCAGGAGGATGTGGACTGGCGTTGGGAGATGGAGATGGATGGTGCTTCTTATAAGGAGGGGTACAGGAAGCTTTAAGTCCTTGTCACCGGTCGGTAAATTGAATCTTAACTCCACCAGTTCCTTTACTGAGATGTCGCTCCGCTTATGATGGGATATTGATCACTGTCATCCCGAAGGTTCAGGGAGACGCGGGGAACTGAGATCATCCGAGTTAGACGCGTCTCGCGACTGTTGCTTCCAAAGCAAGCCTGTGTACATGGCTTTTTGGCCAATTCCATAGTACTCCAAACACTACCCCGCAGCCTTTTGTTCCTTGCATTTGCTTCCGACAACCATCCCCTCGGGTCGGAACCTGGAAGTCAACAGATCGCTTAATTTCGGGATCTCGGAACAGATGGGTGGGACAGCAGGGGGCTCGCTTGGGTTGCCCTCCAAAATACAACAAATGGTGATGGCAGTAGTAATGCACATGACGAGGCGCTGGGATCAGATGATTCAACCGTTTTTGAGATTCTAAAGTAACTATAGCTAAATGCGAGTTATGCTGTTGAACACTCTTCCGTTATTCTTCCCGTTCTCGCCTAACAGTAGATGACAATCCCTACATGGGGAACTGCTGCCTTGACAAAGCGCTACAAGTAAATTGTTGAAGGATTATCCCGAAGGTTGTTTCAGGATCATTCAAGGAACACCTATGTACTCTCTGCTGGCCATCGATGCACGAATCATTTCCAAACGAACAGTTTGAGGCTGTACAGCCGGGTGCACTACCCGACGTCGCTATCCGAGTGGCGTAGATTATTGGCTTGGGTATGGATTAATCATTCAAATTTCTTGGTTCTACGCGCCAAGTTGCTTGTCAGAATCAGATACTGATACGGACAGTTCCATAGCATATGTCGGATGCTAGATCAGCGAGAACCACACGTATTGTCTGATTGCAACTGAAAACTGAGCGGATTTCTCACAGTATTCATTGATGAGACATTTGATAGGTTGAGATAATTAAATTCTTGTCTTGCTACATACACAAATCGATATTCAGCTAGAACTGGATAGTCGCACAGCCTGGAGGCCATCAATCGCCACTAGGTCTTCACAAGCACAACACAACGCAACACAATTGCTGCATACCCATCTGCTGGCCCCTTTTTGCACCTTAGAAGATGCAGCCGATTTTCAACAGGACAATATATCCTAACAAATCTAAGGCTTCCACTTGAAAGCTGGATGGCGCCAGTCAAGATCTTCAACTTGCTTCTGCGTGAGACCTTCCAGCTCTGAAGACACACTGAGCTTGCTCCTGCGGCTATTGTCTACTTTCATCCAGACCAAGAGACCGATGGAGATGATAATAATGGTCGCGGATGTAGCCAAGTTGAGTCCGTTGCCGATCTTGTAGTTCGGCGCATCAAAGGGGAGGAAACCCCAAGTAGAAACCAGGCCTCCAACGTTGCCGAGCATGACGTTGGTTGCAATGGCAGATGCGCGAGCTGTGTCTGAAGCTACGTTTGCGGAAACTTGTGCGTTGCAAAGTGCTCCGAACGGGAATGCACCGGCTGCAATAATGAAAGTTGCCCCGTATCTGACACGCGACGCCGTGGTGGCCAGGAAGATTATGTAGCCAATCATCATAAGAGCAGCGCAAGGGAGGAAGTAGATCGTGCGTTTGTTGGTCTTCCAGCTGGAGAATGATACGATGAGAACCGAAGCGGCACCGAGGATGTAAGGCGGCACAGTGTGAAGCTGCTGTGTTACGACTGTCGCCTTTGGGTAGATAGTCCTGACAACCGTTGGGGCGAAGATCGCGAGGCCTTGGACGGTGATATTGTCCAGCAAAAAGACCATAGCAGTACCAAGTGTGATCGGGCTGAGAATTCCCCTCATCAGCTTTGGGACGTCGATCTTGTCCAGCACCTGGGTGGTGTTGATAGTCTCCGATTGTACGCGACCAATAGCAAGTTCTTTCTCTTCGGCCGACAACCACCTGGCAGTCTCCGGTCGATCAGTCAAGGTGACAAACGCAATGAGACCCACGACCATGGTGGCAATTCCCTCGATGGCAAAGAGCATCCTCCACGACTTGAAAGACCCGAAGCTGTCTAGTCGAAGAATCGCAGACGCAAGTAGGCCGCCGAATGCTCCAGCCAAAGGTGCTGCGATGATGTAGAGCGATAAGCGGAACACAAGTTCGCTTCTCCGATACCATCTCGAAAGGTAATAGGCAATGCCAGGAAGCATTCCAGCTTCAAAGACGCCCAGGAAGAAGCGGACCGCTGCTGCCCCAGAGTAACCTGTCACCCATGCCGTACAAAGCGAACAGAGACCGAAGCCAACCGTGCAAAGGGGCAGGAACCAGCCTGGTCCCATCATCTTGCACATGGTGTTTGCGGGGATCTCAAGGATGATATATGAGATGTAGAAGTACGAGAGAACTGCGTTGTAGTCGTATCCTTTGAGATGGAGATCCTTCTCGAAGCCCGCAAGTCTTGCATTGCCTTCCGAGAATTAGCTTGTACAACAGGTCCATGGAGTTTTTGGTACTTACCAATATTGGTCCGATCGATAAAGCAGAATAGATACAGGACAAAAACTGTTGGGACGATGTAGAAGTCGATCTTCAACCGCAAACGACGTTCAGCAGCTGGGTCACTGTGAAAGACAGCATTGCCGTATCTGTGCAGCGTCAGTTTGATATCGCCTTCGGGAGACATAGATGACTTACTCATCGGTTATACGGGCCCCTTGCGTTCTTTCTTTAGCTTCTTCCTCACTTCCATATTCCACATGGGAAAGCGTACTTTTTTCGGGGATGGCATTGACTGCGGATGACTCAACATTCACGTTATTGGAAGCCATGGTTATTGAGCTGAGGGTAATGTTTGAAGGAACCAGATATCATTTCCAAGAAGACTGGTGTGAGGAAGGAGGTCTTGATATACCACTCGACATGCGAGACGACATACTTCTACCCCGGATCCGGGGTATCGGTACCCCAGAGATTGGCAACACAGGGCGGGGGAGCCCAGGCGCCATATGGTGAGGTCTGGCCCTTCGTTGGACAGGACATATCAGCTGAGCCACGAGGTCATGGCTTGGAGACACCAGGGCTTGTAAAGTTAAGAGCTTAACTAGGCACGCTGAGCCTCTTGGGTTTCAGGTCATCCCGACATCCCGTTCCGACATTCCGATGTTCCGATGCGATGGCATCCCAACGGCCCATCCCGGTCTCTTGCCCTGTAGATCGGTGCGGAAATGCGGGAAGGACGTTCTAACTATTCTGGGCTTTAGAGCTTCACAGGTACCGGTACAGTAGCCGTTGAGGCATACGCGGGGTACTTTCGGATTCCAGTCCGGGGCTAGCAGCCTCCAGACTTTATGTGTCGGCAAACCCGACAAGGTCATGAAAGGCAAGTCGTAGGTTGTTCCACAAAACCTTTTTCTAGCTTTTCTTCGTGTCGAAAGACAATTCGAACCACACATGGTTTATTTGTAATTCTCAAATTCCGATTCTCCCTGTTTTCCCCGAAGCAGTATTGGTATATATCCTCCAGCAGAGTTTCCTGTACATGTTGAGTATCTTCCACCAAATCACACGATGGCGATACAGCAAAAATCAAGCAAGGTGGATGTGCTCATTGTTGGGGCTGGTCCGGCAGGACTTATGCTCGCAAACTGGCTTAGTCGGACAGGTGTGAAGACCAGAATCGTGGACAAGCGCGGGACAAAGGTGCATCTATCTTGGTTACTGCAGCACAAACTATCTCTGACTGTTTGAAACAACAGATTTACAACGGGCAGGCCGATGGCATGCAATCCCGCACCCTCGAGATCTTCGATTCTTTCGGTTTCGGACACCGTGCTTGGCACGAATCAAACCACATGCTGGAGATGTGTCTGTGGAACCCAGATGCAAACGGCAAGATACAGCGGACGGATAGGGTTATCGATACTATACAGAATTTGAGTCGGTTTCAACAAGCTGTGTTACACCAAGGCCGGATCGAACGATTCCTCCTGGACTCCATTTCGGAGCACAGTGACATCCGCGTGGAACGCTTGGTGCTACCAGAGAAGGTGGAGTTCGCCGAACCAGTGCAGGACCACCGGAGTGAGAACTATCCTATCTCAGTCACAATAAGACATCTTGCCGTAGACCCAGCTGCTGCGCAGACAGGAATCGAGAATGGTCTTTTCCGCAGCAACTTGGCCAAGGATGACACTGAAGACATCCTCGCCGTATCAGCCCGACGCGAAGACGAAGTCGAAACCGTCCAAGCAAAATATCTTGTCGGATGTGATGGAGCGCATTCGTGGGTCAGGAAGCAGCTTGGTCCAGACTTTGCTTTGGTGGGCGACTCGACAGATTACGTTTGGGGTGTGATAGATGTGATACCGATCACTGACTTTCCCGACATTCGCACGAGATGCGCAATCCATTCAGAGGACTCCGGCAGTATGATGATCATCCCGAGAGAAAACAAACTCACCAGGCTCTACATCCAGCTTAGGTCTGTTAATGAAGCACGTTCAGCTTCGGGCGGCCGCGTGGATCGCTCAGCTATCACGCCAGAAACTATCCTCACTGCTGCACAGAAAATTATTGCGCCTTATAAGTTGACGTACAAGCATTGCGACTGGTGGACTGCATATCAAATTGGACAGCGTATCGCCGAGAGATTCTCTCTCAACGAACGTGTTTTCCTTGCTGGTGATGCCGTGCACACACATAGTCCTAAGGCAGGACAGGGCATGAATGTCAGCATGCAGGATAGTAAGTCTTAGTGTCCTTTCAACAATTCATTGCAACTCGCTAATCTGAAGTAGCTTACAACCTCGGATGGAAGATTTCTCAAGTTGTCCACGGCTATGCGGATCCAATCATCCTCAAGACGTATCAATCGGAGAGGCGGCATGTTGCAAAACAGCTCATCGACTTTGACACGAAATTCTCCAAACTGTTCTCTGGCAAACCTGCCAAAGATCTCATGGATAGCGAAGGCATTGACTTGGTCGAGTTCAAGAGAGCTTTCGAGACTGGAAACATGTTCACGAGTGGAGTCGGTAAGTCACATTTCATCATGCATAGAGACGCAATAGAAGACCTTGCTAATGTACCACAACAGGCGTCAATTATGGAAAGTCAATAATCACAGCCAAAGAAGGTGATTCCAAAGAACAAGGCGACGGAACAGACGTCATGTGCGGCCACAAAGGTGTCTCCAGCCGTCAAGAACTTGCTCCCAAAGTCCCCCTCGGCATGCGAATGCCCAGCTTCAAAGTCCTCAACCAAGCCGATGCTCGTCCCTGGCACCTCCAAGAACGCCTCAATAGCAACGGCCGCTGGCGTCTCCTCATCTTCGCCGGCGACATCCATAACCCAACCCAAAAATCTCGCATCGAGAAACTCGGCGCCGCTTTGGCAGACCCAAAGTCCTTCATCAAACGTTTCCAGCCTGCTGGCAAGCCCGTGGACGAACTTGTTGAGATCTTGACTGTTCATAGTAGTAAGAGGACGGATTGCACGGTGCACGATTTCCCTGAGATCTTCCACCCATATAGCGACGAGTTCGGCTGGGATTACTGGAAGATCTTTGTGGATGACGAATCGTACCACGAGGGCCACGGACATGCATATGAAAATTATGGTATTGATCCAGTGAAGGGATGTGCTATTATCGTACGGCCGGACCAATATGTTAGCTGGATTGGCGAGCTAGAAGATACGGATCTGATGGACAAGTTCTTTTCAAATTTCCTTATCGAGCAGAGTTCGTAGGCGAGATTAGTAGCTGGTGTCTCTGCAAGTATTTCGATATTATGCTCTGGTTTATCTTTGGTGGTTAGATCGCATGGGCTGGCATGTTTTGTACCTAGTGTCATTTTGCGCTCTAGCGTCACATATACTTGAGCTCAAACCTAGTTACCTTTACCAACACCAATTGAAACAATAGTTCATGCCTATGAATGCAATTTTGCATCAATTACGAGGTAGACAGCATCAAATGTCGTCTATCACTTTGGAGACCATGTGTCCTCAATCGGTATGTGCGGAAAGATTAATGCGGGGTATTATTTTGACCCCGCACCCCGCTGTAACTGAATGCAGTGAAATTTCGTGAAGCTTTCATTGGTGAAGCCCAGATTTTTGCCTATCAAGTTGAATGAGAACGAACGATATATTACTGGCATTCAAAATAAAGCCAGCGTGAAAAGAGATTAGTCGTTCAATGTACCAACACCCCTTAGGCGCTTTCGACCTAGTGGCCAACTGCGGGTGCCTTCAGCCGGACTAGTCAGTCCCTTGATGACTCAGCATTTCAGACACGCCATGCCCCCAGCGCCGACCACCTCATCCCCTACCTTACGTACAGTACCTACAACTTGAAGAGCGAGAATACCTTCATCGCAACTACATTGACACCTATTCCGCACGGTGTCAGTGAGAAGCACCTCGATGATCTCAAGCTAAGATATCTCGGTCTCGGGTGACGCAACTCCACCTCAATCCTATTGAGCGCGAATACTTCCTGCCATCAACATGCAGCAGGGATTTCAAGAAGTACCGAAAGAGCCGCAACCTAAACGTCGCAAGATCCAGTTGGCTTGTAACAAATGTCGCAATCGAAAGACAAGATGCGATGGGACCCGTCCAGTTTGTGTTGCCTGCCTCGAAAGAGGACTTGCAGGAGAGTGTAGTTATGAGGTCGCAGCGCCACCTCCACGGAGGTAATGAAGATTCCCTATATTGACTTTGGTTTCAACATAATAATGCTCAATAGATCTACTATTCAGCATCAACACCAGGAACATACAGCGCTTAGTGCAACACCAAAATCAGCAGGTGAGACTGACCCCTCGTCACGTTATCCCACTATGGACTGGGAAGAGTGTCTTCACGCTGAACGGAGCTTCTCTTAAACTATCAAAACGTCAAACAATATGTTCACTGACTACAAATAGATAACAGTGCTGGTTACGTAATAGATGGTTCACCCTTGAGTAACGGTCACCATCTCGTCTCCAGCACTGGTGGAAGTTCGGTGGCAGCAGGTCTCACGGCCTATCCTGCCAAATCCAGTTCCGACCCAGTTGCAGACAACAACAACAACAACCGTGTGGATGGATTGGCCACCGTCGCGTTCCCACGTCAAGACGCAAATTTGTACGGGGAATCTTCAACAATTGCATTTGTACGCCACGTGATGCATGAACCCTCGCCCCAGCCACAAGAGAATTGGCAAGACACAGCGACTTCCCCGGAGTTGGAACCCATTCGTGACAAAGACGAGAGCTTAATGATTTACCCTCGACGCCAGGCGGCCGATGACTACATGAACTCCTTTTGGGAGTTTGTGCATCCGGTTTTTCCAATTCTCCACAAGGCATCTTTTATGTCCAAGTACGCTGAAGTCTGGTCTCCAGAGCCGTCCAAAGGTCCGAACGGTACCAGCCAAGTTGACGAAGTTGCTTTCTCCGCGTGCTTGAATCTCACCTTCGCCTTAGGATGTCAGTTTAGTAGCTTCGTATCTGCAGACAAGCGGGTGGCGGTCGCCGACGAATTCTACCAAAGAGCCAGGAAGATATTCATTTTCGACATCTTAGATACGTCATCACTGCCGGTACTTCAGATGCTATTACTCACGGGCGTATATCTCCAATCTACAAAGTACTCGGAGCGATGTTGGAATAGCGTTGGACTTGCCATTAGAGCTGCCCAGACCCTGGGCTTGCATTCGGAGTCAACGGCTAGAAGACCTGCTAGACAGATCACTCGAGAGATCAGAAGGCGGGTTTGGCACGTTTGTGTCACACTCGATCGGTAAGCGATACCCCTACGAAGCATGAGGACAGTTCTCTGCGCTGACTGACATCCTTGACCAGGCTTTTGGCGATGACTTTTGGCCGACCAGCAATGATTGCGAGATCGTGGGATACACCAATCCCGCTTATGATCGATGACGAATATCTCGAAGCCGAAGAAGAAGGTCACCAGCCTACCAACAGACCGTCACGGTTGGGTCTATTTGTGTTCTCTTCGAAACTTTACGACATATTAGACAAGATTCTCGTCACATTCTATACCACTGAAACTCCCACACCAATGTCAACCGACGATAGCGTACAAAAACTTTTGAGTAATGTCCTAACATTCAATCGTCAATTAGACAACTTTAGGAATTCAATTCCGGAATTCCTAAAGCTCCCAACGAGGGACGACCCCCCTGGTCCCCACATGAACATATCCAGCATCCAGATTCAGGCTCGCATTTTAAATTGCAGGTTAGTTATAAGATTCCGTCACTTATGGAGCCATCCTTATACGTCTTAGATATTTGTACACCCGAGTCATGCTGCTCCGCCCTGTTCTGCTTTTAAGCACGCAGAGTAATCTTCGACCTGGATTAGATGCACCGGATCTATGGAGTGCAGTAACACTAGACAGAGAGCTCGCTAGCTATGCTTGCAATCTGTGTGTTTCAACCGCGCAAGAACTGGTCGAGAACCTATGTCAAAATGTTGATACTCCATATCGGATATCACCATGGCACACCGTTTATCGTATGTACTTCAGACTGGGCTGCTTGCCTTTGTTATCGGCATATTCTAATCTGGAATAGTGTCTTTCGCCGCTGCTATCGTTCTCATAGCAGCATACAGATGCCCAGCTATCGATCCTGTCGCAAAAGAAGAAGAGTTAAATCATTCGCTAGATCAATGCAGAACTATCCTAGCGTATTACGAGCCACAAATTCATTCCGCTGGCCAAGCCATTCGCGTACTACAGACACTAAGGGGTCATATAAGGAACACCCGGACTCGGAGTAAGTTCTACACTTTCCCACAGTCCTTAAGGTCGACTAGGAAGATTTCGAAGAAACATAGGCTGACGAAATGACTTAGTCCGCTCTGGGCGAGCGACGAATCGAGGGAGTCCACTTCACCCCACTTCCATACCAGATGGACAGCCTGGGATGGATCTGGAGAACTTTGCAAACATGGAACCGTCGCAAGAGTGGTGGAACGAACTCCTGCCAGTTAGGAACGAGCTTAATTCGGAGACTTGGTACAACCAGCATCTGGTCAATTTGGACTGGCTGGATATCTCTTGATGACGACTGCGGCACGGCTCTTACCCCAACCCTAAGGGGCAGAACTCCTACTTACGGCTCTGAGTTACTTTTGACGGTGAGGATTTACATTCTAATGGCATAGGAACCTCAGCTACACCAACCAAAGCCCAATTGGACCCCCACTGCAATGATCTGCTTGTTGATAATTACACTACAAATCAGCTCTGGCATCCTCCCCCGCATACGCTCTCCGAATCACCTCCCTTATCAGATCCCTCTCCACCGGCCTTGGATTCTGATACGCCCTCAACACCGCAATATCCGCCGCCTTATCCACGTCCTCCTCCTTGAACCCAAACGCCTTCAAATCCCTCTTCACGCCCAGCTTTGTCAACAACACATTCAACCCCTTGATCGCATCGCCCTCACTCCCCGGCAGCACATCCGCCAACCTCGCCATTACCTCTGGAATCTTCGGCGCGTTGTAAGCCAACGCGTGAGGCAAAACGATTGTATGTGTCTCCGCGTGCGGCATGTTGAAGCTGCCGCCGATCGTGTGGCATAGCTTGTGGTGTAGGGACATGCCGACGGATCCCAGGGCGAGACCGCATAGCCAGGCGCCGTACTGGGCGTTGAGTCGAGCGGGGAGGTCTGAGGGCGAGGTGGTTAAGGTGGGGAGGGATTCGGCGAGGGCTTTGATTCCCTCGAGGGAGAGGAGGGAAATGACGGGGTTGGCTTCGGGGGAGTAGAGCGCTTCCACTAAATTGAATTTTGATGATTAGCAGCTGGTCAAGTCCCTGGTAATTATGCCCATCCTCGCTTCTTTGGCATGAAGTGAAGTCCGACTTCTAACCTGAATGTGCAATTGCATTTACTCCACTCGTTGCGCTCATGCCCGTGGGAAGCGACATCGTAAGATCCACATCATATATCACCGTCCCCGGCAAGATCTTCGGATCCGACCTCGTTGTCTTCTGTCCCTTCTCCGTCTCTCCCAAAATAGGCGTCATTTCCGACCCCGCATACGTCGTAGGTATACAGATATGCGGCAGTCCAGTCCGTATAGAGATCGCCTTTCCCAGCCCAATCGTACTCCCACCACCTATCGACACAATTGAGTCGGCCATGACTTGTTTCGCATAGTCCAGTGCTTTTTGGGTGACTTCCACGGGAGTGTGCATCGTTGCTTCTTCGAAGACGCCGGAGATTTTGCCATTGAGGGTGGTTTTGATGAGAGCAGCGTGGGCTTTTTGCTCGACTGTGGAGAGGATCAATGGGGCGCTGAGCTTGAGGCGAGATATCTCTTCGGGGAGTCGTTTGATTGAGCCTTGCCCGAATATGACTCTCGCAGGAGACGCGGTGTAAATAAATGCTGGTGGAGGGGGCATAGTTGCAGGAGTATTGTGTTTTGCTTTCCTTTGCTTTTCTTGTCAGACAAAATGACTGGCATATGACAGCAAGCAGTAAGACAGTGATATTAACGACTGAGGCTTTTGGGTTTCAGTGTCGAGACAGTGCTAAGGTAGCTAGATCTCTGCTCGGCTGGTCCGAGCTATGTGGTCCAACGATTTCCTCGTGCTCATGCACACTTCGATACTCTTCCAAGTCGCTCGAGATGGAGGTGTGCATTTGTCATGGTCCGATGCCGAACAGCATTACCGTATGGCACCTACCCCGCCTTTCTCTAGCTCCATGAGGCTCACGTCTCACGTCTCTACGAGTACCGCGTTGATCTCCCGTCACTGAGCCAGAGAGTGGGGACATCGGAATGGCATCGCTTTACTTAAGCGAGGTCGAGGGCTAAGTCCTTAGCCGTGAAACATACACGAGATCGGGATCGGAACCAGCTTCGGGATTACCGGGAAGCTCCCCTTGACTTGACATACTCTACTCCTTGGCCCAAGTCAACATTGCCATGAGATGCTGTACATATGCATCTGCAGAATCGGATGAGGCTGAACGATAGCCTCGTCATACTTCGGGTTACCCGCGATATGCAGGAACGAGACTTCGGAGCAGGTCAGACTTGGTGGTCCGGGAGCTCTTGACAAGGGATCTGGACCCCTCTTACTGGCAGGATATAGCTCGCATTACCAATGCAACAGCTTAATAGGTTGGTGGTAGGTTCCTATGATTTCAAATCTACATCTATCTCAAATATTTGCTTTCTGAATTTAACTTGACGCTTTCTTCCTCTTCCAAAAAGTCTACAAAGACTTCCGGATCTGTGTCCATCAATATCAAACAAACAAACATCTGCCTGCAAGAACCAGCTTGCACGGAATCAAACACTGTCTACAAGATGGCGACTTCTAAGATACCCCAAGCGAAGGATCTCAATTCCGACAACATTACCGAGAACGTCATTCTGATTAATTCCCAAGGCGACGATGTTCGGCTGAAATATGTCCTTGAACGCTTGGTCACGCATTTACATGACTTTGCCAGGGAGACACGGCTCAGTACAAAGGAATGGATGGCTGGTCTTGACTTCCTAGTCAGAGTTGGCCAAATAAGCACAGATGTTCGACATGTATGTGGCTCCCTTCCAAAGCCGTTCATTTTCTTGCCAAATGCTTCGCCTCCCTCTCTGGAAGGTTAGAATGGATTACTTCAGAAGCTAATTGATTTTTTAAACAGGAGTTCATCCTTCTCTCTGACATCCTGGGTCTATCCCTTCTGGTCGACTCAATCGACCACCCCAAACCCCCCAACGCAACAGAAGGAACCGTCCTAGGACCCTTCCACACCCACGAAGCCAAACACCTTCCAGCCGGAACCGACATCTCCTCCGATCCCAACGGTGAACCCTGTCTCGTAATCGCCCGCATCAAAGATCCATCTGGGAATCCCATCCCAGGGGTCAAAGTCGATATCTGGGAGACCGACTCCTCCGGCCACTACGACGTCCAATACGCTGAGCGAGACGGCCCAGACGGCCGATGCGTAATGCACAGCGACGACAACGGCTCCCTTTGGTTCAAAGCCATTCGTCCAGTCAGCTATCCCATCCCGCACGATGGACCTGTCGGCCAACTCCTCGCAAAACTCAAGCGTCACCCCTGGCGGCCGGCACACATGCATTTCATGTTTGAGAAGCCCGGATGGGATCACCTGATCACGGCGCTGTATATCACGCCTGACGAGTACATGACGAGCGATGCGGTGTTCGGCGTGAAGGATAGCTTGATTGTGGAGATGAAGGGGGCGACGGCGGAGCAGGCTGAGAAGTATGGTGTTAGGGTGGGGTATCCGGTTATTGAGTGGGAGTTTGTGCTTGTTACGGAGAAAGAGACGGAAGAGTTGAGGGATGGGAATGCGCTGAAGGCGATGGCGAAGTTGTTTCCTGGGAAGAAGGTTAAGTTGTTTGATCATCTTCCTGTGCCTGATCTTGATTGAAAGCACCCAGGTAAAAAGTTTTGAATTTTCTTTTTTCATGGAACCTTTTAGCTGTACACTTTCATACGTAGTAGTCTATGGTCATTTGGATATGTTACACAACAGGCCACTGATTCCGTGTGAATGATTGTAACAAAATGTACTGCTTCAAAAAAGCGTTTGTGTGATGAGAACCAACCTTGGGGCTTTGGAATGGCAGATACCGCACTTCCATATTATGTGCTCAATATATTAACTTTGTCTCTGATACTTCAGCAAGCTTAGATACACACATATTACGAGAAACACCTACCATTACCTTTTACTTTACAAGCACTACCAACCTCTCTGCTACAAACATTTTTCCTGCCCTTCTCCGACCCGAGTTCCCAGACTTCTCCGCCTCGTGTGTATAACTTACTGTTCCGTCTCGTCCTTAATATTCCCCGCAGCCGAAAGAATAGGTACGAATCCTTCAAATACATGTCCTCCTGATTCACGACTCATCCACTTCGAACCAGATCTAAATCTGAACAACACCCTCAACATACCCTTCCACCATGCCCCCATACTCCACGACACAAAGAGCAATACAAACCACTTCGAAAGAAGCGTTGCCAGTTTCAAGCCTGAGCAGGGAGAAAGACCATGACAATGAAAGAAGCACTTGAAAAGCTACACCATGATGATAAACTAAGCGAGCTGGATGTCAACACCACCTCCCACAAAGACACAGCACAGAATATAACATGATTGTAGGAGCAGGGAACCAAAACTTTACCCCTTCGAGTTTCAATTATACCATATCTGTTGGAGCTCCATCCTCGTCAAAGTCGCTGCTAAAATCCAACATCCAGAGGCAGAGGTCGTCAGTTACTGCCAAGTCACAATCCCATCCCATTCATTTCAATCCATGGTAGTGGTACAAACCTTCTATTTAACGCCAAACAGTTTTCTTCGATAGTCTTAGCTTTATACCATAGTCAAGATTGTCATACGATGTTGCCGCGTTCAGAGCCATGAAATGCACAACATTGTCCTTGACCAGCAGCCAGCTAATCAACAACATCCCCGGCCACCCGAGATTGACATTTCAACAAGGAACAGGACCGTGCATATGTTTGCATCACTTTCCTTATCACATAGAGTAGATTGAACTTAGAAACACGGACCTGAGAAGTTCTGGAGCATTCAAAAGCACTTGTTGTGGCCGGGACTGGAGCCGCGGTGGGAGCAAGCAGAATGCAGGGAGTCCAGAAATTGGGGATGGGAAACATATTCTTCGTAGAAAATCACAGTATGGAAGGGAGAAAATAGTTTGGTTGATTCAATGGTGTCGTTGGCTTGCTTCGGATTGAGGACTTGTTGTCAGCAGTTAATTTGCCGTCGTTGTTTACTTTTGCTGTCGCTTAATCCTAGTCTTTCAATGCCGTCTATTAACATAACTTTCAGGAAGACTGCAACAGTATATGCGTGACTCAAAGTTAATTCCAGGGCAGAAGTTCCACTGCAATCAGAACCCCGATAAAGTCACAAGGTATAATCTGAACCCAAAGCTGCATCTGGCCTATCTCCCATGGGAGTTGCCCATCCACCTTCGGTGTTCGTTGACTGCTGGCTCTGGGAACGAGCGTCGCGGATTAAATATTATATTGAAATTAGTGAAGCGGAATCATTCAAGCTGCCATATTTGCTCAATTGCGCATTCACCTGCACGAACTAATGGAATCATCGACCTGTATCCTGAATTCACCACTCTCCTGCTTACAATGGCAAGGGCATCCCCACATTTCATCAGGCACAGAATTGATATAATTACATGAATATGGGCTCTCCAATGGGTTTCGCTATGTCAAATCTGGTTCCTAATCCAAACACATCATGGGGAGGCCATCTCCTTGGCCTTTCCATGTGGTGGGTGGGTGCATCGTCGTCTGGATTTCCGTCCTGCTTTCTCGCTACACATTCCAGAATTTCAGAATCCAGAATTTATTACCCACAGCTTGGAGCCAAACAGAAACTAGTCGTAATCACTGTCAAAATCTTGTCTGTTGTCAACGTCTCCCCTCCTCAACTCTCCCCAACTCTAACAGAGAGAAGCGCGATATAACGCAAGCGAGGCAGCAAGGTGAATTTATCTGGCTACCATAAACGTGACGATCGAGATCAAGAATAGAGAGTAACACAATCAGTGCCTTACCATTCTCAATGAGCTCATAAGATGTCTAGTGAGCCGTTGAACTTGAAGAGAGAGAGCTGGTCGGGGAGGGGGTATGTTTATATTTTCTTGAAGGCGATAAGCGAGATCCCATTCCCCCACTACAAGGCCTATCTGGGAAGGAGGTGAGGGGACAGGAGGCTGGACCTACAATTCTGACTGTGAGTGGAACGGTGAAATAGAACCCAGATGGTGATAATATCCCAGTGGCAGATGTGCTAAATCGGAGAAGGTGAGATGTTCAAGAGCTGATGCGCACTTAGCAGTGGTTACGGAGAAGTCGAACAGCATGAATGCTGATCGGTGGCTCGTTGCTGTCTACGTAGCATTGCAACTCTTGACCAATAAACAAAGTAGGAAGAGAATACCTCATATTTTCCAGGTAATGATTCCATGTTCTGGATCGTTTCCTGAAGCATCTACCTATCCCCCAAATCCATGCTCAACTCAACCCCCGTTGAACTTCCCTGTTACCACTCATCACCTCAGTAGCTAAGAATAAAACCAACCACAGCACAACTCCTATCTAGCACGTCATATTGTTCACAACTCTACTCGGGCTTCCGACAGACCGAACGACCGCTCATCCGTCCTTCAAAAATAGTTCCTGCGCACCGCCTTCCACCACACCAAGCACACCTCACCCCACGCCACCCAGCCAGCCAACAAAAGAACATGTCTCACCCACCCGCTTCTACACAAGGACCCTACCCGCCACCCCAAAATCGCAAACCCAATCACCAACCACACCCATATAAAACGCCAGATGCAACATTTCAGCTGATCTGCAGCAACCTACCCATCTCTGCGTGAAGGTTCTGAGGATAGATGTTAATCAATGACTGCTCGCTGCGCAATATTAACAGATGTTGTGATATAGGTGGAAAAGGAGGTCGACGATAGGAGAGGATGAAAGAGGACCCTATTAAGCGAGATTGAATTGTGTTGACAACACATCAATTCTCCGAGACAGACAAGGTAGGGTAGACACGGATGAACACCAGAACCAACAGCATCATCCCGGATGGGAGATGGAAATTGAATGGATATACGCAAATCAGAACAAAATCGGGGGTTTTAGGACTCGAGGAGGGAGGCAGGGAGCTCTTTTAATGTATTTTATAGGGGACGTTCTGTAATATTTTCCGATGGAATTATTCGGTGGTGTGGAATATCAAGATTGGAAGTTTATGCATGGAATTGGAATTTGGTGGCAGAGGAGGCATTCCGGCGCTTCTTTTATTCCCAGCTTGCTCACTTGAAGACTTTCAAATACCGATCAATCAAATGGTAATGAGAACATTGAGTGTACCAGTGCCAGTGCAGTGGAAGACAACCAATATCCAAAAAGGCAAGATTTGAGACAAATCGAAAATCGAGAGCACAAAGCAGCCCATGGCACCGAAAATGATAGACAAAAATTGATTGCGACAACTCAACTCAACTCAACTCAACTCAGTATTCAGACAAGATGAAGCAAAGCGCGACGATCAAGAAACAGAGGAAATAAATCGCGAGCGAGAGCCCCAGGTTGTACTGTATGTGCCTGGAAGATCAGAAGATCAGAAGATCAGTCAGTGCTTATCATGCTGTGGCTAGAGCCGTGGCGTACCCAAAGCCCGCTGAAAGCCGGTCTCGAACTTCCCCAGCCACACTACACTCCCCGAGCTTCATTCCAAGCTCCAAGCTTCACATGCGCCGCAGCCAAAAAAAAAATAACACCAAGGTACAGAACTTACCTATCTAACCACTCATAATCCTCGCTGTAATCTCTCGGCAAGATCTCACTCACTCGCATTCCCACCAATCTTCTTATTAGAGTGGAAAACACGTCTGTCTTGATGGGGTAGGGGTACGACGCGTCCTTGACGCGCTTTTTCCACAGTGTGTGTGTGGAAATCTCCGAAATGCCATGTTCGCGTCCCTCCCTTGGAGCTAAGGAGTAGAAAAGATGGAAGACTTGGTTGTTAGGCGCTTGGAATCTTGATTTGACCCTCCAATGCAGTGAACCTAGAGAAGGGCTTGTAAGGTTTTGGTGCTTGGTGACCTGCTGCTTAGGGGTGTAGTGTAAGTTAGTTGGGGCTTGCGTGCTTGCATGCATGCATATAAGTAAGTTTGCAGATTCCCGAGGAGCCGGTTCGTAAGTTAAGTCTAATGTGTGGATGGATGGATGGATGGATGGATGTTCGTTTGCGCTTGTTTGGTGCTGCTACTGGCGGGGAGTCGGGGATGGAGAGGAGATGAAATGAAATGAGGGTTAGTTTTGGAAGGGGGGTAAGTAAGTGGTGGTGGTGGTGGTTGTGGTGTTTATTGGCTTGGTTCTTGGGTCTTGGTTCGGGTGAGATGGATGGATGCTTTTGGAGAGGCTGGGAAACGACCTTCTACTTTTGTCCTTGGAGGAGGTGAGATGGGACGAGATGACATGAGATGATGAGATGGGGGATTTGGCGTGCAGCAGTGGTGAGTGCAGCTTAGGCAATGGTTCAGCTGGAGAGGGGTCCACTTCCACTCTATCTACTTTAAAACTTGGATGTCAAGTGAGATGGGCTGATATAAATGAGGGGAAGTTCTTACAAGCGCATAGCACGATGCCTCATGGAGAACGGAACGGAGATGAAGGCTAACGGCGAGATGGTTTGATGTCAAATTTGTATGTTGAGCTGGTAAAGTTAAGTAAAGGGTCCAATAGCCCGACGGGTTATGTTAATTAGGGTTGGACCCTATATACACTATGCTATTTGTTGGTGTGTGTCTGTGTTTTTTTAGAAAGGAGACGACGTTAATGGTGGCTTCGTAAGGTAAA